TTGCCCGTTTCTTTTTGCTCTCCTTTTGTTCCGTTCAGACCACCAGGGACATCGAGGCAAGGACGACAGATCTCAAGCAGATCATTATGCGGGCCACGGAGCTGCTGCAGGGATGATGACTGTCGGACGGCCGGTTCCTTGGGCGAACAGGAACAAACCTTGGGGCCGTTTACCCTTTGCTGCGCAGCTGCGGCCTTGAGTCCCTTTTCTCATCAATCTAATCAACCTCTCACCACCAGAACACCACCACGGGTGGATATTTTCCAGAAGCAGGGGGTGGGAAAACAGACGGGAGCGAACCAACGCCGACCGCACCAGGGGCGGCTGTCGCATCGCATTGACTAACCCCTGAACAACAGACAGGGCAGCCCCCTTCATCGTCGCCGCTTTCGTCCGAACTACTTGCGTGTGCTTCCCTCTGCCTTCTCTCTCTAGACTCTTACTCAATGTCACTCTGTCCGTGAGCATGTGTCTGTCTGTCTTGACTTAGCAGCAAAGCAACGTTCGTCCTTCACACCCTTTCCCATCCAATCGCGGGCCTTGCTCAGGCTCTGTTTGAAGCTATATCCCCTCCCATCCAATAGCGCCCCTCTCAACATCCTTGTTTCATCGCATTTTTTTATCCTCTTGTCTCTGGGATTACCTCTCCATCGCGGCAGCTCGGCTGGCAGACGAGAGAGAGAGACAGAGACGAGGGCGTAAAGTTAGCTAGGTTTGGTTTGTCGAGGAGCTCGGGCGGGCCACGGACGTCCAATATTCCCCTCCACCCCTTCTTCCTTGGACACCTTACTGCGGTACTGCGGCTGCTGTTCCCCCTCCACGGCCGCCGAGATCCAGTCGTAGAGAAACGGCTTTGATTGTGAGCCGGGATCCAGGGCCCTGCTCGCCTCAAACTGAAGAGAGGTCCGACTGTGCAGTTCGGGTGCGGGTGCCAGTGCCGCCACCATGGCGATAAATCGCATGGCGAGGCAGGGTACTGCCCAAAGGGTAGGTCGATATAAGACGGTGATAGTCGCCGTCAACCTCTTCTTGGCTCGTGGTTCCTCCCCTCCCTCTTCCTCATGTGTCTGTCTTGACTGCACACCCTCATCCAATTTGACGTTCTTTCGTTTCGTTTTCTGTTTTTCTTAGCAAGAGGGTCGACCCCCAGCCCCCTCACCGTTCAAGTCATTCTTTAACGCAACCCAACCGGAAGCCTCGATCGGCCGTCATCCGCTGTCGTCACTCTCGACTTTCTGGTGAGTAGTTGTTGTGTACGCCGTCTTGGGTCCGGTCTCGTGGCTTTTTTTCACCTTCACACCTCTCCTCATCGGCCTATTGTCTCGGCTCTTCATATCTGCTTCTTGGGTTTGGTGGAATGGGGGAATACTTCAGAACACAGTACCGTGACGTATGACTTGTCATATGAGTCGGGTCTGCGTCGAGGTCCAGCTCCAACGAAAGGTCGCCTTAGACAACCACCATGGTTGTTTAGTCTCGACAAGGACAATGGAACATGATCCAGGCCTGTGACGCGCAACGGTCTTTCAGTCATGGACAATAAGGCTGTTCGTGGAGCGGGCCGGTGAAAGACAACTGACAGTTAGTCACTGCCACTCACGCGCTCAACTTACTTAAAGAGGAGGATGCTTGATCACGGATGATGAGTCGTCGAGGGTAGCATGCTTCTCGCCCTATCCAGCAACCCACGCTCACAAACAAACAATATTCAAGAGAAGGAGACAAAATCCCAAGCTTTGCCTGTTTGCTTTCTCGAAGTTTCGAGTTTTCACCACTTCTCGCAAACACAAACTTCCCTCGCAATCATCAACAACATCAAAACCCTCGAGGAAGACTAAGCTAACCATCCCCACCCCATCGCGCAGTCTTCACTTTCTTTCCAACCAAATCAACACAAGAGGACATCTTCGATCAGCTGGTTCTCCATCATGATGGGCCTCTCAACCGTTCTCACGACGGGCCTCCTGGCCTTGCGCCTCTTCTCCCTGGATGCCCTCGCGGCTCCTGCCCCCTTCCCCGACCCCGTCCCTGCTCCCCAGGCTGAAGCCCCCGCCGCCGCGGCTGGCTACTGGGTTGCTTCCATCGAGAGAAGCGGCAAGTCCGCTTTCGGCGACCAGAACTACAAGATCTTCCGTAATGTCAAGGACTACGGCGCGAAGGGTGATGGCTCGAGCGATGACACCGTCGCCATCCAGGCTGGTAAGTTCACGAACGATGAGAGAGTCTGATGTGATTTGAGAGCTGACTGAATGAAACAGCCATGGACGAGGGCAACCGCTGCGGCTTCGGATGCGACTCCTCGACTACCACTCCCGCCTTGGTCTACTTCCCCGCCGGTACCTACGTCGTCAGCAAGCCGATCGCCATGAAGTACTACACTCACATGGTCGGCGATGCCACCAACCTCCCGACCATCAAGGCCGCCGCCAGCTTCACTGGAATGGCTGTCATCGACGCCAACCCGTACGACAACCAGGGCAACAACCAGCACACCAACCAGGTAAGTTGACCACCAGTCCTGAATCTCATGTGAACATGACCTAACAAGATTTCTTAGAACAACTTCTGGAAGCTCGTCAAGAACTTCAACGTTGACCTGACTGCCATGCCCGTCACCGCCGGCGCCGGTATTCACTGGCAGGTCGCTCAGGCTACTTCGCTCCAGAACATCGTCTTCAACATGCGTACCGACGGCGGCGACAGCAACGTCCAGCAGGGTATCTTCATCGACAACGGCTCCGGTGGCTTCATGACCAACCTGACGTTCAACGGCGGCAAGTACGGCATGTTCGTCGGATCTCAGCAGTTCACCACCCGCGCCTTGACCTTCAACAACTGCAAGACGGCCGTCTTCATGAACTGGAACTGGCTCTGGACTCTCCAGGACCTGACCATCAACAACTGCGGCGTCGGTGTCGACATGTCCAACGGAGGTGCTACTGCCCAGACCGTCGGCTCCGTTCTGCTCCTCGACAGTGTTATCAGCAACACTCCCGTCGGTGTCCTGACTGCCTACAACCCTGCCGCCTCCGCGACCAACGGCAGCTTGATTCTCGACAACGTTGACATGACCACCAACGTCCCGGCTGCTGTTCAGATTGTTGACACCAAGGCCACCGTCCTCGCTGGCAACCAGAAGATCGGTTCCTACATCCAGGGCCGCACCTACACTGGCTCCACCGGCAACGGCAAGGCTGTCCAGGGTGCCCGGGATGCCATCCAGAAGCCCGCTGTTCTGCTCGGCTCCAACGGCAAGGTCGTCACTCGCAGCAAGCCTCAGTACGAGACCGTCGCCGCCAGCCAGTTCCTCAGCGCCAAGGCCAACGGCTGCAAGGGTGATGGTAAGTCTGATGACACTGCCGCTATCCAGGCTCTGTTCAACAAGGCTGGTCCCAACGACATTGTTTACTTCGACCACGGTGCCTACATCATCTCCAACACCATCGAGGTGCCCAAGGACATCAAGATCACCGGTGAGGTCTGGCCCCTTCTGATGGCCAACGGCGAAGCCTTCAAGGATCAGGCCAACCCCAAGGTCATGCTCCGCGTCGGCAAGCCCGGTGATGTCGGAACTTTCGAGATGAGCGACGTCATCGTCCAGACCCAGGGCCCCCAGGCTGGTGCCATTCTCATGGAGTACAACATCGCCGGCAGCTCCCCCGGTGCCGCCGGTCTCTGGGATGTCCACTTCCGCATCGGAGGTTCCCAGGGCACCCAGCTCCAGTCCGACAAGTGCGCCAAGAACCCCAACGTCACCCACGCCGCCAACCCCGAGTGCATCGGTGCCTACATGCTGACTCACATCACCGCCGAGTCCTCTGGCTACTTCGAGAACGTCTGGTGGTGGGTTGCCGACCACGAGCTCGACCTCGCCGACAAGAAGGCCCAGATCGACATCTACAACGGCCGTGGCGTCCTCACCGAGTCGACCAAGGGAATCTGGTTCTGGGGCACCGCTTCCGAGCACAGCGTCCTGTACAACTACCAGTTCAACAAGGCCTCCAACGTCTACATGGCGCACATCCAGACCGAGACGGCTTACATGCAGGGCAACCCCGACGCGAAGACGCCCTTCACCGTCAACAACGCCATTCTCGACCCCAACTTCGAGACCTTCTGCGCCGGCCAGGGCGACAAGTGCGCCCGTACCTGGGGTGTCCGCGCCATCGACTCCAAGGACATTCTCATCTACGGTGCTGGTCTGTACAGTTTCTTCAACAACTACGACCAGGTCTGCGTTGGCCAGAACAACTGCCAGGACCACATGGTGTCTCTTGAGAACAGTGACGTCAAGTTCTTCGGTCTCAGCACCAAGGCCTCCGTCAACATGGTCACGGTCAACGGCAAGAGCGCGGCGCTCGACAGCGACAACCGCAACAACTTCTGCGCCACCGTCGCCCTCTTCTCGGTCTAGGCGAGCCGAGAGACCGCCACCGATTGGGACCCGGTCGCCATGGCCGAGTTCCTCGAGGATCCTCGTCCTCGCTATGTGTACCTTGCACTTTCCGAGGAGCCGGACGCGGCCCAGAAGAGAATGGGGATATTTCATGACTTTCACTTCATCTAGCCCATCGCCCTAGCGGCGTGAGCTACCACACTTTCTTGTGTGTATTATTGGGAACGGTGGTATACTTGCATCAGGGAACGGGAGTTTGAGGATTCTAGAAAACACAGGGTTGGTTTGAGTTTACATTCTTGTTTCGCCCGAGGGGCATTAGATACCACAAACGAATCAACAGTTTTGATCACCTTGGCTGGCTGCTGTGACATTTTGTGACATGTGCATGACATTCGCAAAGTGTCGGATGTTCTGTTGTCATCGCTCTCACCGTAATTATTCTAGGAAAAGGCCTGGAGTTGTGCACATGTATTCATCGTGGTAACTGATAGCTCTGTGTGTAAAATAACCAGAAGATCGTGTGCAAGCATAGCTATTAACGTGAAGGGGGGTATTCTTGTATTAATGAGTATCTATCACTCGAATCTAATCCAGGCTCTCATCAAATCCCAGGCAACCCAACCACCTGCCGTATCACCGGAACAAAACGAGGAAGAATGTAAACACCGTAAAGTGCGACGAGGGCAGTCGTAAGGCCAGTAACCTGTGAGGCGCGAACGTCAGTAATTATTCTACAGAGTCGGGATTGGCAACAGTTGTGACATACCTTCTCGAACCAGGTGTGGAAGTAGATGGCTGTCATCAGCAGCATCCAAGAGCTCAAACCGACGACACCAAGCGCAAACTTGCCTCCCAAGCCAAGAGCATCGCCCGGGACAGGCTCTCCCTGAAGGCCCTGTGCCTCGACTGTAGCCGTCTTGGTGGCACCATCGGTCATAACGACGCTGCGCTCCTCCCTCCGGGCTCCCTTCCATCGAAGAACCACCCAGCTGACCTCGGAAAGCAAAAAACCGCAACCAAGAACCAACAGGAAAACGTGTCCGCTGATGTCGTGTCCGCCACGCCAGCGTCCGCCAGCAGCCCTACACGCGACAGCTGTGAAAACCTCCTTAGCATCTCCCTTGCCAAGCTCCACCTTCTCTTCAATCAGCTCGCACTTTCCGCCAGTCCAGCGAAAGCCCCGGTCGATGATGGCCGGGCCGAAGAACCACTGAGTGACGAAGAACCACCAGGTGGTGATGAGGGCCCAGCGCAGAGTAGCTTGTATGCGGCGGGTCGCGTGCGCGGTCGCGGGGTGGGTGAGGATGAATGTGAAGAAGGCGGCAGTGATCCAGAACCAGCCTCTTTTCACGAAGATTACGTTGAAGAGGTTCGACTTGCGAGCGAAGTACGAGGGCGCGGTGTCTTGGACGTGAGCCTGGGAGGCGTGGTCGTATTGGGAGGATCGGACGTCGGGAGACAGAAGGGAGAATATGGTGCCGAAGAGGAGGATAACGGGAAAAGCGGCGAGAACGAGAGTCTCTGAGGGCGTCGGGAGAAGGGGATTGTTCCGCTTCGTCTTGGTCGGGGATTCGGGCGCCATCGTTGCTGCTCCGTTGAGTTCGTCGAGGGCACGCCTGGTTTTGGTACGCAGGTTCGCAGTCGGCGGTGTTTCCATGGTCGCTGTGTGAGACGTCTGGCGGTTATTCTACAGCATAAAGGGCAGAATAGCAAACAGCGAAGTTCGTCGCGTGACGTGGGAGAGTCGCCTTCTTAAGGTGGTGGGAGGAAGACAACAGGAGAGACTTGGCAGAAGAATTCAGCAGATGAAAGTATGACGTTGCTGATCGGACAACGGTACGTATTCTCATCGGAAGGTGCAGCTGATGGTGGGGCAGTGACAGCTGAGCCGAAGTTTCCAAGTTACGTAATCACCGGCCTCGGTCCCTTTAATCGCCCACTGGCCAATCGGAAGACGTCGTCTTCCGCTGACCGAACTTACCGAGACTCACCTTGCACTGCTCTAAGCCGAGGACACATCGCCATAGAACGGCGCAGATGATGGCGGAAGACTACGGTTGTTAATAATCTGGTTCTTAATTTACCACTGATAGCAAGCTAGTTTGGGGGAAAAGTACTATATCGCTTTAAAGAAAATCAGCTTGCCACAAGTTGCTGTTCATTGCATGTATTCGGTGGACTCTCGGTGAGAAGCGAGGTGAGGACTTCGGTGTAGCAGGTCAAGGTGGGGCCGTCTGGTTGTAGCTTCCTCCGTCCGAGCAGCGCGTTACGACCTGGATGTAACCTCATCCTTTCCTCTCCCTATCAAACAGCCATTGACCATTTGCTTTCAGCTAAAATGTCGCTTGTCAAGGCTCCCGCGAACCTGCCGGATCTCGTTAAAGCAGCCTTCAATAAGGCTCGAGCCAATGCCGACTTGAACTACTATGCGACCCAAGTCACCGTCCTCAATGCGAACTCGATCCCTGTAAGTTTGGATCATCGTGTACATCAGTCTACAGCATATCTCCTGACGCGCGCATGCAGTTCCAGCTTCGTTTTTCTCCCGCATTAGCAAACAAACCGACTGCCCCCAAGCCAAAGACCGACGAACCACGCAAGCCCTTCGACCCTTTCGAGAACCCCGAGAATGGCCCGCTGTTCATCGCCGACATCCCCTCTTCCGGGCACAATCTCGTCCTGAACAAGTTTGCCATCGTTCCCGAGCACTTCATTCTTGCGACGAAGGACTTCAAAGAACAGACCGACATGTTGGAGCCAATCGATCTAGCCGCGACCTACGCGTGTATCGAGGCGTACCGGCAGTACGGTGAAAGTCACGGCGGAAGCAATGGCGAGCTCTACGCCTTCTTCAACAGTGGATCGCACTCCGGAGCCAGCCAGCCACACCGGCATATTCAGCTCCTGCCAGTTGCTCGCATGAAGGACGGGCTGCCGGAGGGCTCTAAATGGGATGTTCTGGCCAAGCAGCTCGGGCAGCCCCGCGTCAGTGGTGTGCCGTTTACGACGTTCGGAGAACAGATCCATCGCAGTATGACTCCGGACGAGCTCCACTCAATTTACATATCCCTCTTCAAGTCAGCCGTTGCTGCGGTCGAGGCCCACGCCGGGAAACTGGACAACCCCAGTAACGGTGAGTCGCAAATCAGCTACAACCTCGCGATGACAAGCAGTTCTCTGGTGGTAATGCCGCGATTGGCAGAGGGCTACACTCTGTTGGAGCAAGGCAAACCAGTGGGAAAGCTCAACCTCAACGGCACCGTACTGGCAGGAACCGCTCTTGTCAAGAATGAAGACGAGTGGAATGCTCTCGGAGTGAAGGGCGAGGACAAGCAATTGTTCGACGTGCTTTCAAAGATTGGGGTCCCGAACACCGCTGGCCACAGCAAGAAGCTCTAAAGAGGGGGATTTTAAAGAGGGCAAACACAACACACCCAAACTAAAAATACATGCAACAGACAAACAATCTTGCCCAGCGGCAGGTTTCTAACTAAGGTAAACAGTACAAACTGAAAGCAGCCATCGCTCCACCTTTACCCATAGCTCATATCTCAACTCTCTCGCCCGACAACTATCTCGATGTTCGTCCCGAATACCCGATCCCATCAAACACGGTGCCAACTCCGCCACGTCGCCCCAACTGTCACTCCATGGTCCCCATTCCACCCAAGCGTCTTCCTCCAGAGTTCATGACAAGCTCGTCCCACTTCTTGCGACAAGTGGCATTGCCAAAAAGGTACGAACCATCGTGGTTGTAGATGTACTCGGCCACCTGCTTCCAAGGAATCTTGGTGGAGGCAGGATCGTTCCCCTTGGAGAACTTGCGAACAGCCTTCCGCAGCAAATGGACCTGTCGATCGCGAGTTAGAAGTAATCCTGCTGGTTTTGAGGGATGAAACTTACATCATGCTGGGTCCACTCAGGCTTTCGCACCCTCTCCTCCTTGCTTTTTGTGAGAGTACGGTATCGGCCACGAAGCGTGGACTCGGCCTCGGAGAAGTTACCCTTGACACGGATTTCACGATATGTCAGGCCCTCTGCCTTGGCCTTGAGAAGATAATCGTCCTTGGCAGACCGCTCCGCGGCTTCTGTGATCACTGGAACTGGCACTGGACAAGGCTTTGGCTGCTTGGGTCGGAGCTCTGTCTTGGGCGCCGTCGGATTCACCCTGCGAGATGGAGAGGCAGCCCGGCGAGATCGCGGCTTCTCAGGGAGCTCCTTACGGGGCTTTGAGGGCAGCACGCGACGACCTTGCGGCTCGGACTTGATACCGGGTCCAGAGCCATGGCGCTCAAGCACGGGAGCACTCATGGCGTGGTGGTCATTCATCGGGCACCGCGGCTCGACAAGATGGTCGGGAGCTGTCGGAAAGAAGACGATTGGGGATGTTTCCGAGAAGGGCGTGGGCGAGGGAGGAGCTGCCTTGATGTTGGACAGATCCTCGCTCACCAAAGACGACGACGTGAACGGCGAGGTGACGTATTCGAACTGCTGGGGCGGGCTGGTGATGATCGCAGAGCCGTCTGCCGAGCTGAAGGAGCCAGAGTCGAGGAGGTTGGGCACGCCGGTGGAGGAGAAACTACCGAAGCTGGCACCAGACTCAGATGCTGAGAAGGCGGGAGAGGAGATGGGCATGTTTTGACCCAGGCCACCCGCGGAGGCCATCGGGACATCGTCAATGGACGCAACGCCATACTGGAAGTGCATCGGCGCAAACATGGACTGAACGTCGTGCACGTAAGGCATGCCATCGGGATGCCATGGCTGGTCGTGGTCCATGACTGGTCGCTTGTTGCTCAAAGAAGCGTCAAACTGTTGCATCCTCTGAAAGAGCATACAAGACTCAGGGTCAGAGAAGGGACTGCCAGCGGTGCCAGCGAGGTATCTGTTGCGGAGTTGCTGAACCTGAGGACAAACATCCAGTCAGCAAGAAGGCCTTGATCACATCTCAGATGGGTGGTTGAAGGGAGAACGGGAAGCTGAGGGAAATGAGCAGACGCACCTCGAAACTGTCTTGGATACCGTCCGGCACGCCGGGAAAAGACCACTCCTCGCCAGTCATGATGCTTGCGTGGTATGGAGGAGCCCTGTGGTTGCTGAGAGGGTGTTTGCCGCGACGTGAAATCAGTTTTCTCTGGCGTCGTTGGTTGAAGCGTTGTTGGGCTCTGGCTGTTACGTCCTGCTCAAAGGCGAAGAAGTCCGAGCCATGAAAGCCCACCCGGGGAGGCGCTCTCATAAACATCCTCGACGAGAAGATTACGACGCCTCGGACCGAGAGATGGGAGAGATGGCTCGATGCTCTCTCACCGCTTCTTCCGTGACGTTCTATCGGTGTTCTGCGCTGTCTCAACTCGCACGCACGATGTCGTCGTCCGGTAGTGCGTTGAAGAAGGGAAGATGTGGGGGGTTTCGGCGGTCAATGAAGAAGTCTGCAAGATGCGGCGTACGCTCCCGAGAGGTGTTCCACCGGTGGCTGCAAAAGGGGTTCTCCTCGGCTGGAGAATGGCGGTATGAGATGGTACGCGGATAGCAGCGGACGGGTGGCAAGGCGAACCGGTTCTTCAGTCTGTTGGTCTGTGGCTGGTACGGATGGCCAACGAACGACAAAATTACTGCCACTATTGATGAGGCCTCAGAAAGGGGCTCGAGCTTTGGGGAGAGACAGATGAAGGGGGAAAGCGCGGAATCAAGAGGCGGATGAATACGAAACAATAAACATTAATGGCCACGATGACCAGAGCTATTCAAAGGATGAATCGACAATGACGAGGGGTTATTGATATGATGACGCTGAGAGAAAGAAATCAGATCGACAGTTATTCGACCAAGACATCACGGTTCTGGCGGGAAGGAAGGTCCTTTTCAACCTCGGACACGAGACCAAGCCGCCCCCTACCCGTGGCCAAAAGAGCAGTTCGATTAAGGTAAAGCGGGACGATGAAACTATCTCCTCTTTCCTGATCTCCCTTCCGCCCGGAGCAATCCTACTGAGATCCGCAGCAATATATGCAAATGTTAACCATTTGAGAAAAGCGTGCGTGTTCTCGACGGCTCCGGCCCGGCCATCTCGTAGCTTTTTGCGGCGAGAACGATCTTGGGGATGGGCTTTCTCCCGGCTTCGTCGTTGATCACGAGCATAAGCAGACCTGTCACTTTTCAGCCGCCTGGGTCGAAGCGGAGGCTGCTTGTATCGGGACAGGGGTATGGCTCGCGCGTGGTGGCGGGATCTTGGACGAATTTTATGAGGCAAGGTAGGTAGATCGTACATCGTCGTCCCGTGGGGGGCCCACTGACCCGTCGACGACTTGGGGATGGGCTTGGTCGGATGGGTGCGGTCATCCAACATGGCCCTCCTAGTAAGATCGTCCTAGCCATGCATGCCATGGCACCGACGTTCTCTGCGCCAGGGTACCGGATGTCCCGTCCGGGAGGAGACGACATGGGCCTTGGGAAGAGCGTTTACTGTCCCCTTCGGTCGGGTGATTCCCAATTGGCCAGATGGATGCTGGCGTTTGAACCGCACGTCTTCTGCGGGAAGACTCCTCCTCTTTACGAGCAGATTGGCAGCGAGCTGCCATCCCGTGCTGGTGCTCGGCGCTCTCCTATCTGTGGCCAACAAGCCGGGGAACGTGGTGGGCAAGTCATCTCCCCCAGGGGAATGCAGAGTTTGCTGCCTCCTGAGCGCCATACGTCGACCGGACCGGACCATTCCACACATCCCTCATGTCATGGGACAACCCTCACGTCAGTCCGAGCCTGCTGTGGCAGCAGACAGCTGTCACCGGCATCCTAGAATTCGGTGATGGTCCAATGACCGACCTGCTCAGTCGCAGGGTTGAGTGCGGGTAGGTTCTGACTGTCTCCAGCTTCCTGCAGGACGCCCTTGTCGATGAACCGCAGACCAGGACCCATCTCTGTGGGTTGTGAGAAAATCTGGGCTGCTGCAGCAAAGCCCCTTTTACCGAGCATCTGCCATCTATGCCAGTGCGGTTATGCAACGCCGCGGCGGTCTGGCTATTTGATTTGTTACGATCGCCAGGTGGATACATATCTCGTGTTGCATAGGCCGAACCATTCGATTTGAAAGTCTGGGCCAGGAAATCTCTTGCATGCTGAGATCTAGATCGATGCTCGGACTCAGGACGATGGCAGCAGGCAGGCTGAGCGCTTGTCTGCCACGTCAGCGAACCACGGATCGATCACTTCTGTACTCGATATCTGAGCTTCGAAGAGTGGGAATCTGTGGGATGAGATGGTATGATGATTCAAAGAGAAAACAGGCATCGACAGTTGTGCAAAAGAGGAAACATCGCCATGTCGACCTTTCGACACTTACTGAAGCATTCGGCAAGCCAGGGTTACGTTCCCCGAGGCGTAATAACAGGGCTGAGGCTACAGAGTCTTCCACTTTCTCTCGACTGCATACCGGCAATATGGAACGCTCAATGAGTACGACAGAATCTCCAATTGAGGGGGGGCCAGCACAGACACGGGATGGCTCTTGGGAGGCTGCAGGATGTGTGGGGATGAGGAGTCTTCCCACCCCAACGCAGAAAACCCCCCTGTGCATGTACTGACGGCTGGTTGACAAACCGATGCTGCAGCCGTGATGCGACATGTCATGTTGAGATTTTGAGAAGAGGGGTATGAGCGGAAGGTCAGTCCGATGCCGCTGGCGCAGTTGACAGAATCCAGCGAGGCTTCATTTCCTTGTTTGCTGACTTGACGCGGGAGTCGTCCGGGAGCCGATCAACGGGAGCGCCGCCCTCATATTTCAACTTGACTGACCATCACGAACAGACAACATTGCAATCTCATGTTGACCTTTTCTTCTGCTTGGGCAATCGGGGATCGACTCTCGTTTGCGAGAAACAAAATCTCGTGTAGACGGGGTAGGGCAACTTTGGAACCCATGACAGCCCACAACCCCAATGGTTCAGGAAGGTGAGCGTTCATGAACTACACCGGCACACCGGGCGAATATTTCCGGCAGCAGTACTTGCAGATTGCCAGCTGTACCGCAGCGAGCTGCAGCTGGACGTGGATCATGCCGTTTCGACCAATCCTGTCAAGCCGGTGTCAGTCAGAGAAAAAGAAATACACAAAACGGCCATCAAAAAGCAAAAAAAGTTGACGGCACAATCTGTACATCCGTACACAGGGTTCGGCGTCTGCAGTTTGTGGCCTCCAAATTCGTCACAAAATAGTTTCTGAGTTTTCTCTTGACCGGGCAGCTTATCTACGCGTGAGTCGCATTTCTTAATCCATTCGATTGTCATGCACTCAATGATACAATCTGCCAAAGCGTTTTCCTATTTGGTAAATGTCGAGGCCGACCGAACTGGTTTCTTTTCCTAATGAGAACACGTGCATCGATAGAAGAGGGTGCACTGCTGTTGAGCCAGCCCAGACGGCCTTGACATGTCAGAAACAAGCCCGTCCCGGAGAGGCCAGAATGACCGCGGCGATTTGCAGGAAATCAGGGATCCAGGGATCCGGGCCCTCTTAGAGAGATGACATGCCTTTGGTGCTGGGCAATGGACTCGTGTCCACCACGGCAAGCGCTCTTTCCGCTTCGTCTACGCTTGCTATGCAGCGGTGGATACTTGGATACGATCTCATACTCATATCGTTGGAACGACGATATGCCTGAGATCCGAATCGAGATTCGATCAGATTGTGAGCGGGAAAAAATGGAAAAGAGCTATCATAAAAACCGGGAGACAGTGGGCGCGCTGGATTTATTCCAGGACGGTTCGGCGGGTAATCTGTGCGAATGGAGAGTGGCCGGCATCCGCTCTGCCGCGCCGGTTGCATTAGCCTGGTTCCCCGGGACAGGGGAGGTGGCAGGAATCAAAGCCATTTCTGAGAGGCCAGAGTCGGTGGGTTGGCAAGCCTCAGCAAGAGCACGTCGGCTGTAGTCTGGTGGCGATGGCGGAGTCTACTGGATATGTGCGAGGCCCCTTGACTGTGGTCCCGACGTGTGTGCTTGGTCGTAATCTAGATCATAGTTGTTCTTTTCACTTGATCAAGTCCGATCACCATCAAGATTCTCCAATATCATCAGTGTTATAATACTAAGATGGAATATACCCACCGTCACGTCTTATTGACATGGAGGTGGGCTATGATCTGAGCTGTCACGGCTATGCCCTTATTTGATCCGTCCTTTTGGGTCATGCTCAGTTCTGCAACGCCAGTCTCATCAGAGATCGTCAACTCGCTTCTCGCCAGTGATCGAGGCGAGGAGGGAGAGATCAAACAGGTGGTAGAGAGATCGAGCTTGGGTAATGGGCACTAGAATGTGTTAATTTAGGTTGTCAAATATCATACGGTAAAACTGATCAAGTCACAGTCAATATCTTACCCCGGGCAGTCACACAGACGTCTGCCCCGTTTGGTCAGAGTTTGAGCCGCAAACACCATCCCGCCCAGCCGCCGGAAGACGTCTGGACCACCGAAGCGTTCAAAACATTCTCAAATTGCCACAATGGCATGGAAAAAGCCATGGCTGGGCGGCTCAACTCTTGGGCCAAATCTCGGACCGAGTTCTCGCGCGATTCAAAGCATCGGAATGAAGATCGAGTCTTGTTGTTGTTTGTACTAACCACGTCTCGGCGGCATTCAAGTCCTATGTACTGACCCGAAGTATCTGGTCAAAATATTTACACTGAATTGGGCAATACTCCATATCACCATGGTTACTTCGCCACGTTGTGATCCAAGTTTCAATACAACCAGATCAAACCATAGCAGGGATGTTGATCTCCTTGATGGTCCAGACCTTGCCGTTCTGGCTGCTGGCCAGCCCGGTGTAGGTCGCCTTCTGGGCGGTGGCAATGGTCTTGCCAAAGTTGGGGTCGGCACCGGCGAGGGTGATCTCGGTGTTGATGTACTGCTGCTTAGCGATAGTAGGGCTGCAGTTGGCGTTGCACTCGGTACCGGTACCATACCCTCTCATGAAAGGGCCGGACTTGTACTCGTACGTGCTGAGCTGCTTGCCCGTGTCGGCATCGGTGACGGTTTGACGCCAAGTGTTGTTATCCGAGAGAAGCTCGTAGAGAATTTTGACCTTCTGGTTGCCCGAGACAGGGCTCGCGGTGCCGCTGAGCTGGCCGAACCAGCCGAAGAGCGAGGCGCGAACGCACCACTGGCCCTTCTTGGCACCGCACCATGAGTTGTCGGTCCAGGACTCGAGGGTCGTTTGAACTAAATCGCCCGTGCCGTTGGACATTCCAGGCCATAGGGCTAAGACGCCGTTCTGAGTGGGAGGGGCATCTCCGGGGATGATAGTCGTTACGGCCCGGATGATAGTCGATGTCGTCGGGCCAAGTGACACGGAACCGCCCCAGGTGTCAACGGCGACTGAGGTGCCGACCATGGTGGCCACAAGAGCCGTCTTGAGAAATGCGCAGATCATGGTTTTTTTAGGACAAAGATGCTTGTAATGCGTTGCTGACTGTGAAAAGGGCTGGCTACGGCATCGAGAATTGAGCGGGAAATTATTGGCATTTTGTATCTACCTAGTTCACAAAAATCCACCGCAGTGAAAGCAAATCAGATGACTTCACAGCAGAGTTGGAAATTTTCGCCTGCCATCGCAGGGCAACATCAATATCAGAGGCGAACACGAGAGATGATGTTGTTGGCGGAGGAAGTTGAAGTTGAGTTGACGTGCCCATGAACTGGAAAAATTGCTCTGTCCACCAATCACAAGAAAGACACTGCACCAGGTTACGCTGTCTATCAACCCATACGACCCCCATAATGGACAAAAAGACTTGCCAATTCGATCCTAGCCCCATCTACTGCTCATTAAGGAGTGCAACATTTGAACGATTTAGGACTCCGGCACTCTATTTCGGAGCCACTAAACGGCCCTCGGTTGCGTGGGTGGGGTATGTTTCGGAGCCTTCGCCGGAAGACATCCAAAACAGGCAACTTTGATGCCGTTGAAGCCGTCCTGCAATTTCTCGATGGTGTCTCGGTTTCCACTAATGATCCGAACAGCAGGAAAAGGATTCCGGAGAATTGGCACGCCAAGGCACTACGGAGGATTATGAGTCTTGACCAACATGCTGCAGAAGCCTAGAATGACTACATGATGGTTGGCCCAGTTCAACAGTACAGCAACGTGGCACTGTTGGCCACACAGTTTATCCAGATCGGCTGTGGTTGCAATGACATAAGGTGATAGTGATTGCTTAAAAGGCTCCCCAAAATTTGCACCAAAAAAAAGAAAGAAAAACGAAAGAAATTGGAATGATACGCGTAGCCATATATCAATGAAGCCTGTCATAGGCTGTCCACTCACCATAGCATTGCTGACGGTAAGCGATTCGAAAGAGCACAAGGATTTGCATCACCCACCACTAACACGTAGGAAGGGTACCCAGGATGGGCTCAGGTGGCCACCCCAAGTGGCTGTTCGGCATTTGCTGTGCTCGGCATCTCTTACTAAGGTAGACCACACTGCGAAGGCCGATCGGTATACAGCGTCAGATGCAATAAATGCAGCTAGCTGACACTTCTCCCGATTGCAGCCAGTGTAGGTGTAGTGGTGCTACGGAACCGAACCCGTGCGACAGGCCTGAAGCTTGACGATTCTGAAGAAGCCTATGATGAGCGCCGAAGGTTGTCTAGAGAGGTCTGACCAAAGATACGTCGATAATATCGATGGAAATCTGGCATCAGCTTATATTCTGAAGAGTACTGGGGTACTGCGTAGTGTTCCTAGCTGCAGTATCAGGGGATGCAAAGCAGCAACTCTTCTAGCCAAGACAAGCGATAACAGATTCTACTTCGTTCAGTGCTGAATGTAGTATGGAAGGGTTATGACTTGATCCTTTATCGGGATGGTTGAGGGGCAAAGCAATATCACGTATGCCGCTGATGTGGGCAGCGGGCTAAGACGAAGCCAGCCTTGGTGGAGCAGTCTGGCAAGCTACATCTTGTTTCGTTTCATCTTGGACTTCCCGTCGGTTACGTATGGTCCCGACGGACATTTTTTGACCTCATAGATCATTTGACGATCCGATGATAGTTTCCCCTATCCGGCTGAGACGACTCCTGGCTCTGTTGCCAAAGCTTCCGATTTGCGAGCGGCATCTACGCAATTAACAAGGTATACAGTCTACTAGAACTGATTTGGGAACAGAACAGAAAACAGCTGGCACGCAATGGCTCATGTGCCACGTACGAGGTGGACACTGCTTTGGCAGCCCACTTTAGGAGAACAGCGGCGTGGAAGGGAACATGGATATCATGTCAATTCCTCGCCCTGCAACAATCAACCTGGCAACGGACTCAGCTGATTAAGAATCATCATCCTAGGCACTTCAAAAGGGCGCAAGGCACATCAAGAAATCATGTTTATTGTGCGATGTGAACCTTTGTGATGAGAGCAACGCGAGAGCTCCCGGTGAGGGGACGCACGAAGCCTCTGTTTATTCATGTGAGTATCAAGTAACACCAATTTCTTGATCTTGGATACTTGAGGTGCCTTTCTACATGAAAGAAAGATACTGGACTGTTTGCCGATCAACACATCACCCGAAGCCTCCAAGAAGGATCGCATAACATACTGAATAGCCGAAAGGGTACATGTATAAGTGGCCAATTTCAAGATCCAAGAGATTGGTTTGTTACTATACCAGACTTCTGCAATTTTCCCCAGGGTCTCTTGGGCATGGGAAATACTCTCCGGTGCCTTACCCACTTATCCAGCCGGGGAAGCCCCTCTCCAGGTATTCTGCTCAACCCTGCAGTGCGGAGCTATGTCTGACGATCTTGAGACAGTCCGGACGCTCAAGAGACGTTAAGCCATTATCGGAAATTTGAAAGTCCTTGTTCATAAGCTGCTAATTGATTGATGCCTCATGATGTATTAACCGGTCTCAGAAGTGTATTCTTATGTCGAAGAACGATGCCGGAGTTCGGCACCAATGTTCGGCACCAATGAGCAACGATCCGGCAAAAGCCGTCGCTTACGGGAACTAATACCCTTTATATTACCAGACTCATGTTATCTTGTACAAGGGCAGTGAAGTCTGCATTGGCATAATGGTCTAGAGATCGGAAAGAACCGATGGAAGGCCGTTATGTTCAGGATTCCATAGAACGAGAATCGTGGGATACCGAGATCGTCAGAAGCTGGAGTTTGTTTGACCTGCTGGGACTTACATGGATCTTCGGCAGTCAACATCGTTTCCACTCAAGACAATCCGATAAATACTATATCTCTAGTTGATGTTGTCTTTGTTGTCTGAAAACTGCCGGTGTAGATACCGGTTCTGTTCGGTAGCATGGTGTTTTCCCTATCCCTACCAGCAATTGCAGGCTGTATTTTGCCACTTCTGTCAATTGGTGTGACTTCAGCCTCGAAGTCAGGAATGAACAAGCTCCAGCCTTGTGATAATGAGGGGTACTAATGCCTATTCAATGGACCTCAACATTGCACTGGTGTACCCGACGGACTTGCCCTTTCTGAGAACAGAAGTTGATGAGCCAAGACCACCAAGCGGCTTCAGAACAAGGGATGTCCGGTGGGCTTCAAAGCTTAATCATAGATAGGCAGCGGAGAATTGCGATTAAGGTGTTATGATCGGCATGAACATCCATGGATCATTGAACACACATGGCGGTAAGGCAAGCTGCCAGGCACAAACGCTGAAGAGTGGGAAAACTGTGAAAGTGCCAGTAGACAGCTGGGTAGATTTGCACCACACCAAGTCGTCAATTTGTGCAACCTTACTACACGTGGTGCCATTATTGCGCGTGTTCAAGCTGATACGAGTGCTGCATTCACCACCGTACCAGAAAAAGAGTAGCCGTCGTGTGTGGAACAAGTCACATCAAGCGTTGCCTTAGAAAGGCCGAGGCGGTCATCATGCGCTTTAACCGATCGCTCTGGACTGTCAAACTGACTAGGACTTCACGACAGCCTAGAACAGAGTGGACCCGAAGTTTCGGGGCTCTGGTCATCATTATCAATCTGCAAGGGCAAGGAAGTCTCCCCGCGGCTAGGTTTGTCGGAAAGGAGATGATTGGTAAGTTCGTTTGGCTACCTGCCTTCATCCCAGGATCGAGACGTTGAAAGCGCTTACGCTAGACACAGGCCGAACAAGGAGACCCTGTAGAACGACATGAGGTTGAAAAGGTAGTCTACATAGTTTGGAACTAAAATTCGGCGTCGCTCAATCAAGAAAAGCCATTCGACGATTCCGTTGACAACGGACGCTTGCTTCAAGGTAAAAAGCTTGAAACATCGTCAAAAGTCTATTGGTCCCCATGTCCCCTCATTTAGAGTTCGTGTCGAAGCCTTCAACTTGCGTCAATTCTTGAGCCGCTGTGCCGTAATGCCGGATTTCGGTCGTCGATAGCAGGCAGATCTCAGATAAGTTGTGTCTTGGGAAGTAAGAACGGGGTTGATAAGCGGTTGGCAGCCATGACGTGTGAAGGCATATCGGTGATCGAGGACCACAGTCAAGGACAGCAACTGATCGAAGGAGCTCCATCCATACGCTTCTCCCAGTTCATCGCAAGAAACTGCGTTCCAGACGCCGCGGCGGGCGTTAAAGAATGTGGGAACCGCTGGTCTGTCTGGAAAGTTCCCCGCGTGCTCCGGATATCATTCCTCAGAGGCGTGAGATATGAACCAGGAAGGTTGTCAATCCTCATTGATAATTGATCCTACCTTTACAAAATCGACAATGATCAAGCTGCAATGAGCTATGCGAGCCCCGAAAGCCAGCAGCTTGTCTCATCTGAACCACTCTGTTTCTCTCTCGCCAGGAACCACATCCAAACATGTCGACGACGGATGCGATTGGAAGCCACATCTGCGCCAAATAAGCACATCTCCCTCGATTGGCTTAGAAGGGAAGCTGTGCTCATACTGGGAGTTGGCGAGTGCAGAAGCCGAGGCCACGATCCGAAGCGACGCCCTTCAAGGGGTGACGAGCGGTCCGAATTCGCTGCGACCACGACGTATCGACGACGCCATGGAAGTCAGCAAGAACCTGTGCGGCGATGTCTGGAGAGGCCAGCAAGGTATGGCGCAAGCGATTAGCTGCGGCTTGAGCTGCACTTCGGCATGCCAACCGACCGAAGACTGGGGGCTCCTTCCTGTTTTGGGTCAACCACCAAAACCAACACCGTCAAATAACCGCGGTGATTCATTCACCACAAGGAAAGGTACTGCAGGCAACCCATTCACCACGAGGAAAGGTACTGCAGGCAACCCATTCACCACGAGGAAAGGTATTGTGGTCAATTGTGATTGGAGAAGCGAATAGCTGACGCGCGCTTCAGGGCTTCTCAAGCTTGCAGACAGGAAACTATTCAGAGAACTTCAGAAGACGCAGGGCGGGAACCAAGTGCCAGTCGTGATGGCCTGGCTACTCGTGTTCCTCGGCCCTCCAGGGCTCGACCTCCTATCGATCTCTTTGTGCGCGATCATTTTCTATCTTGCCGCCAAATACATTCACCGAGCTCTTCTCTGCCCCTTGTCAAAGTTCCCTGGTCCTAGACTGGCAGGTGTTACCAAGCTGTACGAGGCTTATCACGTTCTCATAAAGAACGATTGGCTTGAGAACCTTGAGTCCCTTCACGAGAGATACGGCAAGTTGTACTCATAACCTAGAAGTATACAAGATCTGACAGTCACTCCAGGGCCCATGGTGCGAATCGGTCCCAATGAATTGCACTTCAATGACCATAAGTTCTGTCTCGAGTATCACAAGCGTCCCGATCTTCTGAAGTGTGACAATTACTACGGCATTTTGAACACATTGCTTGGCGGTTTGGCCAGTCCGACAAAGCACAACCAAAGAGCAGCAGCCATGAGACCAATCTTCTCGGGAAAAACACTGACCCAGTACAATTCCACGCTCGACAACTATCTCGAGTCACTCTACCTACGCTTGAACGATGTTGCTGGTAATGGGGATGTCGTCAATCTGACGCACTACCTATGGGCCTTTACCAACGATGTCATGGTGTCGTATCTCGTCGAGGAAAATTATGGGTTTCTGAGGGTATTCGACCTGGAAACTGTTCATGACAAGACGCGAGCGTTCAATGCTATCGACCTGGCCACCATACTGAGGTGTATGCCTCCTGTCAAGCTTCTCCTTGACGCGTTCCCAGTTATACGGTCATACTCGCCACTTGGATGGCTCGATACTGTAAGTAATTCGCAACCCAATTGAGGCCGGTAGTGGATCTTTAACACATGAAAGCTTGTGTCTAAGCATGTCACGACTATGGTCAAGTCCTGGGACGATGAGAACAGCCACGAAGGTATCCTGTCCCGGATGTTCAAGGAGCTCGGAAACGAAACTCTCACGATACAGGAGTCATCTCAAGCAATCTTCATCGGAAACGAATCTTTACTCAGCAACTTGACATTCTTAGTACACCATCTCGTCCAAAACCCCGACTGTGTGAAGAGAATCAGGTCCGAACTGGATGCGCTTGACCTCGGCCTGTTCGGACACCGTATCTGGAGAGACCCGAGGTTACTTCATCTGAAGTACTTGGTATGGGTCTACATTTCTCTCTACTCGTGGCTTCCATAATGCTGACTCGAATCAGGACGCGGTGTGCAAGGAGTCAACTCGACTGAGCTCTCCGGGTTGGCATCGCCAGCCAAGACAGAGTCGTACTCCGGTTGACTACTACGAAACTGTCATTCCCCCAATGGTAAGTTTTTGTTGCGTCTCTAAGAAATCATAGCTGCTGACTTGCTACAGACAAGCCTGAGCTTCACTTTGAGGCTTCTTGAGCACGACCCAGAGCTGTACCCCGACCCGAACTCCTTCATACCCGAGAGATGGCTTGGGATTAGTGAAAGCTCGAAGGAAGCCAGGAACAAGACGGTCACGTTTGGAACTGGAACACGAACATGTCTTGGCCAACAGTGAGCTTTTCTCATCAATATTCGCCATTTCTCTCTGAAGCTGACGTGCACTTCACCCGCAGTATTGCCCAAAGGGTTTTGCGCAAAGCCATTGCCAGTCTGGTTTACAATTTCAACATCTCGCTGTGGGATGAAAAGCTTGATATCGCAGAGGGTTATAGATACCTGAACACGTACCCGAAGAAGGGCCACGAGGGATATCTCAAGGTCAAGCTGACGCCGCGGTTTGGACATCAAACATGATGACATTCTCATGAATTACATGATACCACAAGATTCCCTTTAGATGACGCATCGGGAGATTCCCAACAACCCTGCATTCAGTAACAATCATAGCATAATAATCATTGATTCATAAACGAAGCGGCAGACTGCCCACCAGTCTCTTGTCACACTCCCTTGCATGTGACCGATTATCTACAGTCATATGTCATATGAAATATTCGTCCGTGATAATTGCGTCAAAGCCTATGCCGCTATAGTATCAGGCGGCATAGGTTGATTCGCTGCGATAAGAGGCTTCGGCGGCCATTCTCCAGCATCGAAAGGACATTCAAAGTCGTGAACTCCAGACTGGACCACGCGAATCGGTTCATCAGTCTCATCGAAACCCTTCCTCAGTTTCGAGGGCAGCGTCACAGAAGCCGAACAACTAGGCGGAACAGCCAGCTTCATTCTGAAGACGCCGTCCTCCAACTTCCACTCGCAAGAAACTAGTCCGTAGGGTCCATCAAAAGACACACGCGCGCTGGTAAGGTTACCCCCGGGAACAGGACGCACGCGGATCGCGCGCCAGCCCGGCTCAAGCGGCGAGATACCTCCAACGGATCCATGCAACCAATCTGCCACACTACCTAGCGCGTAGTGATTGAAGCTGGTCATCTGGCCCGGGTTGATACGACCATCCGGAAGCATGCTGTCCCAGCGCTCCCAAATGGTCGTCGCGCCCATGGCCACAACCGCATACAGCCAGCTCGGGCACATGGTCTCAAGAAGCATGCGGTATGCCAGCTCAGGACGACCAATCTTAGTGAGTGCGTGTGAGATTACCGGAGTTCCGGCGAACCCAGTGCTTATGCGGAAGCGCGCCGTGCGAACGAGCTTTTCGAGAGCGTTTGCAGCTGTCTGACGCTGAAGAGAATCATGTGGGTATAAGTCGAACTGGAACGCAAGACCCAGACCGGTCTGAGAGCTCGACATCAGGTTGCCTTCCGCCGTGATGTATCGCCGTTGGAATAGCTTCTTCAGTCGTTCTGCATCCTCGGCGTACTTCGCAGCGAGATCATTCTGTCCAAGGGCAGCACATAGGCCAGAGAACACCAAAGTTGTGTGAACAAGATACGCGTTTGCAACGAGAATACTGTCTGTCCGACCGTTTCCAGGATCATCAGGAGGGGCTGTAGGATCGAGCCAGTCAGACAGTTGCCATTTGTCTGGGTTCCAGAGGCCGTCAGGGGCGCGATCGACTCCTTGATCCAGCCAGGTTTGCATGCTTGTGAACTGGCGCTCAAGAAGGCCCTTGTCGGAGCTGTACTGGTATAGCACGCTTGGAGCAAGGACAGTCACGTCGTCCCAGACAGCTTGTGCGATGTGCGGCCAGTTGGGGCTGATGGCCAGGGGTACTACCAACGGCGGAATACCTCCTTTGCCCTCTTCGAGCTGTTCTGCCGCAACGTCTTGAAGCCAGTTGCCAAGTATTCCCAGCGTGTCGTACAGGAATGTCGCTGTGGGGCAGAAGACTTGCAGGTCGCCGGTCCAGCCGAGTCTTTCATCTCTTTGAGGGCAGTCAGTTGGGATAGACAAGAAATTGCCTCTCATGGACCAAACAACATTCTTATGTAGTTGGTTGACGTGGGGATTGGAACACTCGAAGAAACCTCTTCGCCTCATGTCGGTATGCATAACAAGCGCCTCAATGTCGCCGGCTGAGGGAGCACCTCCAGGCCAGCCGTCAACCTGGACAAACCGGAAGCCGTGAAAAGTAAACTTCGGTGTCCAGTCTCGAAGCTCGTTGCCTGAGCCGATGATGGTATCGAAGCACTTGGCATCTCTGAGGGGCCTTGTTCCAAGTTCGCCATTCTCCATGACCTCTGCATGCCTGAATGTGACTTTCTCGCCGGCATCGAGCTTGAGAGATTTGATGAGAAGCTTTCCGACCAGATTCTGCCCGAAGTCGAGGATGACTTTGTTGCTCTCGCTTCGGAATACCTTAATGCAAGGCTTCGTTTCGGTGACTCGGACAGGAGGTGCATCGGGAGCCACCAGTTTTGCCTTCGGCCAGGGTAGTATCTTGGTTCCAATTTCACTGGACCACTTCGAGTCCGTGAGGTTCCATCCCTCCGTCTCTTCTCTCGAGTCGTAGGTCTCACCATCGTATATCTCGCTGTTCGTGATCGCGCTTGGGGAGGAAGACCAGGTGCCATCCGACAGCAGTGCCCAGGGCTCGCAAGGTGAGCCCCTGACCTCCAGTTGTGCGAAGAGGCCGATGATATCACCGTATCTGAATCGGATGCCCCCCTTGAAGCCAAGTCGTCCAGCATACCACCCCTCACCGACTTCAACACAGATTGTGTTCTTCTGCCCAGGTAACAGAAGGTTCTTGACGTCGAGTATGCGGTATACCAGTCGATGTCGGTAGCTCGTCCATCCCGGTGCCATGCACTCGTCCGTCACTGGCTTTCCGTTGATAGTTGCCTCGAAAACACCCAGGGAAGTGATATACAACCGGGCCGAAGACGAACTGAGGTCAACATCTTCGGGGAGCACAAACTCCTTGCGGAATCTGATGGGTCTCAAGGGACCGCGAGGACCAATTTGCTCGGCCGACGTGATGAAGTTTGCTTGGAAGTCCTTCGGCTGAAGCAAAGCAGCTTCCACAGTCGCTGACGCCGACCATTTGCTTGGCTCTTCGGTCTTGTATGTATCGTTCGAGAGGCTCTTTCCGTAAACTCGGACACGAACTGAGGCGGATTCTCGTGAGGCAAGATCTCTGGCAGGCCATGGTACCAGAACGGACTGGTCACTCGTTTCTCGGAAGGTCCGGGGTTTGTTGTCGGAAGCGAAAATGACTTCGAGTTCGTACGCAGTTTGAAGCCAGTCAGCAATGGTGGACTCACTCGCCTCGAATCGCCATGAGATTCTGGGTCTGGAGTATTCCACCCCGAGGCCACTGTGATGGTGCTCGAACACCGGCTTGGTAACGGTAGGTGAAGTCATGATTGGGAGCTTCGATCGATACTAGTGAGGAGTCTAAGAATGATGCTTGGACTCAATAGGGTTACGCGAATGAAATACTACTAGATCAGTCAATACGTCTCGTCACGATCTGACCGTTCCGGCCTAATGGTGACCGAGTCGGGGTGTTCTCGGTGCGAGACATCGCGTTTCGAAGCAAAGAAGTCTGTAAGTTTCTAATCATTTCAAAGGCGGTCTTCTTTCCGCAAATGCCAAGGGTTCATGCCGATCAACAAGCAACCGGAGCTCATGCGGGCGTCTCGAAGGATCGCAAGACCACCAGATGCGGAGTTACCGCCTCCCCCGCAGGAGCACGAACTCGCCTCCACGACTTCGCTACGACTCTATGACACCCCTAACATCGACTCTCAACATAATGGAACGATTCTTGCATGGGTTTGCAATCCCGATCCCAGGTTTCTGGGATCGGTCTCCTGTACTGCCGAGGTCATCGGGCTACCTTTGTACCGAAGGAGGACCTAGCAAAGGAGGCAACAAAACAGTTGTAAATAAGATAACCCCAGATTTCCACTTGCATGATGGAACCACAGTTCCCCAAACGTGCTTTTACTCCACACCCGGTGTCCCTATCAGCATGAACTTCCTCATCGTCGCTGTGGCGCTTGTCGCTGCGCAGGGCGGCTTCATCTACGGTTTCGACTCTGGTATGGCAATGATCTCGACTTGATTTTGCAATGTTGACTGACGGTCTGCCTAGGGATCATTGCCACAACATTTGGCCATGATAGCTTTAAGCTTAAAATGTATGGACCTTCGATGGTCAACACCGCTTATACAGGTAAGACCGTAAGCCAGTACGCTTGGTTTGCCTCCACTGATCCATGCTAATCTCATCGTTGTACAGGCGCCATCGTCTCCGTCTATAACGCAGGCCAGGCCATCGGCGGTATGACCTGCGGTTACCTTGCGGATAAGTTCAGTCGAAAGTACACGATTCTCTTCGCATCGATTTTGAGTTAGTCCTTGTATTCCAAGGCATGATTTTGAAAACGCTGACAAGAAGATTTAGCCATTATTGGCTCCGTCCTCCAATGTGCCGCGATGGAAGTCGGTATGATGATTGCCGGACGTCTGATTGCAGGCATAGGTTGCGGAGAGCTCCTTTCCGTCGTCCCCATCTACCTCGCCGAAGTTGCACCACCCGCTCGACGTGGTCTCCTCGTCGGTCTCCAGGGCATGATGATAGCGTGCGGCTTCGGGCTCGCAAACTGGGTTGGTTTCGCTGGTGCATTCGCCTCGGGAGACGGCCAATGGCGGATTCCACTGGCAATGCAGCTCCCCATCCCGGTCGTGCTCTCGGTCATGGTCTTCTTCGTGCCCTTCTCGCCCCGTTGGTTGATTCTCCGCGACCGGTACGAAGAAGCCAAGACTGTGTTGGCAAGCCTCCACGGTGCGGCCGACAACGACGACTTGGTCGGCCGAGAACTCATCCAGATCAGAGAGCAAATTCTCATGGAAAAGCAACAAGGCAACATGGGCTGGATCGCAGCCATGGGACAGATGTTCTCACGAAAGTACATCCGGCGTACTCTTACGGCTGCTTTCATCGTCACCATGGGTCAACTCAGCGGTTCGTCGGTCATTCAGAACTTCCAAAACATCTTCTATGCCACGGTTGGCTTCACCGGCCGCACTGCTCTTCTGATTAGCGGTGCATACGGTATGATGGGTATCATTGGCCAGGTCATCTACCTCGTCGTCGTAGCAGACCGCTGGCCACGAACGCGTACGCTTTGGAGCGGATCTTTGGTTCTGAGTGTCATGATTGCTCTCTGCATGGCCTTGAGTGCGGTCTACGGCACCCAGGACAATGAGAATGCCGCAGGAGCCCGAGCCGCCATCGCAGCAATCTTCCTCTACTCCATGTGCTACGCCATCTTCTTCAATGCCATGATTTGGGTTGTTCCCTCAGAGCTGTTCCCATTCTTCCTGCGAACAAAGGGCCTCGCGTTTGCGGTGGCTGCGAAGTCGGTAACTGCCATTGTTCTCTCGCAGATCACCCCTCTTGCCATCGCCAACGTCAGCTGGAGGTTTGTTTCTCCAGGCCTCATGATCACTCCCGTTGGAAATGCTTACCAGTATCCCGCAGATATTACTCCCTTTTCATTGCGACCAACCTAGCTGCTGCTGTTTTCTATTTCTTCTTCCTCCCCGAGACGGTACGTTCCTTCCATGACTGCCAAAACAGCTGTATTCTGACGAGACGCAGTCTGGAAAATCCCTCGAAGAGATTGCAGAGTTATTCGGAGATGATCTGGCGACGAATCGTCTCGGCGAGCTTGATGTAGATGCCAAGAACGGGATTGGGCCTGAAACTGAGTTCCACGAGTTCTCTGAGCGACAGCCGGACACTCGGGATGAAGATGTGCCAAATCGCGTCTAAATTGAGCGATGGTAGATAATGTAACCACAAGACTACGATAGACCTTCAAGCACATCAATATGCAAAGTACTTGGCAGCCATCCGAAACTCCGCTCAGTGCCCGTCATCGGTCTAAAGACACTGAACCGCGTTTGAGACTTCGTCAGCCATCCACCCGAGGCGTCTCTTGGGTCAAAGGTTCGGCGTCGTTTTGTACAACTATCGTCCGTTCCTTATGATGTTATGTCGCTTGCTCGCCTGTGGTGATACCGAGAACAGCGAAAGCTAGGGGAGTGCTTCGGCCCCCGATACTCCCCGCAGTATCCAGAATGGATACCCATGCCGGTGTGGGGCCGTGGGACTCGCGGGGTCAACGGTCTTCTACCCGAGAGGTGACCCGGACAAGCGCCAGGCTTCCCCGGACGAATCGATGGATCAATTCGGGGGAGTCACAAAGCTCCCCCTAGCGACGCGCCGCCGTCACCCCCTCGGTCGATATTCTCCGAACCTCCTTCTGGAACATCATTCCAAGTGAGGCGTAGATAGCCACAAGTCCGAGCCACATCGGAGAGAAAGCCGAGAATCGGACTTGATGGCCGATCGTAGTTAAGAGCGAGCAGTCACGTAATGAGGGTTATGATCGTGAGATACAGTGTTTCTCAGCCTCAAAAGTCGTCTTTATTATCATATCTTCAGCCCTGGTCTGCAAGTTCAAGACTCCCACTTGAATGCCGTCCGTTCATGTAACACCTACGTCATACCCTCTAAGACCCTCACATACCATCCGCACAATACCGCCCTACACATTGCAGCTGCATACTCTCATTGCAAAGCTCATTCACTCTCAAACATGGAAGCAAACCACATCCTCATCACCGGCGCGGCCGGCTTTATAGGCCAAGAGCTGACAGTCGCTCTCCTGCTATCCTCGCCCACAATTCACCTCACAATCACCGACATCACCACTCCAGCAATCCCCCCTTCCTCCGTCATCCCTGACGCTGCATCACGAATCACTGCGCTGCAGACGGACCTCACATCTCCCGATGCCGTGGCAGAACTACTTACGCATCACTCCCGCTTCAATGCGATGTACCTCCTGCACGGCATCATGTCGGGTGGCGCCGAGGCGAACCTCGACCTCGGTCTCCGGGTGAACCTCGACAGCCATCGGTACATCCTTGACGCCATTCGCCAGACGACCTCGCCTCATCGCGGGACGGTTGTGGTCTTCCCCAGCTCGTTGGCTGTTTACGGACCGGTTGGGGGACAAGTAGTCACCGAAACGACGTGCCCTACACCCCAGTCCTCGTACGGCGCAGAAAAGCTCATTGTCGAAACCCTAGTCGGGGATTACTCACGCCGTGGGCTTATCGACGGCAGAATCGTGAGATTACCGACCATCATCGTCCGTCCGGGAGCGCCGAGCGCCGCCGCCTCGTCGTTTGCGTCGGGGATCGTGAGGGAGTCTCTCAAGGGCGAGCAGAACATTTTGCCTGTGGGACCCGAGCTCCCTATGTGGATTTGCTCGCCGAGGACGGTTGTTGCCAATTTGGTTGCTATCAAGGACACCCCGCGGGAGAACTTTGGACTGTCGAGGGTTGTGAACCTGCCGGGTATCACTGTGACAGTCGCGGATATCCTCAATGCATTGGAGGTTGTTGGAGGGCCAGAGGCTCGGGCTAAGGTTACTGAGCAAAGAGACCCGCAGATCGAGGCCATCGTTGGAAGTTGGCCGGCGCTTTTTGACGTTTCGAAGGCGCTTCAGCTCGGCTTAGCCCAAGACGCGGATATCGTGACCACAGTAAAGGATTTCGCCGATCGACTTCGTTCTGGCCTATAGTATAAATAATGACCGGTCACATCAAAGATAGCTATTGAAGAACAATACTGTGGGACTGCAGAGTAAAAACCATAAATCGTCTATGCATTTTGTTGTCACACGGGGTATCTAGGGTGGTTGCCTGCGACTCACGTTCATCCCCTGAAAGAAATCTCATGCCCAACTCACAGCGACGGAAAAGAAAACAGCAAAACCGCAAATGCTTTGGTACACTCCACGATGCCTAGTCATCCCACTCCTCGTCGAGCTGGTCTATCAACCGATTCTCGTCTTCGCGGTTGCGTCCTCTGCTAGGTGACCCAGAGAGGTGACGGTAGCCGCGCCTCCCAGGCAGAAGCTGGGCACACGACGACGTCGCAATGACGAACATATCCTGGCACGAGATTAGCTTCGCGTCTAACAGCGTCATCTTTGGTCTCAGCTTACACTGACAAACCCCCAAATGCCGGCCCAGAGACTGTAGTTAGGCAGCTGCCGCCAGCCACGGGCGTGGGCGACAGTCCGCTGATAGAACACGCCTCCGCCAAAGTAGACCATCACGGCGATGACGAAGATGATAGCAAAGACACTTCCGGGACCAACGCTGCCGGGCTGGTGGGGCTCGGCTCTCGGACAGGCGTGCTGGGAACGAGCCTCGAAGAAGTAGGCGCAATCATCGGGATCTGAGCCGACGAAAGAAATGTGGGCTGCTCCACCAACCTGCTCCGTGTCGCAGTGGAAGGAGATGGTCGCAGACTTGCGACGAGTCGTTGTATCGTCTTTCTCGACGGAAATCGTCTTCTTGCCATCGCCCGATGCCGCAATGAGCGTCCTGTCTTCGTCGTCGGTGTACCTGTTGTAGGAAGCGCCGTCGTGGGTCATCGATCTCTTCGACTTGCTTTCGCCGCATGGAGAGCCGTTCTTGTACTGGAGAACCAGAATGCGCCCGCGAGTCTGGATATCCATATTTGTCTGACTATTACGCGCCTTGGTTAGCCTTAGAGTATTGAGTTGCTCGCGAAGAGAATGACGAACCCGATGGAGAAGATCTCGGTTTTATATCTGTAGTATGCGCTGACGTTCTTGGACTCGCCAGGGCGCAACCCCACCACATCTTCGACGGAGTCGATGACAGGCGCGCAGATGTTCAGAGTGAAGTTCTTGCCATAGTCCCAGCCTCTAGCGTGGTAGTCTGTCGTGACGGATCCCTTGGATGACTTGCCATCCTCAGCCTTGACTGCGATGTCTGGACGCAGGTCGTAGAAGGGCCCTCCGGATCCGCTCTTCGAAGCTGCCGTGCATGCCGGCACGCTCGTTGTAGTCGAGGTGGTCGAGGTATCGGCGGCGGTCGCTGTCGCAGCTGCTGCGAGGAGCAAGAGAAAATTGGAGGAATGTAAGAAACGCATGGTTCTGAGTCGGCTTAGTATCGAATAAGGGGTCCAGGCAGCGATTGGAATGGTCGTGAGCGCGGGCGTATGCGCTTCGGATCGCAGCGGAACTTTGGTCGGAGAGAGACTAGAACATCAATTGCCGGTGAATGAAAGGCTCAATAATGGAAACTGAAGCGAAAGATGCAGCTATGTCTTTACAATTCGACCAGAATCTTGTAAACGTGGTCGAAGGGGGCGATTGGCAGGACAGTTCGGGGGGGAAATGCCGTATTGGAAGCCACTTGGTCATTCGTCAGCCTTTCACAGGGAGATGCTGATGGGACGGGAGTGACGGGAAGGGGTGCATTGATTGGTGGACAGGCGCTCCTTGCAGCACCCGGCCAGGCTGCATTCAGTGAGGTGCGCTTCATTTTCCGCGCCCGTCTCGGCAGGATCACGTGTAGCAGTGACCTGATTACATAAGAACTCGAGCTGATGCTTTGGTAAGCACGAGTGCACCTCTCAGAAACGGCACTTGGCAACCACCGATGGCCGCGATAAGAATGGGAGCTCCTTATCGCTTGAGGTACGTACACCGGTGGATTGCTGTAAGTCAGACGGCAGCGAGATCTCATCGCGATCCTTCCAGCCATTGTCGAATCACGTTGAAGAAAATGACTTTCTAACCTCATGCGCAGCGCTCAGGAACAGAGCACAAAGATCCCTCCGAATTGAACCTCAACCGGGCATCTAAACTTCATATCGTCCGATGCTTTTGCATGTCCTCCCGGAAGCCGTGCCCCTCGGTGGAACCATTCCTCCGGGGGCGCATCCCACCGTTTCATTCTCGAAGCCGCGCGGGATCCAATCAGACCAAGCTAAGGCCCTAGTAGCGTCATCGACCTTCGTGAACCCGCCCATGAGGTCACCCGGAATCCCTGAGTTCCGGCGCAAGTCATCTATAGCCTCCATTCACAGCCTCCTTGACGACGAGGATTCGACGTGGACATCTTGTCGAAACTTCGTCTTCGTATTCCCACGTCGACGGGCAGACTACATATAGCGACATTCCCGCGACCTTCGAACATTTATTGTTGCTGGATAATTGCACACAAAACAAAACACGCGACGCGTCTTCCTGCCAGCAATTTCACGATGGCCAAGTCGACGCAAGACGCGGCCCAACAGCCTCATGGCTACCACTTTGGAGGACCGTGTGTATCCCGCTTTCAATTGAATCCTGCTATCGTACTTACTAATTGCTGTCTGCAGTATCGGAACTTTTGGCATTTCAATCATCCTCCCCGTTCTCGTCTACGTTTTTGCTTTCGCCTGCAACGACATCTCCGGGTGCCCCGCGCCGTCCCTTCTCGACCCCAAGAACTTGACCCTTGAACAACTCAAGCGCGAAGTCGGCTGGCCTCAGGAGGGTGTCTGGGGCCTTGGCAGTACAAAGGTTACCGGCATTGTCCTGGGATACTACTTCTTCAATGCGCTCCTGTACCGTTTCCTGCCCGGCACTGAGGTTGAGGGCGTCCAGCTTGCCTCTGGCGGCAAGCTCAAGTACCGCTTCAACTGTATGTACAGCTGTCACATCATGGACCTCTTCCGTTACTGACAGAATAAGCGTTTGCCTCTGGCATGTTCATCTTGACCCTCTGCCTTGCTGGCACCGTTGCCCAGGGCGCTGAGTTCCCTGTATGGACGTTCATTACCGACAACTACATCCAAGTCGTCACTGCCAATATGCTGGTTGCCTTCGGTACAGCCACATTCGTCTATGTGCGCAGCTTCAGCGTGAAGCCTGGCAACAAGGAGAACCGCGAGCTGGCTGAGGGTGGGCACACCGGTAACCTGGTGTACGACTGGTTCATCGGACGAGAGTTGAACCCCCGCGTTACCATTCCCATCATTGGCGAGATCGATATCAAGGAGTTCATGGAAGTTCGACCCGGTCTGCTCGGCTGGTCTCTGGTCAACTTTGCTTGGATGGCCCAACAGTACCGCACTTACGGCTTCGTCACCAACAGCATCGTCTTCACTTCCGTCGTTCAGACCATTTACGTCATTGATTGCTGGTACAACGAGCCTGCGATCCTGACTACCATCGACATCATCACCGACGGCTTTGGTTTCATGCTGGCTTTTGGCGATGTTGCGTGGCTCCCCTTCATGTACTCGCTCCAAACCAAGTACCTGGCCGCGTATCCCGTCTCGGTCAGCCCTCTCGGCATGGCTGGAATTTTCAGCGTTATCGGTGTCGCGTTCTTCATCTTCCGCGCGTCCAACAGCCAGAAGAATGCGTTCCGCAACAACCCCAACGACCCGAGCGTTGCCCATCTGAAGTACATCGAGACCAAGGCCGGCACTCGTCTTCTGATCACTGGCTGGTGGGGAGTCGCGAGACACATCAACTACCTGGGCGACTGGCTGCAGGCGTGGCCTTACAGCTTGCCCACCGGCATGGCAGGATACAAGATCGTCTCCGCTGGAAGTGATTTCGTGGCGTCTGGTGTCGCAGGAGCCTTTAAGATGGCTGATGGTCGTGAGGTTATCCAGGGTGACGCGCGTGGATGGGGAATTCCCTTCACCTACTTCTACATCCTCTACTTTGCGATTCTGCTGATTCACCGCGACCGCCGCGACGACGAGAAGTGCGCGCGCAAGTACGGCGAGGACTGGGAGAAGTACAAGAAGATTGTCAGGTGGAGAATCCTGCCCGGCATCTACTAAGACATCAAGACAATCTTGAGATGTTCTTTTGTCGGAACGCAGGGCCGGGTTATGGAGACAGATGGGGACGGATGGGGACTCTCTTCGGGCCGTTTTCTTGACTCGTGGGGCGTGGCCAGGTGCGGCGTTCAGGACTGGCGTTGGAACTTGGGCAACGGTTGCGCATGTGGCGTTCATGGCTCATGTGGGCAAGCGATCTTGCTGAAGCAGATACAAGCATAATTTCACGTCTTCTACACCACAAATCACGGAGTGTAATGCGGTCGAGAAACGGAGACAAACTTTAGCCCAGCAGTAAGCTTCTTTCCTATCTCGTCGTTCACCGAACCCAGCTACGCAAGTAATGACCCAACCAATAATGGTTTGGCACATGAACCGACGTCTTTGGGCTTGTCCGTCCCAAGTTTGACAGAGACCTTAGACAGCCATTGGAACGTTACCTGCTCTGCCTGCCGCAAATGTACGTCAGACCAGACTTTGATGCGGTCTAGCCCGGCCTGGCAGCCACGCAGCCTTGGTCATTCATTCTCTTCGGACTCCCCTCTCGAGAGATGCAGCGATGAAGCTTCTCCAATATCAAGCAAACGGGCCGAAAAGGTCGGAGGTCCCGCCGCTTGGCGACGGGCAGCTCGGTGATTCGTGAATGGGCGATGCGGGCTGGCCGGATCTCCTTCTCAGTGGTCCGTTTTTCATCATGGAGAGAAGGCCGGGGAAGGAGAATGAGGGGTAGGACAAGGGACCGATGGAAATGTGCGGGTTAAAATGCGGGGGAGATGGAGAAGGAAAGAAAAAAGTGGTTGCGCAAAAGTGCTGCGGCCAAGAGGCGGGGATGAGCTAGGCTCGGGCATGGCGTCGTGAAATGATTAGTGTGCTCGTGAATAAGAATCATTTTACGGTTTTGAGCGAGGGTTTTATGTCAATTGAAAAGTTGAGATGAAATGGAGGCTGTACTTAAGCATACATGGTAAAGGTTGGCCGGTGAGATGAGATGGATATTAAAAGGGCCATCTAACAAATGAACGATTCAGGAACGGGTGGTTTTGAGGCTTTTGAGTTTATGTGAAAGTTTTGCGCAGCCATCCCGGCAAGGTGACATTATTCAGATTGTTGCAAGAAATGTTTACAAAACATTTTCCGGACACGAAGGCTTTTTTCGCCAAGCAGCGAGACAAGTGCCGAGGGTGTGTGTGGGGGAGCGTTTATTCCGATCTGCGGCGTTCTTGGTAAGTGTCGACAATGCCAATGCCGGCTCTGGGCGATTGCCCGACGGCTTCTTTTTCATGGCGTGAGGTGAGATGGACCTTGAGAGCGCGGGTTAACCACGGATGTAACGCTGCTGCATATGAGCCAAGCGATGGCGGTCATGAACTGTTCCTCATATGAGCTCACGAGAATTATGAGATGAGAGGCGAAGAGAAGGTGAGCCAACAGCGGGACGGCGTAGCGCCACCACGAAAACACCAGTGAATAGGTGCTGCTTCTTTTCCCCCTCAACTGGTCATCCGAGAGCGCCTCTGGGCCAGAAACATGTTAGTGTGGAAGGTACTACCGAGATACATGCAGCCACACCTAGCTTTCCGCGTAAAGCCATGTTTCCCCGCGGCAACATTGCCTCTTTCCTGAGCCTGAGTCCTAACAAACAAGACATCTCGAATCAGTGCCGGTCAGGATTGCCAGGCTCTCTCCTGTTCTTGCCAATCAAGAGCCTCGAAGGCCAATTTCCCCGTCGTTCCTTCTTCCATGTTTCTTGCTACCTAAAAAGGGGCCCCACTTCCCCACCGGTTCCGATTTGGCTTTTCGGTACGTACCCCGGCCCCTTCCCCGTATCCGTCCGTCTTTCTCTCCATCTTTCCAGTGTCTTGGCCACCTCCATGTCCAACACCACCACCATTACCACTACAACCAACTCATCGCCTCACTCACCCGAACCCAGCACTACTGGTGCCAACGACAACTACGCCCAGCTTTCCCCTGCAAAGACATAACACTCAGGTTCAATGAACCAATGGCTGCTCACTTGACCTCGCCCGGCCCGTCCAACTGGGCTCGCGCTGCCCGTCATCGCCCACTGAATGATCGGCCCTTTTTCGTCATGACATAGCATTTGCAGCTTGGGGCCTGGCGGTCCAGTCACCCCTCGCCTCTCCTGAATTGGGGCCGGCGTGAACGGCAACGGGTACCCCAGACTGGAGGACTTTTGATCTTTGCTCCAAACTCTTCTTCAGTCGAAAAGAGCACCTCCAACTACAGTTATTCCAGTCCAGCTTGCAGACGACCCTCCATCTCCAACTCGTCTGACCACGCTTGACAGTTCATCTTTTCAGTCGCCCGCAGCTTGCCCCTCATATCAAATAACACTTCCAAGACCACGACACGCATTGGCTCGCGCGCAGTCTTGACTTACTCAAGAAGCGGTGGGATACTTTTCATTCCAGTCCCAGTCCCAGCCGCCTTCATCTGCGAAGTGGTGGGGTAGCACTCATCCAACGTGCTACTGCATATTGCCCACAGAGCCGGTCCCATCTTGCCAGCTTCTAAGCAGGGAAACCTTGTTGCATCATCAGGCCAGGGTCAGATCAACACAGCTTGCCAACCCGTCGAGCTACCCTCACCACGTTGTGCTTGCTGGATGAGGGAAAGACTGGGAGGGAACTCTCGTCACGGAGCTACCCCAGACGCCCATCCCGGCTGCTGTCAACCAACATTAAAGTAGCCGCACCCGCGCACATTTTCGTCCAATCTGCTGGTCAAGGTACCGTGCTTCCTTCCTACGAGTCGACCCCTTCACCGCAGACGTTTATTCGTGCCTGCTGCTTGTCGTCTCCGGCTAGATCGAACGATCCTGCCTCATATCAGTGCCATTGACGTCGTGTCACTGCCTGATTCTTCACTCGAACTTGACGCTCTCTTCAGCTCCTACCCGTACAACACCAGCTGAGACGGCAGTCGATATCTGCTGGGAACCACGATGAGAACACAAGCTGTGGCTGTTGCGCTGTTGGCGGCAGCTGACCACGTTGCCGCTGCCGTGACGCCTGAAGTAAAGTTGCACAAGGTATGTTGCTGCCGTGTCGGGGCCATTAGGCTCATATTGCTGTAATTCAAACAAGACTTGTGTCACTGGGAGATGTTGCTTTCCTAAATTCAAGACATCAATCGGCTAGTATCGTCATTGGCGCGGTCAATCGGGATCGCGAGTCTTTTACTGCTTTCAGATCTGCATTTTTCAAGTCTTTTGCTTTGGATTCTCTCTTGATTAGTCCCTTTTCTTATTCCCACTCTGGTCATGCGCTTCGGATCTGTTCTCCCGTTCCTTGGGCTAACAACGCCGTGTAAGCGCGACCTTGCGTACTCCCCGCCTGTCTACCCATCACCATGGCTGGACCCCAATACCGAAGGCTGGGCTGATGCCTACGCAAAAGCCAAGGACTTCGTCTCCCAATTGACTCTTCTCGAGAAGGTCAATTTGACTACCGGTGTCGGGTAAGCAATTGGCGGTCTCTCAGACTAAACTTTCTAACTTACATGTCACCAGATGGCAGGGAGATGTTTGTGTCGGCAATGTTGGCGCAGTTCCCCGACTTGGTCTGCGTGGTCTTTGCATGCAGGACGGCCCCGTCGGTATCCGATTCAGCGATTACAACTCCGTTTTCCCTTCCGGACAGACCGTCGCCGCAACCTGGGACCGACGACTGGTCTACCGCAGAGCCGAGGCCATCGGCGCCGAGCAGAGAGCCAAGGGTGTCGACGTTGTCCTGGCTCCTGTCGCTGGACCTATTGGTCGCGCTCCGGCAGGCGGTCGCAACTGGGAGGGTTTCTCGGTCGACCCGTACCTGACTGGTGTTTTCATGGCCGAGAGTGTCAAGGGTATTCAGGACGCCGGTGCTATCGCCTGCGCCAAGCACTTTGTCGGCAACGAACAAGAGCACTTCAGACAAGCACCCGAAGCTATCGGCTACGGCTACAACGTTACTGAATCGCTCTCTTCCAACATTGACGATAAGACTATGCACGAGCTTTACATGTGGCCCTTTGCCGACGCTATTCGCGCCGGTGTTGGGTCCATCATGTGCTCTTACAACCAGGTCAACAACTCGTACGGTTGCCAGAACTCCAAGCTCATCAACGGTCTTTTGAAGGAAGAATTGAGCTTCCCTGGATTCGTCATGAGTGACTGGCAGGCTCAGGTAAGAACACACGCCCGATCTAACGACGTCGGAATAGTTCTGGTTGTCATTCAACACTACGGGAAAAAGCTGACCTTCACATAGCACGCTGGTGCCGCCACTGCAGTTGCTGGGTATGTACATTTGCCCGTTTCATTTGGAAAGACTCGATTCAAGCTAACACCTTGATACAGATTGGATATGAGCATGCCCGGTGACACACTTTTCAACACTGGACAGACCTTCTGGGGCACCAACCTCACCATCGCTGTCCTCAACGGCACCGTCCCCGAGTACCGACTTGACGACATGGCCCTCCGCATCATGGCCGCCTTCTTCAAGGTTGGCATGAAGGTGGACCAGCAGCCTGATATCAACTTCTCCTCCTGGACTTTGGACACTGTTGGCCCTCTCCAGTACTATGCCAAGGAGAATGTCCAGACGATCAACCAACACGTCGACGTTCGCAAGGGCAAGGAGCACTCCAACCTGATCCGTGAGATCGGCGCCAAGGCTACAGTACTTCTCAAGAACGAGGGTGCTCTTCCTTTGAAGAAGCCCAAGTTCTTGGCTGTTATCGGAGAGGATGCTGGCTCGAACCCTGCCGGACCCAACGGCTGCTCTGACCGCGGCTGCAACGAGGGTACCCTAGGCGCTGCCTGGGGATCGGGTAGCTCTAACTACCCCTACCTCGTGACCCCTGACCAGGCCCTGCAGAGGCGCGCGCTCGATGATGGCACCCGCTACGAGAGCATTCTCAGCAACTACGACTCCGCTGCTACCAAGGCGCTTGTCTCACAAGCCGATGCCACGACCATTGTCTTCGTCAACGCCAACTCCGGTGAGGGCTACATCAACGTCGGCGGCAACGAGGGTGACCGCCAGAACCTGACTCTCTGGAACTCTGGAGACGAGCTGATCAAGAACGTGTCCTCCGTGTCCAACAACACAATCGTTGTGATCCACTCTGTTGGCCCTGTGCTGGTGACGGACTGGTACAATAATCCCAACATCACCGCCATTCTCTGGGCTGGCCTTCCTGGACAGGAGTCTGGCAACTCGATCACGGACGTCCTCTATGGCGATGTCAACCCCGGTGCCAAGTCACCCTTCAGCTGGGGCCCGACGCGCGAGAGCTACGGCGCCGACGTCTTGTACAAGCCTAACAACGGCGAGGGTGCTCCTCAAGACGACTTCACCGAGGGCGTGTTCATCGACTACCGCTTCTTTGATCGTGCTACATCGGGCGGCAGCGGCAACGGAACCTACCAGAACTCCTCTAGCGCTGCCCCGATCTACCCCTTCGGCTTTGGTCTCTCATACACCAAGTTCGAGTACTCGAACCTGGTCGTCAACAAGAGGGATGCAGGAGAGTACAGGCCGACGACTGGCGAGACGGCCGCCGCTCCCACGTTTGGTAACCACAGCACCAACTTGGCGGACTACGTCTTCCCCCAGGACCAGGCTCGCTACATCTACAAGTTCATCTACCCGTGGCTCAACGTCTCGGATGCTCGCGAGGCCTCTGGTGATCCTCACTTCGGCCAGACTGCCGAGGAGTTCCTGCCGCCCAAGGCTCTGGAGAGCAGCCCGCAGCCCAAGCACCCCGCCTCTGGCAGCCCCGGTGGAAACCCTCAACTTTGGGACATTCTCTACACCGTTACTGCTACGGTGACCAACAAGGGCGACGTTGCCGGCGATGAGGTCGCGCAGCTGTACGTCTCTCTCGGCGGCCCGGAGGACCCGGTCAAGGTGCTGCGTGGTTTCGAGCGCATCCCGATCGCGCCCGGCGCATCTGCCACCTTCACGGCGGAAATTACCAGACGTGACCTGAGCAACTGGGACACGGCGAGCCAGAACTGGGTGATTAGCCAGTACCCGAAGAAGGTGTGGGTGGGAAGCTCATCTCGAGACCTGCCCCTGAGTGCGTCGCTCTAGATATTACAATAATGCGCCCGATGGATAGGACGGTGCTTTAGTCAGTAGTCTTAATCGATATTTCTTCCAGTTCAACCATGATCGTACGTTTTGGCCATGCCTGAGGTTCGCGATGTGTCAGCCCCTGAAAACCTGATGACCTCGGCTGTGAAGGTTTGCTCCTGTCGACCGAGAAGGCGCAACATCGTTCATCCGTGCCAGGGAGAAAATTGTTTCACGATCGTTATCGACAATCTTTATTTAACCAACACGATAGAGAGGCTCAAATCAGGGATGAGATGGTGACTGACTCGCAACAGTGACGCAACAGGACCACTGTTCCGCGCTCAGAAAAACGTCAGGTCCTTGCACATGGTGAGATGACGTTGATGACTGCGACTTTGTTGATCATGAAATCGAGCAATTTTCATCGCCATTTTTCACTTCAGAGTTCAGCTTCTGAGACGAAGTAATCGAGATAGCGACAGGAGTAAAGCATACGGATACGCATCTTCCCGGTGTCTTCTGGAACCAACCAGTGGGCCAATATTGGCTGACCTGGGACCTCACCGAAGGCCCATCGGAACTGTTTCCGCGCGCCCACCTTAACGCCGATTCCACTTTGTCGGCAGTCACCAATTAAAGCCGGTCTGTGCTTGAATCCAGCCAACCAGTGCCTGCGTATGTAAGCAGCATTTCAGCCAGTGAGAAAAAGGGAAACAGAAAAGGTCTGGAATATCAGGTAAAAGTGGGGTGCAGAAGTCGTGATGATCTTGGCAGGCGAGGCTGACTATCCCTAATCGGGCACTAGCGCGGTGATCCGAGTGCCCCAATTGCTGCCGGGTTTAAGTGGGTAAGTGGTCCAGTCATCGGGCGCATTTTCTGATGAGTAAGGCTGCTGCTTTGCTGTTTTGCTGCGAGAAAGTGTTGCTTTCATCCAACAAAAGTCACTGTCCGTTCTTTTGCCTTTTTTTTGACCTAAGAAAATATCGAAAAGCAAGGGTCCCGAGTTGCCGAACACATTGACAGCCGACAGTCAGTCAGCGCTGCGTAAGGGAAAGCGACACTTTGCACCTGCACCTGCGATTACGCCGAACGAGCAACCAGACGGACGGCAAAAGAGGAGATCTTCGCCGCCCCCGCATCTGCCGTCCTATTGTTTCGTGGCAGTTCTTTCTATTTGTTGTTCATTACCTCAGCCGGCACCTCTGGCTGTCAGTTCGGAGTGGTTTTGCTCTTTTTCCTTCTTACCCGCTTGACTTGTTCAAGTCTTAGTCGACCACCTACGGCTACTCGTCGCCTTGCTACGTCCTCTCGCTGTCATCTCGGACATTCGGCATTCGAACTTCTTCAACATCACACTCGCATACACTGGACTCACCTCGAGAACCTTACCCGGCTTAGTGCCCGTCACCCCCTCACGTACGAGCCGCATATCTTTACGCAGTACATGCGGAGAGGGTCCAACGGCAAACACACACGCGCGCAGGAAGCTCAAGCTCACGCTCTCAACGGTTTAACCGCCAGCCGCCCGCCGCCTTCAGTCCTCCAAAGCCCGCCCGCGCGCGACCGGCCATCCGGATCCCGAACAACCACCTTACCACCACCACGCGAGCACCGAACGACATCCGCATTCAGATCCCGCGAAACCCACCGCCGTCGCCGTCGCCGTTCGAACCTCTTGTTGTTCGACCGCACCCCCGTGCCATTGCGCCCTCCGATCCCCGTGAACCGCCACGGACGGGCCTGGAAGGGGGTTCCACCTTTTTACGCCTGTCCCACCTCATTCTGATGAGACTTTCCCGGCGCGCGCAGCCCCCTCCGAGCATCACCGCGCCGCCACCCGTAGTCGCCCATCCCGTCCGCATCTGATGCGAGCTCGACGGTCCTCAACTGTCCATCATGCCTGAGTCGCAGACGACCCCGGACCAGGTCTCCATCGACGACCTGACTCCCGAGGAGGCCAACCGCATCATCCACTCTCATCGCAAGGTCCGCTATGGTGAGTGAGACGAGCTTCCTTTGAGTGACGCTGCAAAGTAGCCATCGCCTCGGCTTCCTGTCTTCATCCTTCATCATTGCCCTATCAGTACAATCATCGCTTTCACACGTGTCTCATCGCTGCCACTCAAATTGGCTTCACGATTATGTCATTATCATATCCCTCATAGCACAGGAACTGACACCCTCCCAGGCACAGCATGCTGGCCCTGTCGCCAGCGCAAGGTGAAATGTGACAACAAACAGCCTTGCGAAAACTGCGTCAAGCGCGAACACCCTCAACTGTGCTCATACAAGCCGAACCGCAACGGCTCTCACGGCACTCACAACAAACCCGCCGGCTCCGTCACCACCGAGGGCGGCAGCGTCCAAGGCGGCAACGCCACCTCCACCACAGCCACCGCCAACAACCGCAAAAGGCCTCACTCACCCGAAGGCCCCGGTGCCGACGCCGCCGCCGGCGCTCCCCCGTTAAAGCAGGAACCCGGCAGCGCGACCTGGCCGCGTACGGCCATCGGTAAGTCCTCTGCCTCTGCCTCCGCAGCCTCAGCCTCTGCCTCAGCACCGTCTGCATCCAACCCCGGTGGCTTGGGACCTATGCCGTCGTTCTTCTTTTTGGGCAGCGGTTCGTATACTAATCCAACGTCCTCTTCGGGCGGAGCAGTCGCGGCCAGCGTGGATGAAACCGAGGCCCCCGAGGCCGTCACCCGCTACCTCGGCCAGAACAGCATCCCCTCTCTGCTCCGTGAGCAGTCCGCTGCCAATGAGCTGCAGGAGGGCGTCGACATCCGCCAGGACATGAGGTCCATACTCGGCCTCGACACGTCGGCGCCCTTCCCGCTCATGTCGTCGAAGCACCTCGACAGCCTAACGAGGGAAATCTCCGCGGAGTTGCCCTCGGATCGAGAAGTCATGAAGTGGGTTCTGTGATCGTTACATCAAGGATACATGCTAACGGCGAACAGACTCTTCCGCACATATAAAGAAACACCGCAGCAGTTTTGGGGATTTGTCGTTGATATCGACGACCTCGAGTCCAAACTTATGGTCTATCTCGAAGACAGGGCACGCAACGCCAGCAACGCGACGAGAACGCCCAAGCCGGTATCGGCATCATGGCTCGCCATCCTCTTTGCCCTCTTAGCCGTCGGCTCACAGTACCACGACTCGCCGTACCACATCCGCACGCGAGACTCGCAAAAATACATCCAAATATCCTTCCACTTCTTGAGGCTCGGAAATTTCCTCCTGAGGTTAGTCACACTCCCTCCCAGCTGATCGACGCCCATCGGAAAGAAGGGCCCCTCACTGACACCGGACCCAAATTTTGACAGACCCACATTCGACTCCATCCAAGCACTGCTACTAACCAGCTTCGTTCTTCTGAATGACATGAAGGCCGAGGCATCATGGGCTCTGCTTGGTCTTACATGTCGACTCGCCCAGTCCCTCGGCCTTCACCGTCCCAATCCTTCAGATGGTAGAGACAGCGCTCGTAACGATGGCCAGTCCAAGGAGATGATCCGCCGCAAGCTGTGGTGGACCTGCGTATGGCACGACACCCTCACATCGCTTTCTTTCGACCGCCCGCCCATGACCAACATCCCCTGCTGCCCGATCCCGACAGTCCACCACACCATCGCCGGCGAGTACGGCTACCTCGACACCATGTACCACCTCTGCGAAATTATCTCACGCCGACTGAACCCGGACGTCGCCACCACCGTCTCGTACGAGCAAATGGTCGAGAACTGCGAGGCCGTCGAGAACCTCCGCAACATGGTCGCCCCGAACATTCGCATCAAGGAACAATGCAAGACAGCCATCGACCGCCTCCAGCACTACGCCGTGCGTCTGCACACCTCTTTCGTCATCTCCGTCTGCTGCCGTCCCGCGTTGCGAAGGGACTGCACCAAACTCACACCCGAGCAAAAGCGCCACCTGTCCGACAAATGTCAACACAACCTCGCCGAGACGGTCAAGATGTTCCTGGCAATGCACCAACTCTCCGTCATACCCACTCGCAGCTGGGCGTTCACCTACCACGGTCTGTCCTCGGCCCTCCTCCTCGGCATCTTGGGCGAGACCAAGAACAGCCCTGAAGTGCGTCAACTACAAGGCGACCTCATCGCGGCGCTGTCCGCGACGGCGGCGAAAGAGGCCACCTCGCCCTCGGCGCACATCCCCAAGACGGACAAGGATATCGAGCTGTCTGGTCCGTTGTGGAGGGCGCTCACGGCGCTGCGGAACATCTACGAGCACGGCACCATCATGGGCACGTCTCAAAAGAAGGACTCGGACTCCAGCGGTACCGGGAGCGGGGCGAGGACACCGCTGCCCCCGATGCTCATGGGACCGATGGGAGCCAACGGCAACGGCAATGGTAACGGTGTGAATAAGGCGTTCGGTATGGATCCTCACCAGGACGCTGCATTGGCTATGGCTGAAATGCAGAATGGTACGGCCATGGCAGAATACAATCCCAAGTATGACGACCCCCCTTGGCTCAGAGACGAACTCATTCGCTGACAAAAGCAGCATGGCGTATCCGCCAGTAAGCATGGACAACATCGCCAACCTCGACCCGTCGACGTACATGTCGCCCATGGACCTTTACGAATCTATCTGGTGGGGTGCGTAGCCATCTTCTCACTACATCCCCTCTCCCTCGCAGCACAACTGACCAGCCGCAGAATCACCGGATCCCTGGAACTCGGGCGTCGACACGATGAACTTCGACTTCGTAGCCCAACCCCCACCCGGGCAGCCTCAGCAACAGTACTACTTTTAAAAAGTCGAGAGGCTGCGCCCCCACGCACACACACACACATAAAACCAACCACACCGTTCTGAATCAAGGCAACAAGAGACTAACCAAAACATCCATGACCTTTGGGAAATCATGTACTAGCAATATTGAATGGGGGTAGGACAAAACTTCGAAGGCGCTTTCTTGGGGGGGAACTGTACTGCATCAAGGCAAGGAAAGGGAGGGGGCCTTTATTTCAGGGAGCGACGGGACGTATCGGGGTGGTTTTGATTTATATTCCAAGGCGCTTCTCGTTCCGAGTCTCATGAGCTTCTTCCTGGCTGTTGTTATCATGATGTGTCGGAGGGAGCCCTTTTTTAATCAAGTCATGTTGACGTGTTACGATTGATGGGATGGTCTGTGGTGCTTCTTGTGTGTTGTTGTAGCCATGTGTGTTTTGGACGGAGAGGGAGGGATGTTGTTGGGGCCAAGTGTACGTAGTGTATAAAACCGTCGCCCTCGTCAGGTTGAACGCGGCTTTGACTCTTTACGAGCTGAAGCTCGTTGGTTCGCTGTGTTACTCTTGTCTGCTATAGGAGTTAAGATTAACCACTCTGAAGTTCACTCAGGCGACCGACAGCCTTGATAGACCAGATCACCCACCAAATCAATCACTCGATCATCCAGAACCAGGTCACTCATCGAATCATCCACCAAAAGCCATGTGACCAGCAGACCACACTGGTCGCTAGATCAACAAACTCCAACGACAAGCCCGTTCCAAGAAGCTTTATCTTTCTTCACCAATGTGTTCCGTTACAGTTGTAGATGGGACTTAGCTGATCACAGAAGCATAAGATACTCATTCATACACGCACTGAAGCCTGCAGTTTTTCAAAGTCCTCCTTCAGACGTGTTATTGATCCATCTCCTTCGCTGTACCGTGACGCTGTCAAAGCTGCATTCCAAATAAAGCGCGATGAGGTACTCATGGCGAGGGCGGCGTCGAGAAGACCCGGAAAACCCCCATTACCGATGTATAGCATTGCGAGCGCAGGGCTTACAGCAAGTGACCAGAGCGCTAACGGATATGGTTTAACGATGTGTAGAGAGATGAAGACGAGCCCCTATCTTGTAGGGTTTGGCCTCTTCTCGGCGCTGGCTCAACTCAACTCACCTGCTTGAGGCTGACCAAGACCGACATGAGGACTTCTGACGACTGCCAATTTCATACCTCCTAGAAACTTACAGTCAGATCAGCTTACAGCTCAGTTGTAGTGGTTCCTCGCAGAACGGATCGTGTATGTGTGGTGTGCCGAATAATGAGACTGGATGGGTTGGCCACAACCGGTTCCTGTGTCGATGGTTACCCGGCGGGCGTTGGTATGGCTTCATCACGCCTCCGGAATTTGTGTGTTACTACGGAAGAGTGTATTGTGAGCGTCTTGTTGAAGAACGAAATGCTCAAATTGACAGCATCGGGGGAAACCGATGAGCTTGTGACCAGTAATGCGCCGTCGCCGTCTCGGCATGGACTTTCGGGCGCGGGACCCACTCAAACCGGCCGGCGGCATCGGCACATGTTTTCCTTAGTGGACTTGAAAACCCGGGGGGCGGGCGCCGCGGAGTCGCGGTTCACAGAAAGCCAATTGCCCCGATTGTGGGCTTGCGAAACAAGTGGCGGCAGAATGCATTCCTCCGAAAGGAGGTTGGCGGCCGGGGTGAACCCTTCAAATGCAAACTCAGGTCGTTACACCGTCTGCCAGACTGTTGTGAAGCAGGTCCAAATGCCCCCAGACCCCTCATCTGGCAGACTGCGCCAGGGAAAAAGAGAATGACGTAGAACAACATATCACATGGCAATCCCTACGATGAAGTTGGGCAGCCCAGGGCACCCTTCGCAATAACCGGCTACATCGTGATGTGGAAGATAGTCGGCTAGATTAAAGTCATTCACCGGAAGACTTGAGCTGAACAGCATGACGAAGGTGAAACGTGCCCAGCTCGTCCCAAACGTCTCTTCTGTCGAAAAAGAGGCTTTAGCTCCCAGCGAGACTGATGAATGATGGGATGATAGAACAATAACCTTGAATAGACTGCATGTTGTTCTTCAAGACACGTCTTTTACTCGAATTTGCAGCATGGAAAAGCGGAATCCCTCGTTCAACCAATTGAAAAATGGCCGTAATGCGTTGGGTGACCGAGCTAGAACATGCTCAGAAACGTGGCACGAGGACTGATTGATTGCCGTGCTGCCGATTAAACGTGTCGGAGAAGCGCCCGAGCACCATGGGCGCTTTGGATGACGTCTGAGCCAGCTAGAGGCCGATGCGGCGTTGAAGGGTATGTTCCAGCCAAGCTGCGGACAGACACTTGTATTCGGTAGTTGTGCAATTGCTTCGGATCGAACAGCAAAGATAAGTTGTTTTCTCCCATATCAAAAGCAATGCCGTTTAATACGAGAGATCCAGAAGCCCTCAGGCAGATCAAGAGTATGGTCGGGATGTGGGCGTACGCAGCGTCCGTAAGCGTCAAGCTTTGGCTGTCCACAAATTGCACTCCATTACGCGGGAACAGCCAGATGCGCGGGTTGTCAAAGGGTCTGGTGCGTGCCTTCCAATGAAAAGCATAGGGACGTGGAACCCTTGGAGGAATTGACAGGCGAAGATCTCCATCAGTTCCTGTGAGAGCTGCGACGCAGACGGAGTCTGATTTGCTGTGGATGCTGACATCTCTTCACGCTGCGAGATTGACGGGAAGCTTGACACACAAAAACTGGGAACTTCGTCCACCGAACCCTCTTCTTTCTCGGCGGGAAGGCTTATTTGCTGGTGCTGAGTTGGGAAAAGAGTTCCGTCGTGTATCGGTAGAAATACCAAGACTGCGCATGATTTCTGGGCCACGGAAAGGAGAAAAAGGTTTCAACGTGTCCATGAGCGAGCGCGTGTGCCCGAGGGCCGACAATTTGCAACGCCAAGACGGCTGGATGCCGACCAGAAACAACTGTTGATGTCGTCAGGAAGGCAGTCTGGCGGCCTGTCAGCCAGTGGTGCAACCTAGGCTTGAGCATGGGGTCCCGTTCCAGCGACAAGATTTTCACCGGGCGCACAACCACCACCGTTGGGAAATGGAAGAAAACGGAGGGTGGACAAGCTCCGACACCCCGGCGTGAGGTGGGTGGCCTGGAGTCTGGAGGGGCTGCGTTAAGCCTCGAACAGCAAGTGACCTCGTGTGGCTGGTAGGAAATCAGGAGAACCGGCGGAGAAAAGGTCGCGTGCCGTATTGCTGCAACCCACCTTTTCTCGGATAGAAGCAGCCATGAGTGGCCGATCGCTCGGGATGTCGATGGGAACGGCCCTGGAAGGCTGGGAGGTCGACAGGGCCGAAATTGGCGGGCGGTAATTGTCTCCTGCAGCAGCGCAGACACTTGACTGTCAGCGGACGGACTCCGTTTCGCTGGACGCGATTACGGATACCAAGAAGGTCATGACCAGCTGTTCGGGTGCGTTGGACGGCGTGCGAACAAGACGTCCCTCATGGTCGTGAATAGTTTAGCTCGCGTCTGTGCTTGCGACCACCACATCTCATGGCTGTCAGTTGATGATGCCGATCTCTTCGTTCTGTTGGTTACCAGTTGCATTTCAGCATGCGGTGAAGGAACCGGAGGCAGGGAGGTATCCTCTGATCCTCTGAGGTCTTGGGTGGCAGCTTTGTGTCTTGGCGGATGCCTGCCAACTCGTTTTTCTCTGGACATTGCAATCGGCGCGGGATTCTAATCTGATTCGATCTCGAGTTGACGAGGCTGGGGACGTTCCAGCATTTTGCGACTTGACGCAACGCTGTTATGATGTTGGACAACATTCTGCGCGTTCTTTCTCTAGACCGAGCGCGTCCGGGCCTGACAAGGCGATTCTGAAAAGGCACAGGGGTAGAAGGGCGGCATTGGCATCGAATTTCGGAGGAGCCACACGGCTAGGATGCGAGAGATGCACCGGGATTGAGGATTTTCTTCGGGTGGTATCTGTAAGGCGTAGGCGGGCATGACCGACGGCGCTACCGCTTGCTGCGAACCGTGGCGGTTACCGGGGTTCGGAGCCAAATGTAGCGGCGCGCTCCCGAGGGCTTCGTAGTTGGACAGGCCTTGTTTGCCCTGCAGAGTGATATCATCCGACTTTTGCGCAGGAAAGCGGCGTCTCTGACGGATGGTTCTGTTTCGTTTGAACAGAGTCTGAATAGAGTTGAGAGCGAAGCGGCGACAAGTGTGTAGATGGGATCAAGAGAGTTCAGGACCGTCGGTGGCGGCTTCGTAAGGTGCCGTAGTAAGGCAGGTTGCGCAAGTTGATAAGGCGAGGTATCCGTAGGTTGGGGGCGATATTCGGATTAGGTGTCTGGGGCGAGTGCGAGCGACAGCCACAGATGGTTCGAACTGGGTGACGGCTGTTCCCCGGACGCAGAAGTAACAAGCACTGGACCAAGGCTATCTCATGGACGGTGCTGGTGCTGTACCTGAGACATATGACAGCGAGGCGATGCTGAAGCTTGATGGCTAATGCTGGATGGAGGTGTGATGGTATCTTGGATGTTGATTGGAGGCGAGCGACTGCCGGGGTCGCTGGAATACTGGCGGGAGGCGGGGAAGACCTGGCAACGAGATGGAAGCAGGTGATGATGAAGTTAAAGGACAGAAATAGACAGAGTTGGGTTTTTGTTTTTGTTGGTGAGGATGATGTTGGTGCTGTCGTGTTCAATCGGCAAAACGGAAAGAAATATGAGAAGAGTCGTAATGTGAGGATGGCGTAGTGTGCTTCAGGCGCAGACGATAAGGAGCTAAAACAGCCCGTTCTTTGGGAAGTGGGAGGAAGCCGCGTATCTCTCTGTGTTGTTTTGGTTTGGAACGGCAAGACGGCGCAGATGGAAAAAGAAGTACGAGGTCTCGAGTATCTTATCGTGGAAGGGTTGAAGATGGACCAAGATGCCTTCCATTACGGTAATGTTGAATTTGATAAGTTTTTGACCTCGAGGTAGGAGCATGCAATGGTTCCTGCCAAGGCATGCCTATATGAAGGTGTTCTTGTTCTTGCCTTTGATTGTCGCGATTCAAGTCAAGATGTCAAAAATTCAGCAGGAAAGAGAGGGTGAAAAACGGTGCTCCTGCTCCTGCCACCTTGAGGTTCCAACCCACCTCAACTGAGATCCCCACATACACCTTTCCCAAAGTAGAGTAGCTCGCGTGCTCAAAAAGATACGTACCTGAGCTCCCTCACCCACCCAAAAGGAACTTGCTCTTTCCCATTGAGTTGAGGCTGACTATCGGCTCAAGCTAGAGAGCTGTACGGATAGAGGTCCTCAGACTGAATTGGAATCAAGATACCAAGATGATGAAAGGCGCAACGGGCATTAGAACTGCTGAAAAGCTATCCGTATGATCTGTAGTGGGAATGTCGCAGCGTCGCAGTGCCCAGACTCCCACAGTCAAGTGGAAGGAGTGAGCGACATGACTTGTTACCCTTTTGGCTCCTTCCCTGGGGCACCGGGCAGTGCCTTTCCAATCTCCAGCAGGCGCAGGGATGAAGCGCAAAAGAGAAGAAACCCGTCAAGTCTTGGCATCGCGCCCAGATGCCGCGTGTTCGGTGTTCCCACCTTTTCAACCGACGCCTTGCGACTGCTCACGCTCCCGTTCCCCCCCCAGTGAAGCTTGATGGACGGATTGGTTAGAGTCGCTATTTCTCCTGCAGAAAAAATGGCCCATCCGTTAAAATGAACGGCGGATCCCAGGGCATCCTGAAGCCTACCGCTACCGCTTCCACTTCCGCATCTCTCTCTCTCCTTCCCCTTTCCTACCTCTTGTCGCAAAAAAATCAGCACCGGAGTCGTAGGGCTTTTTTTTTTCTTTCTCCTTCCGGCTTGCTGCTTTCCGTCGTGAAGCTGCTTGTGTCTCCGTCTCTGATTCCGTCGCCGGCATTCCAGTCTTTTTTGGGGTTATCGTCCTACGACCTACCGATAAGGCACGGACAGGCATTTGGGAGGTGTTTGGAAATAAGGCTTACGACTACCCGGCAGAGATACCCGGAGGAACATCTGCGACCAAATCCCCAATCGACGTCCACGACACCTCCAATTGCGAACTGAAATCCTCGGTCAACTGAACATCCACCGAAAGTGAGGAAAAGGTCATTTTTGGACAACCTTGGAGAGACTCGCTCTGTGTCGAGAAACACAGGCTTCACCATCATGTCCGACGGAAAGCTCCCAAATGGCAAGCTGCCCTACGGCACGCCGGAAGGCGGCTGGAAAGCAGTCCACACATGGAGGACACCGGACTGGGTAGAACCGATCGTAAGAAACAAACTCTTCTGCCAACTGTGGCAGCAGAAGGCGATGCTAACACCAGCACTAGCTGATTGTCTCCATCATGGCTACCGCGCTGTGGTTCAGCCGCCGAAAGAACTTCTCCATCCTCCGCCGCGGCGGTGCCACCTACGAGCCTCTCTTCGACGGCGCCGACTCCCCCCGAATCTCGGATGAGTACGATTCTCTCGGAAGCCCCCTTCGAACCGATCCTCACCCGCCCAAGTCCCGCACCATCTTCGGCTGCCTACGCGTCACCACCCCGAACTCGAGTCGCTTCGCCAAATACGTCCACTCCCGCATCCTCCAAAAGTTTCCCTTCCTCGTCGAGATGTTCTACTGGGCCATTTCCTTCTTCTTCTACCGCATGACCGGAAGCCTTGCCCAGAGCTACTACGGCGGCACCAAGTCCTTGTGGGAGGTTGCTCAGGGACACGGCCTGTGGCTGCTCGAGGCCGAGGCCAACTTCTTCGGCGAGGGCACCAGGACTGGCCCGGAGCGCTGGGTTGAATGGCGCGTATCCCACTGGTTTCTCGAGGGCGCCCAGGTCGACGATTTCCGCGGCGTCTGGCTGACCATCCTGAACCGTGGTTACTCCATCATCCACATCCCCGGCACCGTGGGCTTCCTCGGATACTACTATGCCATGGCTCCCACCCACGCCCGCTTCTGTACCGTCCGTCGCACCATGACCTTGCTGAACTGGTTTGCCTTCATCATCTTCATCTTCTATCCCTGTGCGCCCCCGCGCCTGATGCCTTCCGAGTACGGTTTCGTTGATACCGTCAACCTCGAAAACGCCGAGAGTGTCTGGATGAGCGGAAAGTTCGTGAACAAGTTGGCCGCCATGCCGAGTATGCACTTTGGATACGCGTTCCTCATCGGATGTGTCTTCATCGCCGACTCTGCCATCCTCAACCTTCTCTTTGGTCGCCTGCGCAACTACCTCCTCAAGGACGATTTGGATAAGTCCTTGGATATCGATGACGTCGAGGTGAAGGAGGTTCAGGAGAACCGCAAGCGCTGGAAGAGCTGGATCATGTTTGCCTTTGGTATCTTCTATCCCAGCTGGATCCTTCTCACCATCGTCGGCACGGCCAACCACTACCTGCTGGACGCCGTTGTGGCCACCTTTTGCGCGTTGATGGCCTACCTCTGCAACCGTGCTCTGCTGGTCTTCCTCCCCGCTGAGGATATGCTGCTCTGGGCCTGGAGACTCGAAAAGCCCGTACCTACCACTGGTCGCATGAAGAACATCGCCGTGCGGTGATCGTCCGAATAGAAAAACGTTGAATGAGACATGTGTGGAAGAAAAGACCACCCTGCCTGGTTTTGTCAAAGCATTGTAGAGGCGTTGGGAAATGACATACGGCCCGGATTCTAATTTTTCAAGAGGCCAGCATTGGGAAACTGTATTAGCCCGTTATAATGAGAATATTCGTTCATAGAAAAAGAGAAATCTTGTGCAACAAAAACCTGCCCGCCCACGCGGGGCGCTTCCGACTTTTTAAGCTTGTCTCCTAGGGTGCCCGACGACGATGACATTCCTTCGTATCCGGGCAGACCCATCGACGCGGAGGCCCCGGATAGCTGTCTGATTCGACACCACGTCGACCGGTCCGCTCAGAGAGGCATCCGAAGTGATTATAATTGGACCTTTGCTTCTCTGGCGTGCAGATCTCGGGGTATTTTGGCTCTGCCTAATCTGGTGGACTGTCTGGCCGAGATATCCGTGGCCCGTGTCTCGCTTTCGGGATGGCGCAGAGGGTTCGGTGGCCGACTTTGCCGGGTTCCGGGGTTCATCCTCCCGTGCGATTTTGTTGGACTGCTTGCCCTGTTCGTGATATTGATGAACGACGTCCCGTCTGGCCTCTTCAGGTTCATCGTTCGTTCGGCGCTTCGGTGCGCGTTAACTTGGGTGGCCGCGGAGGCCGCTCGTGCCAGTCGATCTCTGCTGGTCGAAAGCTCAATACGGATACGAGTTAGCGAATGGCATCAAAGAGACATTTCGTGTCGTGCCGTCAGTCGTCCTGCGATTCGAACTCGGTCTGCCGCAGTAGGGGTCGTTCTTCGCTGGCTTCGGACTCCGACTCTGACGACGATCATGGGCTCAATCTGTAGGAAAAGAACTCCAGAAAGGCTGCGCTCGCGCTGTACAGCAAATATCGTCTCCAAGCCATGAGATTTCCGTGCCTCACCAGACTCAGAGCGGTTGCGCAAGCTGCCAAGTCAGTAGCACATATCGGCAAGCGTTGCAAAACAGTGACCAACTTGTCTCCTGCTAAAACGGCGAGACATGTTTGTGGAAAGTTTTGCAACCTGGGCTTACGTTCTCCTTTAACAGTCCGTACTACGATAAGTCGATTGCGTTTCGGTCGTTGATCGTGGGACTGGGACAACTTGGCCCACCGTGCGACCTATCGCGTCCAAGCTCAACACCACGTGTGGTTGCGGCTCGCTTCAAAACGCCCATGCCCGACGACATCTGCTGACCACCGTATCGGGGACTTGCAATGTTGATCACACGACGAGGCTTTCAGCGTCTTTTGTGTGGAATCAACTATGCGGGAGGTTCTTTCACATGCGGAGAAAGCTTTTTGACTCATGGTTCTTCGCTTTGAGGTTGAGCTGATGGGTGGACCATGGTATTGCGAGCATTGTTCCTGCTGTCCTCTCGTTGCTCTTTGTTCTGGATCGATAAGATAAGGCTTGTTCTTGATGTCAATCTCATTGTCCATGGCGATTGTTAGATGCTCTCATAAGCCAATAAATAACCCAGTAATCTCTCATAATCCAAGCAACTCGCATCATCTAAACCAACAGCCAAATCATTTCACAACTGACCAAAGCAGAACCATCACCATGGCCACCCCTCAACCCAAGCACAACCTCCCCGCCGAGCAAGCCTACAACATCGCCCCCCAAACCTACCTCCGCATCCCAGGTCTCATCTTCGACCCGGTCCCCATCCTGATCCCCTACCCTCATCGCGCGGCTCTCAACTTCCTCAAGCCCTCCCGCTTCAAGCTCGACTTGTCGTGGGAGGAGTACTACGATCTCCTCCAGCCCTTTGACGACGTCGCTTACAAGCTCACTGATGTGTTTGAGCACTGCCTCGACGAGCTGAAGTATAGCGTTCCCGACCCTGCTCCTATTCATGCTCCTACTTCTGCTTCTGAGGACAATGCCGAGGAGGACGAGGCTGAGATCGAGACCGGAACTGAGATGAAGACTGAGATGAAGACCGAATCTCATATGAAGACCGAGACTGAGACGAACAACAAGACTGAGATGAAAACCGAGACTGAGACTGAGACCAAACCTGAGGCTGACAAGACAGCAGAGAATCCCCATCCGCCCCAAAAGACCGATTGGAAAGCCTTCTTTGAGCGAGTGCTCGAGAACCTCGGACACAAAGCCCATGAGTTTGGCTTGGGCGGCGAAGACGTCATGTGGATTGCGTTTCTGTACACCCGCGCCTACGACAACACTCCCAAGTTCATCCGGGCCAGAGATCGTAAGTACTATCGCAAAGCGAACATCCATTACCTCCACGACTTGCTGGGTGATTGGCAGATGTTGATGCGGCAGAAGCGCTTGAGGTGGCAAGTTGTCTTCTTTGATATTTTTGGGAAGCAATAGTGTCGGCGTCGAGTTCTCACAGCAGCTCAGAGAGGCTCAATTGGCTCATGCCTGCATAATATGATCATTCTATTGCCTCAATTTCTAAAAGTGAGCGAAAGCTCCTGTACCGTGTTCCGTGTCATCATGCCAACGACGTCAATAATCTAACCCATACAAATGGAAAACAGAAAGAAACTCAATCCCGTCGATAACTCATGCCATCTTTATCAACATCTTCTGTTGCTCAGCTGGCTCTGCCTCGGATCCCTTCGTGAATAGATCCATGACCCAGCCCTTAAACTTCTGCCAGAGCGAACGGATCTTGTCCCAGAAGCTGATGAAGGCTCCCTTCAACCACGCAAAGAGGCTCTCCCATGGTATGAAGTATACCGCTGCTCCAGCGGCCACTCCAAGAACAACAGCCGAGCCTGCTGCCGTGGCAACGGCGGTGACCTTGGCACCAGCAGCTCCCAACTCGAGGGCGTGGAGTCCAAAGGTGTACTTGACGTAGATGCCGCCGACGCCTCCACTCAACCTCACTCCGAACTTGACTGTCCCGACGGCGATGCCCAAGATGGTTGAGACAATTCCCTTGATATTGTCCCAGCCACTCTTGTCAGACAGCTTCTCGAATTGCTGGAAGAGTTCGTTTTGCTCCGAGTCGTCGAAGTTGCTGCGGCATCTCGCCCAGTGAGGTAGGCTGACTATGTCATTCAGCTTGATCCGGACGCCTCTCTCATCGCCGATGATGAGGCTATGGTTCTTGTGCCTGTGTGCCTGCCACTTGTCGAGGCGGACGTTGTTGTAGGTAGATGAGCCGTCCACGAAGAGTTTCCCCGTGTTCTTGCGATCAGCGCATCGGAGAACCTTGAGCTGGCTGAAGTGAGGGGGCACGTCGAAGGTGACGTCCTCGATCTCCGGGCTGAAGAGCAAGTTCAAGACGCGGTGCTTGCCCGAGAGCTCAGCCGCGTCGATAGTTTGTTGGAGGCGATCCACGGTTGTGTAAGCCATCGGGGGTGCTTGGATGAGCTGTCAGAAACGGTATTTGATGATCCGCAGTCTACGGTGGTGGTGAGGTTCTTACATTCTCGTTCAAACATGCCGCGTATGTATTTGCAAGCCATTTCCAGCTTCCTCACGCTCTCTTCACGCACAACACAGATCGTGAGACTCTGCTTGTTCCTCTCCTTCATCGTCACGCCTGCCACGACGTCCACCTCTTGTCTGATGGACTTCTTAGACAGCGTGACGGTGGAGAGGCCGCTGTCAGACCCGACGACGGACGCCATCTCGAAAGGCGGTGAAGGACAGCGGCGGCCGAGTTGGCAGTTACAGCTGCGGTTCTGCCGTCCGAAAGCGATGTAGCGATATCGTCGAGGCTTTGAAGTCAAACAGACTGGTCAGGACGCAACACGCAGCTCCGGATGATATCAAATGGGGGTCCTCAAGGTGGCACTGAGCAATGAAGATGAAGGTATATAATATTGGGTCATGAAAAGGGCTGTGGATAATATGCAGGGGAGTTTCGGCAACCAATGAAAGCTCACTTCGTTTGAAGAGCGGTGGACCCTCTCTCGCCTTGTTCTCACGCAAATGTGCACAAGTCCAAGTTGGCGACAAATAGGAAGAAGCCAATGACTGAACGAGCACTTCGACAACACAACCTGGAAGCGTTCTGGTCATTGCCATCGTTGCAGAATATCTCCACTCGCGGCCATCGTGGCAGCACCCCAGACCAAAGACGCGTCCAAGTGTGGGCCATTGCTGGAACCCATGTCTGACCAATGACCGCCTACCACGGACTCATTGATATTCCTTGAAATTCAATAAACCAATTCCAAGAGATTTCTTGGTTTGCTACAGTAGAATGAATGACCTGGAAGTTGTGTTTGATGGATTAGCGTTTTGCTGGTCGGCCTCATTATTCGTATCGCGAGCAAAGTCCCGCTGGGTCGAATCGGAACGGGTGAGTACAGGATTCAGTCATCATTGTTGCCTGGCTGAATCATGGTCTCATTGACCACAACGAATGAGCAGCCTCTTCAACACGAGCTTAGCGTTGAGACAGTGAAACGCATGGATGACCGAGAAAGCAGTTCGCAGAATACTCAAGGAGAGTTCATTTACTTATGGACGCCCTCTCGCACGAGCCGGAGCTCATTTTGGCGCAGGCAGTACCGATTGCAATCCAGGTCTCGCCCATGGTTCCACCGGAGGAGGTCTTTTATCGTTGAGGCCGGAAGGTGGGAGCGCCGACAACTTAAATACCTCAAAATGAGCCGATTTGGTGTCACAAGGGCACATTACAGCCTCAGTGGTCGGCGATGTAGTCCGAGTAAAGTGCTGCGCCGGGCTCCATCGGAGATTTCGCGGCATGATTCTTCGGAGACCGAAACCGGGGACGGCCGATGCCCCACCACCGCCCCTCATTTCAGCGTGATGTCACGGCGGGGCAGCCCGCGACCTCGGGCGACGTCTTCTGCGAGTGTCTTTTCAACTCCGAAGTCGCCAAATTTCTCACCTGATTTTTAGACCGTGTTGAGCGAGAACTGAGCGAAAACAGTCTTTCGACATGGCGACAACGAAATACACTCTGGCCAGCCGGCTCACTGTGAGTCTCAATCTTGTACCTGGCAAAGATCGCAAGCACTGACACATCTACAGCTGGCAAATGGCAAGACCATCCCCCAGATCCAGTTGGGTCTGTACTGCATGTCAGGAAGTGAAGCCACCAAGACGATCCCATGGGCTCTGACTGCTGGCTACCGCGGATTTGATTGCGCGCAAATGTACCGCAACGAGCGCGAGTCGGGCAAGGCAATTAGCGATTTCCTGTCCGGCGCTGAGAACACCCAAGGCCTGAAGCGGGAGGATATCTTCTATACCACCAAACTGGCTAGCTGCAGCACTTCTTACGATGAGGTCCGGAGTTCTATCAAGAGCTCCGTCGAGATCTCCGGTCTTGGCTATGTCGATCTCTTACTTCTTCATAGCCCCTACGGCGGGAAGGAGGCGCGCCTGACCAGTTGGAGGGCCCTGGAGGATGCCATATCTGACGGAGAGGTCAAGATGGGAGGTGTCAGCAACTATGGCTCTGCTCATGTAAGTCACATTTATGACCGCTGGACTGAGAGAACAAGGACTGACGATCACCCAGATCGAGGAGCTTATGGCCTCGAAGCCTCGTGTTGCACCGGTCATCAACCAGATTGAAGTTCACCCCTTCAACACCCAGACGAAGATCAGAGAAACTTGTGCCAAGCACAACATCGCCATCGAGGCTTACGCGCCCTTGGCCAGGGGCATGCGCATGAAGGAGCCTACGATCCTCCGTCTGGCCAAGAAATATGGCTGCAGTGCAGCACAGTTGTTTGTCCGGTAAATATTGTCCAATTTCGGTATCGAGCGCAGACGAATACTGACGACGGTCGTACCTCCAGCTGGTCTCTTCAACATGAAATGATCACCCTCCCCAAGAGTGTGCACAAGGAGCGTCTGATCGAAAATGCCAATGTGGCCAACATTGAAATCTCAAAGGAGGATATGGATGCAATGGATGACCTAGACGAGAAACTCGTCACCGATTGGTAAGTGAACGATTCTTGTCTCGAATGGTTAACCACGAAAATCTAACATATGTCAGGGATCCGACCAATGCGCCTTAAAAGGTTGAGATCTACTATGTTATGTCGGGCAAACTTCCAGCGTGATAACGCGAGCGCTCGAGTATAGTATCATCTTGTAAGACAGCACCGAGCTGTTGGGTTGATTTCTACGATTAGAAGGCCTCCATCATGATGGCGTCAATGAGTATATGATACGTTTGCTTATCAATGTCGAAGTTCAAACAAACAAAGACATCATATTTTAGACTCAAGTGGAAACAAACGACGTATTCACCATTCATGCACAGTCTATTCTACTTGTTAAATTCATATCGTAATACGCCGAAAGCGGCAGAACTTCGTGGGGACGCTGGAATCGACTGGGATAGCTTCCGTCGACCCCTATGAACATTCAACATCACTGGCCTCCCGCTTCTGTAGCTTGACAATTGCATATGTACCCAGAAGTAATCGCTCAAATGACTATTGGTACTAACCGCGATACCGCGCGCCTATAGAGTGAAACTGACACTAATTGAGCGCTGCTAGAGCCTTCTTGGTCTCCGCCTTCAGATCCTCCTCTTGCAGCCCCAAGAGAGTCACCGCAGCATTTTCCCTCGCAGCATGTCCATTTCCATCTCCAAACACATACTGCTGAAGAAGTTGAACAAAAGCGCTGAAGTCTCCCTTTGCCAACTTCTCATCGGCAATCTTCTCCAAGTCAGAAGTCTTGACGTTCTTGACGGTAAAGGTGGATCCGGTTTCCTCTTCCACAATTTTCAACAGCTCACGCTGGGAAGTTGTGAATGACGCTGTTGTGATGTACTTGTTGGCTGTTGCTTCTGGGTTTTTGAGCATCCCAGCAACAGACTTGCCGATGAAGGCTAGGGAGGAGGGGGAGAATGGCTCGTTGCCAGAGTCAAAGATTGTTGCGGTCTTATTCTTGACATCGAGTCCCAGCAAGCCGTTGCCGAAGCTCTGTTATTCGTCAGTTGAATTCTTTGAGACAGACAACCACTATCAATGAAACCCACCCAGTCAAAAAAGGGACCAACTGCGATTCCAGTCCAGCTGAACCAGTCGTGCTTCTTGGAAAGCTCGATCAGATAGTCGGTGTTCTGGATCTTGGGTGCTAAGAGACCCCCGATTTTGGTTCCGCGGGCATCACGAGTGTGTATTCCGAATTCGGAAGGAATGAAGCGCTTGACCTGTGCCGCAACAGCAGCATCAATAAGTAATTGCTGGCCACCTGCTGCCGCCGTAGCAGCTGTGGAGACAACGGCGTCATGACCCTTGAAGGCCCCCGTAAGAGACTCAAGCGAACTAAGGTCAACCTTCTTAACGTTGACTCCGGGTGGGAAAGTGGCAGAAGATTCTTTTCTGCTGATCGCCGTTACTTCAAAACCGCCTTCGAGCAATCCTTCAACAACCTTCGGACCCAGGTTTCCGGAAGCCTGAAGATGCCATTTGATTAATATATGCATGCTTGCATCGATTGGAATAGAGGGCAGACTCACTCCAACAACCGCGACCTTCTTGATAGCAGACATATTGAGAGTAAGTTCAAAGTAGTTTGTTCCTGATTGTTCGATGACGGAGAGTAATATGTTGTGTCAATATCATCGTTGGGAGCAAGCTATTTAAGTGCAATTCCGGCGTGCTGGCGCCGTAAGGTTTCCCCGCTCAAATCGCACCATCGCGCAATAACCGGAGATCTCGCATGATCTGCCAGCACGGCAGCACGCCGATACTCAATCCAGATTACTACTTCTGTATTATCAATCTTCAGGTTCCCGCTCAGTGATCTCCTTCACGGCCACCGGAACCAAGTGCGAGGCCGAAGTCTAAATTCCCGTCCCCCACCTTACCGTCGGGAGCAGTCTGATTCCGGTGACTAATTCATAACTGATCCTGTTCACCGATATGGTCGGAGTCTCATTGACAGATGCTGAAACTGAATTGAAATCGACGTCATAGAAATACAAACCCAAGGCACATCCAGCATGCCCGCATATACAGCCAGAGGTCAATTCTGTCTCTCAACTCACAAGTGGGGACGGGTAAGTATTCACGTGCAGCTTTGAATTCACTGTTCATTAATGAACTCATTCTAAACAGTTGACACGGTTTATTCTCTGACGACTTCAAGAATACAGAGCAAGGCAATCATCTCTCAGACCATATCTAGGTGCGAGTGAGCTGGCTGCTTTGTTTGGCAGACCGCAGGCGAATGGCGTAAGGCGGTGGAATACAGATCTCGCTGATACCACGCCTGCGTCGAATTGTAGTATTTATGAAATCTCACGCTTTGTAGCTTGAGAATGAAGTCGTGTGTTCAAGCTTTTGAATGTTATCCTCCTTACTTTGATAGAGCCGTTCTGTGTACGGCTATGGTGAACTATTCAACTCACAGCCATTTAATAATAAGCCTTTGCGCTCGGGAGCTCATGAAACTCTAGAGCCATCTGACCATTGTTCAGGAGTAACAGAAGTAATTGGATCATTAGTTTATCACCGCGATTGTTCGCGATACAGTCTGAAGAGAGTGGCTTTGTCAAATATACTTGGGGCGTGCAGCACGATGATGCCCTAAGTCAGTCGTATCTCTTAAGCTTTGAGGGTGGTACGTCTGGCGTAGAGTTCGACTTTGTATTGTTGGATGGCATTAGTATGTCGTTGATGATATGAATGCTCATCCATCGACCAATCACGTTGCTGTAAGACGGAGCATCATTATGAGCCATCCTGACTCACTTGGCCGTGCACTGATCCCAGCAACTTTTACGTGTCCAGGAACAGCATCAACGCAAAATTTCTGATCGAGAGAATTTAACGAATCCAGCTCTCCTGCGTAATTGTTTTCTGGGAAATCGTTCCAACGAGAACTTTGCCAAATAGAATCTCATCCGTCGGCCATAGCCACGGTAAACAAGTTAACACCCTTTCAATTATTATCTGCAGCCTCTCCGTTCTTAGGGAGAGGCGCTCAGTCTGAGTTCATGGCGACCCAACCACCTCCCGTTGTACACCTCGAGGACCAATGCCGCCAGGGTTTCATCCGACCACAGCAGCCGAAGGAGCCCGAACCCCCTTGGAGACCATCAATGGTGGTCAACTCTCAACGAAGCAGAGCCAATGTTCAGTTGGCCGGAAGACTCGCCAGACGCCACTGTTGATACCAATCCTCATGGTATTCAGATTCCTCTCGACCCTAACCTCGAATCAGAAGGGTCATCGTTATTTCCCAACCAAACAAGCACTGCCACTGTAAATGGGGAATCTAGGCACGCCCAAGACGAGAGCCTGCTTGGTCTTTTTGTCGACGACAACGCCCCTTTGCCAGGCCGGCTTGAAGGTATGAACAGTGTGTTTATTGCTCTCTGTGGTCAGGACATCCTTAAAAATTCAAATTTAGGTTCTTCGCCGTGTTTAGACGACGCCAGTCATTATCACAGCGACATAGGCTTCCAGCCCTCGGGATCTAGAACGACTCGGTCAAGAGATACGAATGCAACCAGTCATACAACCATCTTGCCCGATATCGACCGATTCGAGCACACACAAATGCGAAAAGGCCTTTCAACATATGGACTTGCTTCAGCCATTGCTGAACCTATGCAAACCATAAAGCGGACTATCAGCCCTTCCGGCGAAAAGGAGTTGGAGACAGGTGATTCTGAAGTTACGGCTACCAGCAAAAGACAACGCAATACACTGGCAGCGCGCCGGTATCGTCAGAAAGGCAGAGATCGCATCGCAGAACTGGAGGCTGCTTTGAAGAATGTCGAGGAAGAGAGGGATGAGCTCAAGATCAAGTTAGCCAGGAAGGAGGCTGAAGTAGATGCTCTGAGAGAGATAATGGGGAAATAGGCCCAAACTAGAATGGAGGCTGAAATGAGGGCTACATTATGATTCTTTTTTACTCGTATACAGAACAACACAGAGAAATTCATGTAATAATGGTCACCCGTGCCTTTCCCGGCTAGTCTATCTGCTTGCCAAATCTAGTTGACCAAAGCATGTATCTCGATCATAGCTTTCTAGGAAGCCACATTGTTTCTACTATTAGTGGAAGAACATGATAAGACATGATTTTCAGGCCTGGATAAATTCATTGTTATGTTTGATGTTTTCCTCAGGTTTGACTCATAGCGCGCTAAAAGTTGAATATCTCTTTGCTTTACGTGGATGGCCTAAGTTGTATGCCAGTTGTTAGAATATTGCATTAGTTAGATGTCATTTGTGGTCGATGAGAAACAAACAGTAATCAAACATCATGGGGATACTGATGCGCCTCAAAATGAAAGAAAGCACACTGTTGCATGCCATCAAACCACTCATGGTCTCAGTTGCCTTGATGGTATTTGGCGCAGGCATGTGTGTCGACAAGGATTCCGTGCACAGTGAGACTCTTGCGAACGAAAAGAATCAAACACGCCTGATTGAGAGAGAAAGTTCGCAATGTATGACGTTGAGGTGCATGTGACACGTCAAAAGGTGAAAGCATGGGAAAAGCCAATTTCAAGCGTATTTCGGCGTGATTGGAATGCCATATAATGTGAAGTCCCCAAAGGTACATCCTCAGAGAATGTGACAAGTAGATCCTCAATTGGGAAGCCATTACACCATGGCACGCGGCAAGCGAATAGGCGCCGGTCGTACCATTATCGAGCTTCGACGACGGGTGTACTATGGCGATATGGGAAAGGGGGAACCCGAACGTTGGAAACGCCTCTGTCCCGTGATACGATCCTTCATAAAAGGTTTCAAGACAAAAAATGGCAAGTCTTCTCTCGACCTGACGGACCAAGCCGACCCAGATGATGGCCTGAAAGAAATGGTTGATACCTTCTTGGATACGAACGGTAACGGCGCAAGATTCTGGCCGAGTGAGATTACGTCTTTGAATTTCAACAAACTTCAGTATTCTGTTCCAGCCCATAAACGAAGGTAAGAACTGGCAATGATGAATACCAAATACCGATACTAATCGTACGTGTTAGGATAACCATGAAGGACTGGTTTCTCCGAAAAAACAAGAACCAGGTCTGCAATTCGCGCGCAGAAGCGAAAAAAGCTGCGTCGACAGAAATGACTCCCCAAAGAAACCTGGAGAGTTTCGTCCAGGACAACGGTGTCAATATCGGTGATGAGACAGCGACAAACAGCATGAATGCGCCGCTAAATGCGCTGCCAAATGCCCCAGAAGCTCCAATGTTCCCGTATGTATTCACCCTTCACTCGAACGATCTGCTGAAACTGGGATCGTTCCTCTGCTAATAGTTCTTGTGCTGCGGGTAGGGACCCCGGAAGTCGTTTGAAACCACGCCCAAGTCCACTTGAAGAAGAGATAATCGTGAAGCCTCACGTGCAGGACTCTTCCAAAGTAAGTGAGAATACCTAAAATGGAGTTACCAGAACTAACCCAATTGGTTGATTCAGCGGGCGCGACCCGTTGAGTCATACGACGAGTATCCAGGTCTAGGTGGCTTCGACGACATCGACGAAGTATCACGCGCGAATCGAGCCGTCAAACGAGCGAAGACAGATCGATGTCTCGATAACAATGAAACATCCAACGGAGAAAGAATCCAAAATCCAATGACAGCTCACGGAAGTGACAGAGCTATGAGCTTGAGATCTCATAGCTGTATCCGGAAGGCCTCCGCTGGTTCAAACAACGACCTTCACTCGCTCAGTGGCCAGGCGAAATCGTCAACCTCATGGACTTCGAAGAAAGCTCAGAAGACGACACAATGAACAGTCTAACACAAGCCGAAAAAGAGGAACAGCCGCTGCCCGAGCTATCAGGTCGGCCATCGTCACCTGTGACTGGAAGGCTCAACGAATCGTCGATTGCTTCTACTAGTCGAAGCCTTGTTTCTCTTGACACGGAAACAACCACCGCAAAGCAATCCGGCAACACGCTACAGCCCGAGACGACGTACAAATTCATTTCTTCACGCGAACCAGATTATGACGTTCGATACCTAGGTTTTCTACCTAACTTCCAGCAAATGTCGCTGCGGGAATTGAAAGACGAGCTGATGATTAGAGATGTCGAAACCATCGCCATACGCTTAAGTAGCTCAAGGTTGAGGTTCAGTTGCACAATCAGCGGTGACAACGATCGACTCTTCCAGCTATCGAAGCGTGAGATGAATGAGATGGTCTTGAATTGGTCAAAGGAGGGTTGTGGTTCTCAAAGTTTGGAAATTGTAGCGGAGATTGAAGCATTCAGGGATTGAAAGAAGGTTAAGGAGGGGCGGCATCTTCGACTCTGGGAGGGAAGGCTCGTAATGTTTGATATTAGTTTGTTTTCCGTGGTGGCCTTCTTACTCCCAAGCGGTAGAATGCACAGCCAATCCCGGATCTCTATTAATTCGTTCAGTGATCATTGAACGAGAGGTGGACGCTACCGAGGCGCGATCATCGAGGTCAACGAGGACTAAACATCAGTACAAGCCCTATCACAGGTCAAAATGGGATGCACTTTTTTGATTGTGCTAAGTGGAAACAAGCTTACCGTTTCAGACAATCCAATACGTTTGTCTTCACTGCAGACAATTCTATTGTTTTGAATCAAGCGGTTCCTGTAGGAATTGTGCATGGCGAAGTGCTTGCGAAGTGGGCACAGCACGAAAACAAACCCGATCCAACATCAACCTTAAAAATTCAGAAGACTCACCAAATCGTAGCATACTTCTGCAATTAGAATGGCATCGCAAAACCTTCTACAACACCCACATCTATGAGAGATCTATGTACTTTCCTCCTCTGAAGCAAGCACTTCAGCAAAATCCGTCTCTGTTCCAAAGCCTGCGTCTGCAATGTGTGCACCATTCGCGATGCCAAGATGCGTCTTGTTGGTACAGGCTCCAGTCTGCCGTGGAAGAAACCAGATCGGATGGATACCGAGTTATCCACGCCGTATTTGGTGCCAACGAGCTAGAATCGCTTCGTCCCGAGGGCCCTGCCGGTGCAGTGGCAATGCTCATTCCATGCGCCCACATCATGTGCAGATACTGCTTGCAATGTGCACACAATCTGCTATTCTGGATACGAAGGAGATGAGTTCGCCCCAGGTAACATTCACTCCAGGCCAGATCCACAATGCCCGGTATGTCGGCAAATCCTGTGATACGAAAGCTGCATCTCTCGGTGCCGTAACCCAGGCATACCCTTTCCAGCATTGCCAGCTGCAGTGTACACTTGCCCTCCGACTTTAGGCGAGGAATTTTACGATGCTGTGTTACTAAGTAACTGCAGCTTGTGCGAAATCGACAAATTCCTGGAACATGCGAAAAGTTCATGTGGACACAATCGACCTCGTGGCACAACTCACTGATGAACGAGGTCACGGTTCGTATGACTACCGACAACGAGGAAGGACTGGAAGACGAGATTTGAAAAGGTTACTTCGTGAGTACTTGGATGATGCTGCTGCCATGCTGAAGCCGTTTGCTACGTTACGTCGATAGGGTGGCGCTGTTCCTCCTCAACAGCTTCGCTTCATTCTGGAGTGGAACTGAAAAAACGTACACTAAGAGAGGAAAAAACCGTAGTCAGAATCCTGGCTAAATCGATGTCTTCCTTCGATTTGCCTTCTGCTTAGCCCACCTCAAATGGGTCGGTAATAAAATAGTCAGGGCTGTGCTACAATCGAAGCACGTTACCAACACCTGGTGCCGTTGGTCCTCCACAATGACATTCTCCCAATAGAGACAGTCTCATTGGTTTCAACTCGGAGATCTATAATTAGAAGAATTCGGACAAAGAATTACTCGTCAAATGTTAACGACGGAGCCAGATGACCACACTAAGAGCGGTATCGCTCAGGTCTCTTTAGCCAGTTGATTAGTTTGCATTAGTCGGCTCATGATCACGAGCCGGATAACCCGACCTGCAAGCTCATGTATGCATGGAAGAAGCGTACAGCATTTCTGCGCCTCCAGTCATGTACCGATGCAGCAGACGAGGTGACGTTCCAAAACTACGTACCGCGGACTGCCGTTTTCAAGCTTTGCGGCTGGCAATACGAGCGATCAAAAAAACCGCCCTAAATCAACGATAGGATGTGCCACTAGCTGGTGACGTCTGCGTGTGAGCCTAGTATGTCGATCAACGCATGCAATCCGCCTGGTTTGCGGGGTGTTTTCAAGGGCCCATGAAGAATTTTGGACCCTTCGTGGGTCGCATCTCCAGCATTCAGCCTCCTTCAATTTGGGCGCGGGCCAATATCAAGGTTCTCATTAACAGCAAAGCCAACCAACGGAACTTTGGTCTCTTCGGAAGTCCCAACAAAGCGGTCTAGAGGACTTCGGTTGTACCGCATCGTCATGTCCGGTAGCTTTGTTTGCTGTGAATGGCGGGTACATACATGCGAGTGAGACCTATGTGAGACCTAAATCCTCGTTATGCTGATCGTTCGTATTATTATTTTTTTGGGCGAACCTGGAAGCTGTCGGTGAAGACTTTGCCATCGACTACTGCAGAAAAACGTATGATTGCAACATTAAACCTTATCCATTTCTAAGCCTTCCAACGGACCATACAGGATCTCGGCAGGCCATACTTAGGTATAAAACACGCTTGCTCCCATCCCACCTTTCTGGCTACTCATCTCGCCAGCATTCCAACTTGTCTTACCCTCACAACAACATACAAACTCCACTCACCATCGGTTGAGTAAACATACTTGAAGCTTATTTCGACAAAGACTTCCTTCAGCACCACCATTCCTACAAAAATGCGTGCTTCCACCATGTTCGTTGCCGCCGCGGCACTTATCATCGGGGCCGAGGCCAACCCCATGCGCCGGGACGACCCCCATCGTACCGACTTTCGCATCTGGAGCGAGAAAGGCTGTGGCCTAAACGGAAACAACACAGGCAACCTTGGCGTTTGGACCATCACTCAAAGTCAGACCAACCAGTGCCAGCCATCATTCAACGCACCTGTTGTCCAGGGTATTTACCTGAACAACCTGGACGCAACGGTCGACTGCAAATGTAAGTCCTGAGACATTTACCCGAAAGAATCATAATCTTACAGTTACTAGTCTTCGCGTACACTGAAGAGAATTGTTCGGGAACACCACTGGCTGTCACACCAAAGCAGTGCGCTGACCCAGGCGATGCCAACTTCGTGAGCTTCCAAGTAGATTGCAATACCGATTAGGAAAATCAATCAGCACATACGAATTGTTTAGTAGCCAGGAAACCTGAACTGTTCAGATGATGAGCATATGCATAAGCGTTGGGTTTGGAATCTAATATGCGAGTTCGCATGGCATATTCAGGAGTTTTTGCATTTGTTAGAGAGAAAACGCTCATTAAGCTCCAGCGCAGAGCCATTAATCCGTCCACGAAAACTCGTGGCAGAATAATCCATTCATTCATTCATTCATTCGAATCGCCATATCCAAGATTCCTCTTTACCGTGTGATGAGCATTGTTGATGGTACTGATTGTTGATGGTACCTATACCAATAAGAACATGGATACTGAATGCAGTGTAACGCCAGCAAAGTAGATAGACAGGTTCTTAAAGTGCAGCATCGTGCTTGAATCTTGAATCGACACTCAGAAATGAGTCTTAGGGTGCTGAGTTAACCTCAATGCAAGGAAGTTGATAGCTGATGAGCTCGTCAGCGCAACGCTTGCACAGTCTGAACGCCCTCTCCGCATACTAGAACTAAGTTACAACTTGCAAACATCACCATCTGATACGCAGGAATGAAGGCTCAGAATTACATAAATTAAACCACAAGAAGAAAGTAAATGCAATCAATGACTGATGTTCGAAAATAGCAAACTACATTACTGGAAGCAAGAAAAAAGCCCCATTACTACTTCAAATACTAGCACTTGGACTTGAAAGGCAGTAGCACCTTCGAGCGAACATCTCAGCTTCCTGGTTCCGAATTCTATAACACGGAGCTTGAGTAGTTCAGGCCGATGGGTATTGGGTAGTGAGGACTGTGCCGTGACAACACTTAACTCCAGAGAGGACAAACACGGAGTTCGGTCCGGTCGCTAGACTCGCTGTGATCCACAAGCCGCATGCGGATAGCTCTGGATGGATGATGTCAAGAGCACGACCAAGATCGGCGCTAACATCCGGGCCGCCTGTCATCTCCGTGAATGGTGGCGTCAGGCACTATACCCCATGGTCTAGAATCTAGGATTTCCAAATCTCATTTAACTAATTTGATTCATTGTTCATTTTTATCAGTCTTTGAAAACTGTTCCCCTCAAGTGTATCAGAGATTAATCACTGTCATCGCCATCATGAGCTCTCAACCAATTGGCTTGACCACTATTCCGAAGCTGCTTCGTACGTACCCCACGTATCTTGCGTTAGCCTAAGTAGTGTCACGATGCACTATGGTGTTTTCATATCAGAATCAAGTACTAATCCGAAGCTCTTCCCTCATAGCCGTCACAGGGACGTTCGCGCTACCTTTCACGGCATACTACGCCATTCTCAGCGTACGGGTCGTTCGCGAGAGACTCCAGAAGGAGCATTACCTCGGAGACAACTCATCCACGGCCACATCCGACTGGAAGTCTTACAGAAACGACAGGCTTTACCTCCTCACGCGTGCTCACACAAACTTGGCCGAAAATGTCCCGCTCGCCTTCATTCTTGCTGCTTTGGTGGAGGTCAATGGGGGAAGTCGCAAAGCTCTCAGCTGGTTTCTCGGAGGTTTTCTGGCGATGCGTGTACTCCATGCCGACTTCGGCATCCTCAGTCAAGGCATTGGCTTGGGCAGACCCGTCGGATACTGGGGAAGCGTGGGCCTTCTAAGTGCCATCGCTGGCTACAGTGCTTTCTTGGTCAAGGGGTATTGGGGCCTTTGAGCCGTGAAATGCCACGTAGTATATGTGTAGAAGCATTCGATAATGTACCGAGTTATTGGAGTGAAATCTGTTGTGAGAATCATTTTCGATAAAATGTTTGCTGTCTGGCTGTGTAACTAGCTATATCGAGCTGCTAATTTCCCCCAAATAATCTCAAGGCCGCACTATGTCTTCGTCTCCCACCTTTCATTAAAAGCCCGCGACCCTTCATCAGCAATTCTGATTCTAGCCACTTGCTTTCGCTGCGAAGGGATCATCGCTCTCTAACTCGCCGCGTAAGAAACCCCGAAGGCCCCGGTCCACACGGCTTCCCGTAAACCGCCACATATGCACTAGGCCCGCGGAGCAAATCAAATCTCCAAGGGCCTCCCTGATTTTGAACATGCCCGAGGGAGAGGTAGAGCAAATTCGTAAGAAAATACCAATCTTGTCTCCTAGAGATTCGTCGACTCTGAGGATTTCCATCACAGCCCGAACGACACTTCCAGTGTATACGATACCCAGAAGAATGCAAATTGGCTCGATGAGTGAATGAACGATTTCGTCTTCCTCCAGCTTTTGGCCAAGGCCGAAGTCCTGAAGTTTCGTCGCCGCCTGATCTGTAGCGACAACCGCGATCTTGATGCTCTCCACAATCTTTTGTTTTGTCAAGCCGGCATCGCAAAGATCAGTTCGTTGTTTGAGTAGTCGGAAGTGCGACGAGATGGGCTTATCGTCGGCCAAATCATCTTCGAGTAGTTTTCGGAGAATACGCAGATCTTTCGCCGATAGTTCGTTGCGAAATGGGAATGGCTCATCAGATGTCGCCTGTTCAAATGTGCTTCCAAGAGTCATGGCTTGTTGGCTAGCCTTTTGAGGCGGTTTATGATCAAGCCGATGGAAAGACCCCTCTGCAGTGGCTTGTCTCTGATCGATAGTTCGATTACTGGCGAGAATTTGCATCGATATGACTGCGTGGTTCTTCGCGAAAGGAATCTGTGGCCACGGCCTTCGAACTCTTGTTTGGGGTGCAGTCCACAACTTCACCGTGTCCCATTCTTTGTCTTGGGGTTCCAGGCAGGCCGACGCCAGGAATGGTACCTCTCCAGACACAAAAGCACTAGAAAATTCTTCGATTATCTGTGATTCAACGTAATCCACGTGGATGTGAACGTCTCGGCGGCCCCAGACTGACTCTTGCTTGTCAGAGGAGGTTGGAACTTCGTAATTGGATAGACCGTTCAAACCATACGATTCTGCATTGCTGTAGGTAGGAAAATCCAATGTGTTAATGTCGGGAAGCATAAGGGCAGCTGTGGTTTCGGGGGAACGCATGGCTCGACATCCACGATTGGCAGGCATCGCCATGCGTGAACCATCCCACGAAGGAGGTATGATCTCCATCCAGTCGTTCTCCTGGAGGCTCATTGTCGAGTAAAGCTGTTTGACCAAACATTCGTCGATGTGGCTCGGGTCGATGTCGAAAGCCGGGCTGAGCCACATGTCCCGATTGTACATCTCCACAGCGTACCTGAAGATATGTACGTAGGCAGAAAGCTCGTAAAACTCGTGGAAACGGAGGAAATGGGTCGAGTAAAGTAGAAACCTTGCTAACGGTGGCACAGGAACCTCCCATGCAAGCTGTTTGTTGCGGTCGTTGTTCGCGTCCGCCGCCAACTCGGCGCCATGATGAGGCTCCAAAGAATATCGACACCAGACAAGACACATCGAAATAGCAAGATTGAGTGGTACCAAGTCGCTTGAGTATCTTGAAGAAAAGGACCGCAGCTCTTCGATGAGAGCCTCAGGGACTACCCTTCCCGCCATCTTTGGCAACACCATTCGGAAGTACGCCCAGTTCTCGGGCTTCATGTCGTCGACGGTGGCGTAATCGATTGGAATATCGGGCGCTTGAATGTAGACTGGGCAGGGATGGCCTCTGAAGAAGTTTTCTTTCTGCTTATCCCGGATGTCTTGTGCTTCTCTAGCTTCTGCAGGATCCAGCTTTCTCAGGCCGAATCCGTTTTCATCGGTGAGGCGGAAACCTGCGCAACGCGCCTTGAGAAACGACATCTGTCCTGGGCGGAGCATATCAGAAGGCGGGATGATGAGTTCTGCTTGCTTCCAGGAACCAGCAACTCTGAGATTTCCCTTTCGGAAATTATCGCTCATGTCTTGGGTTTTCATTGCGCCCTTGTTGCTGCGCCGAACAAAAACCGGTCTCATCTGAAGACCATCGAAACCGACGTAGTAGCTGTACTGCGTCAGGCCTGGCGATAACTCGTATAACACTCTTCCTCGATTCATCAATCGGATCGTGATGATGGTGTTTGGTTGATTGACTCGGAAACCTCCGATTGCTGCCTCCTCGGCGCCTGAGGAGGGTGTCACCAGAGCTCGCATTTCTGGAAGGTTCATGGAAGGAGCCGCAGGTGCCGACGTGCCCACGTCGCCGCTCGTTGCGTCGTTGTCATTCATGTTGCCGCGTGCGTGACCTTTCCAGATATGAAGGCGTAGATCGACGTTGTTCGTTTCGTTGCGGGGTGAGAATTGTCAGGACCTGGCGACTTGCGAAGGTACCAAGACGATGGAGGTTTGCGACTGTTCCAAGGCTTCTGGTAGAAAGAAAGATGCAGAGTGAGGATAGAGCAACCGAAAAGACGGAGGGTTTAAAAAGGTAAAAAAGGTTCGGTTTGGATTCGCGTGGAGGACTGAAGGTTTTTGACGAATTGGAAAGGGCGAGCGCGGGCAGACCGGGTGAAGTGCAAGGAAGGAGCGATGGATGATGGGGCCGAGCCGCTACCTAACTGTACCCAAAAAAGAAGATAGCAGATCTGAAAGGAATTCTCTCGCTTAACTTCTTCTTATTTCTCTTTTCAGGTCTCGCCAAGGCAGATAGTTCGACGTACGGTAGTTTTGGAAGGCGCGACACCAAAGCGGAGAGGGCCTCGGTTGAGCATGCTTTCCAGTTATAGCCAGGTTCTGACAAATAAATCCTTGAATACGTAAAAGATCCTGATGATACACCGTGAGATAGTAGTATGGTAGTCTTGAGAGGGTTCTAGCTCATTGTGCAAGAGTCGTTTTTTTTCCAAACTAGTTTCCTGCCCAAGCCTCAAGCAAATCCTGGAATTAAGTCACTTCTCTACGGGGGGTAACCCAAAGCTCATCTATCTTGAACCCAGATTCCTCATATTCTCTGTCTGATTGTTCCTTGTGGTTCTCTTGTTCCATCCGTCTTATCTTTAGACACCATTTGGCTGTTGTCAAAGATACCGTCGCACATCTCGTTGAAGAGTTTCCCTGGTCACAGATCCGCATCGATCTTGTCACCATGAGAAACAGTTCGCCGACCGACATATGACCTCATCTCAAGCAAAGTAGCAGCCAGCCGGAGACTCCTGCGTTCGATTGCGTTGTGTAACGAGGTTTCGCGTTTCTTCATCCCTTCTCCGCCTCCGCCCAATGACCCGACGGTATCCCCGGCCGTGGTTGGGCTGCTCGATCTCAACTTTAGTCCCCCCGAAGATTGAAGCATCATGGAAGAGGTGGCCTTTGATTGTGAGTTATGGGTATTACAGATATACATCTAAATACAGGACATGACGGATTGGTCGGGTAGATCCAGTCATTATCATCAGGCAAATGAAAACTGGACGGAACAGCCAATGGTGCTCGTTGGACTCGCGAGCTCTGGCGCCAGCATTCATGAGTCTCAATGTGATTCCTTGATAACCACAAGCTACTGCCAAATCTAGCGTAGCGGGTCTGGATAGAAGCTACCATGCGTTACCGGAGGATGGGTAGAATAAGAGAGTTTTTTACTGAGCTTTTCTAGTATATCGGACGCATTCTAAACAACGAGCTGTGGCGCGGCCAAGTCTGCTTGCCACCTATCCGGCCGACAGGAGACAATCATGGGCCTCTACGTGTTCATATTGCGCTTCAAATTGTAAAGGTGTCGTTGCTTCTTGTTTGGTGTTGTCGCTAGATTTCAGGATGCCTCGACTTATGCGGTTCGACGAGGAATGGCCTCCAAGGAGGGCGCCGTTGGTAATGAGCTGACGCAGAGCAGCTATGTTTCTGCTTGCAATGGTACAGAAAATACAGATACCATGGGGATTCTCCCGCCGTCTCCGTACGTTGCAGGGAATCAAAACGAGCGTTGTTTGAGTCCTGGATTTGGAAAAGAACATTTCAACATAGGTCAGATAGCTGATTATAACTTAGACTGACTACTGGATAAACCTTCATTTTCACATTGATAGTGTGTGATCTATTTGACCTCAGTTACCTTGCCTTGGGGTCTGGGAACATATCCAGCCCCAACTTGGACACACAGAACAAACACACCACTCTCTGGAATACCGTACTTGGGCGGGATCCCACATCCGCTTTCCCATCAGACACTACTCGTGCATAGTGTGAAATCCCAAGGCTCCCGTGTCAACACGTGCCGCCGTTTGTCTGCCATAAATATACTAGAAATATACGAAACGAAGGCTACCAGGCATCTTCCGAAACTTGATCGAGGCTGATCAAAACCTGGAATGTCTATAACGTGTTTTGGAACGCATGACGTCCAAACACCACCATGAGCTCCGAGTGAAGCCTCGGGATAACACAAAGGCGAGGCCTCAGCCGTTCCGAAAGCTCCGACAAAACGTGGGGAAACAGGCGGTCGACAAGGTCTTGAAAAAGCTTAAGAACTTCTGAAGTCGTTCCCGCAAGACCTATCCTTGATGAAAGTCGGGATCTGCAAACGAAGGGCTGGGCTCATCAGAACAGGTAACCTGGTCTAATTGCGTAGACCCAGTTTCAGATCGGCTCGAGTTGGTGTTCTTGCCGTCAGCAGCAGGGGCACTGCCGCGGAAGTTGGCTCGTGATAGAAACACTCGAACATTCTAGGTGTCGAAACTAGCATGCGGAGATGATCGATTTCACGCTTTGGCAGTTGAGATGTTGTGACAGTCGGCAGACCTTGCCGACGGCCCAATGCCCGGGCCACCACTAAACTTAGGATCGCGAGAACCTGCCACAGATGCTGTCTGAAGAAACTCTTGCCGACTTTGAACTTTCAACGGAAGTTTCGTCTCGGGTATGCTATTACCAAAATAGAACGACATGTCTTCATTGCCTGCTTGTCGAACTATTACATGTACAAATAGCTTCAACTGCCCTCGTCCTCCTAGACCAAAGTCAATCATTGCAGCATCACTCCATTCATTCTCAAGTCACATTCAAATCACACCCAAAACCCGAAGAAACAAACTCCAGAAATACATCTACAGAACCAACAATATGCAGATCACGAAGTTCATCGCTGTCATGGTATTGGGTCTTACGACGACAGCCATGGTAAGTCACAGCCGTCAGAAAAGTTGCAACTTCATGAGATCCAGGCGCTGACGCAGAAACTCTGTGTTTGATGTAGGCCCAGGCAGGAAAATGCAACGCGCAAGGCGACTGCCAGGAGACTGCGAGCGGCGTCAAGCTTAAGTGCACTGCGGGTAGCTGCGCCAAAAAGGCTGGACAAGCTTGTCAGAGGAACGGGCCAGCCTCTTCGAATGCTGCCAACTGCCCCAAGTAGGACTTTAATGAGGATGGTCGCACCGCTGGAACGAGGCCTCCCGTCAAACATCAAACAGATCTTCGCTATCGGTGGCGGGGTCGGAGACCAAGAAGTTGACAAACGGCGCTTTCGGTAGCAATCAGAACTCATTATTCTTCTATATCATGCTGTATCACATGGGTTTATCTTGCCTACCCCATGTATCCAAACGTGATGAGACCATCAAGTTGCTTTAAGCTGACCGGCAAACGGACTTCGTGCTCTAATCCGTTCCCCATAGATGCAAAGCAGCCACGGAACAAGTGACAAGACTAAACCGATCCCACCAAGGAGACTACCTGCGCCGCCGTACCCAAGTCTTTGGAACATGGTATTAGTGAATAGAGGGAAGACACCGGCCAGCAGGTTCCGACACATGGACTGAGCAGCAAGTGCCGAAGATGCGTAGCGGTGATAGATGTCGGCAAGATAATTGAACACAGCCAGGTAGATGGCAAAGATGCCGATGGTCACGGAGGCAATGGCCAAAGCCGGAACGATCCAGTGAACATTCGGTGACGTGCTCCAGCCAAACCAAAAAAGCCCAATGGGGAGAAAAAGGGACTCAACGCAGGCTGAGTACAGTCGACCCTCTGGCGTGGCCATCTGCTGGGGAATGACTCGTCTGAAGATAGGGTCCTGGAAGATGCAAATGGCTGCCCCAGCGCAACTACCGACGACCACAGCTGTGTAAACGCCACCAACCTCCGAGCTATTGAAGTGGTATGTGGACCGAAATGCGAGCCCAATGCTGTTGAACTGCATGAAGAGAATAGCCCATGCAAACGAGACCCAGGCCGAGAACCAGAATACGACCGATTCTGTAAAGAGCAGCTTCAGAGGAAACGAGAAGCTGCGCCAGATGATGCTGAGATCAAGTTCTGGTCCTTCGGCATGCTCTATAAACCGTACACGAACTGAATCTGTAGCAGAGTGCGATGTCGACTGCAGCTTCGGCTGCAACATTGGTCGATCGGGTCTCCGGGACATGGCAGCAGTGCGTTGAAGGCGAATGTCGAGGAAGTGCTTATTCAGTGCAACACACTTCTTTCGGAGAACGACGTTACTCCTGGTCTCGTCGAAGAAGAAGAACATCGCCAGTGTCGTGGTCCCAACGGTGATCATTTGGATATAGAAGATCCACCTCCAATGAAGATTGTCAACGATGATTCCGCTGATCATAGGACCAAGACCAGTTCCGATCATGATTGACAGCGAGTATAACGCCATTGGCGTGTTGCGGTTCTCCTTGTGGAAGACATCGCCAACAACGCCTCCCGTAAGGGTAGCAAATACTGACGCCCCGTTGCCAACCACCAGTCGCGAGACCAGCATGCCAGGAAAGGAGGCGGTTACCGCACAACCAAGCGTCCCGAGAAAAAATACGCAGCCGGAACCAACGAAAACCCAGTAACGTCCATATATCTCGCTGATTAGGGCGAGGATCATGGGCGCAAAGCCGAATCCCAGTACGAACAGCGTGATACCGACATTGAACTCCGTGTTCGAGATGTGCCACAGCTGAGTCAGGGGCTCCGATGCCATAGCGTAACCACCTGCAGAGTATGCGGCCAGCGTCGAAGCGATGAACGTTCCGAAGAGTACCGTAATCTTCTTTCGAAGAGTCCAGGTGAATGGCGACTGATATTTCTTGTCGATAGCGGATGGGTAAGCGTCTTCTTGTAAGCCTTCAACGCCATAAGACCTGAGGCATTCCGCTAGCTGAAATGTTGAATCGAGGGCATCCAGGTTCAATGGTATGTCGACAACGTCCACAGGGGCGCCATGGGGTTCAGCGTACGTTGGTGATTGCGCTTTCGCCTTGGCGTCATCGTCGAAATTGATGACCTCGGTTATCTGCTGCTGCTCAATGTCGGAGTCCCCCGCGGGGACGCCTTCCAAAGCAACATCGTTATGGTCATTGTACGTGTGTTGTTGCATACTCGGCCATCAGGTTTGAATAAGAGACGAGATTGAATCAGACTGGCGATCTTGATACTGTCAACCTGGTTCCTTGAGGCTGTCCCTTAAAGTTAGGTTTGTTGTGTGCAGTTCCCCCCCAAAAAATCTCGATCTCGATAATGGCGGACGTCTCCCCGCATGCACTGCACAAAGCGCCGGCTACCTCGCGGTAATGATTTGTCTTCTTAATCGGTTTTTGACTCACTTTCGTTTCAATCAAAGCCCGAATTACTTCGGTGTACGGGAGCGGGCTTCCGTTCAATTGCAAAAAAAAAAAAAACAGAGCTTCGTCGGAGAATTTGATGAAGCGACCCCAACCCGGTTCCAGGATTCCAGGATCAAAGCCCGAGATGACGGCTGGGGTAAAGTGCAGCCTCCGAGGACCGGAGTACGGGACCCATATTTCTGCATGCTGCCCGTCCGCATCGGATGAGTGAGGTGCATTTCCCCTGAACTGCGTATTCAGCGAGTTCCATGAAGAAAGTCTCCTTCAGAAAACCCTCTGATTATACCGCAGTGGAGTTTGCCGATGGCTTGTGGAACAGCCATCTTCATTGCTGTTACTGTTGTTGGTCTACATCATGATATGGTAATATCAGGCGGAGCATGTGCGACGCAAGACCGAACATCGCGCGTAAACAGCATCAAAGTCAGGAACACAGCACGATCTTCAAGAATATGACATGTAAAGCTTCTAACCGCTTTTAAATGACTACTTGACTGAGTTTAATCTGAGAACACACGCACATGCTCGCGCGGATGAGACCTCCGAAAGATCGGAAAGCCTGAGAGCGGCTCGGTCCGCGGCAACGCCTCAGCTTCATAAGCTGCATCATTGACCCGCTGCCGCTAGACAGGGAATGATGCAGCAGTTTATCCAAACGAGTGGGAAATGCAACCCAGAATGGAAGATCGGAGGGGAATCGGATCGATGATCGCAGTAGTGGTGAGTTAATAGACTGGATCAGTAGAAGAGCAAGACATCAAATGCAACCCGGTTATCTGAACGAGTTCCCCGGAATGTGTATTGCGGGGCCTTCACGGCATCTTATCTTCTACCCTGAGAGTCCCCTGTTGTCCGGAGGATACCCTAAGGAAATAACTCTCAATAATCTTCATATATGGAGGGCCCATACCTACGTCTTGAGGATGCTGTTTCTGATCGATGAGCTTTGTCTTCATGGGCTCGACTGAATTGCAAAGAAAACATCCTAGATCCAATTCTCGGCATTCTCCTTGTCTTCAAAGATCCGGCTATATTACTTTTCGTAGCCAGGAACTGATTATGGTAATAGGGTCAGCTGCTAAGCCAATCCAGGACGGCCTCTAGCCACGTGACAGTCACGGCCGAGACAGCTTGACTTTTGATTACCCTGTGGCGGACAGCAACATGAAATAAGTAAGACTTTGAAGATTCTGACGGATGCTAATCCTAGAGATAAGTCAAATGATCTTCGGTTAAACGCGCATGAGTGTTCTTCAAGGTCGCTTGTCCGCGGCTCACGAGCGATATCACGCGATGCTAGCTAATATGACTTCATGAAGCCGAGACTTCGAATTGGGAAGGACCCAAGAATTTGGGCCAATGTTCTTTCCCATCTAGTCTCTTCATCCGAAAGGAATGACAACGAGAAGGCCAAGCTGATCAGACCATGGCAGGCGCATCTCTTCAGCTCAGCACATACAGGGGCTGAGTCGTCGCATGGTTGATGACCAAGTCAGACTTGAAAACTCTGATGCTTCTCGGCCCTGTCCAGACAGATATTACCCGTCAAGGGCGTCCAGCCCCTGCAGCTCTACGTGGGGTGATAGTCGCATACCCGATGAAAGATGCAGCCTGGATTCGACACTCCAAGCCTGGTCATTGTTGTACAGTTGACGTGAGATCTCACGCTATCAGCTCAACGCGGTCACATACAGATACTTATGATGAGAACTTCAAAGAGTAACACCTCATACTAAGATGGAGCATGTGGTTCAGACGCTGGCCGCATGTTGCGGTGGTTGTTTCCAGGGCGCAACGTGGGATACTTGTCGTTGGCGGCGGAAGTTGCTACAAAGACTGTTTTGGGACTGGCCGAATACAACGAATTTCATCACCAGGGAACAAGCGGTCGTTGGACTGCCTGCGATGGGAAAGATTTTCATAATCACGATGATTTGTCGCTGACTGAAACATGGCTTGAGTGGGCAGGTCTCGCGTAGCGATGCATCATCACATCCGCCACGCCATCTGCCTCGTCACAACGATTCAAGCCGCTTGTGAGTGCGAGAAGCCAAGAGGAACTATCAATAACCATGCAGACGAACTTTTGAGGGGCCTTGGCAATTGGGATCTGGTTCATTGAGGTGACACCAATCGACCCCGGGAGGCTGTGTAGCAGTCCAAGTACCTTAATAAGTAGACTGAGATCGAGAAAAGGCGTGATAGTTAGTAACCGAGAAAAGTCTCACCACGTCGCTGATTGCTCACCAAAAACCGTTCTCCTGGCGCTTGAGTCTTCAAGAGGAATGTCGTTGCTTTCCCCAAAAACCACGCAGCGAGGTACTCAACGCCCCCGGAGTTTAATTGGGTCCACAGCTAAAATTTTCCCACTTCGACATCTTCACCTCAGATCGCGTCATCGGTCCAGTGGACCACAAACAGAAACTATGACACAGAACTTCTCGCACCAGACCTCTGGGACAAGACACCCTTGCGTCTATCCCCTGATGGTTCCCGAGTTTTATTGGGGTTCTTTTGGGGGTCCAGAGGCTCTTTGGCATTTGAGCATCGCGCATACTCTCGGAACAACGCGGACGGGAGCTCTTCTAGGGGCCATTCTAGAGCCTCCAGCTCGGTTGGCTCACTCCATGATCCTTGCGATGCTCTCGAATCCTGGAGCCCCTTGACCTTCGCAGGCTCCAGGTTGTGCAAGGATACGCCGCACCTCTCAAGAACCGCATTCAACCAAACAAATTGTCTCGCCACATGGCGCCAGCTCGGTGTCTTTAAGACGTGATCCGCTTGGCGGGGCCGTTCACCTCCAGACATAAAACCTTCGTACGGCCGTCTGGTCTGACTCAACCGTCCGGACCGTCATCCGTCTCTTGTCTCCAGTTCCCAATATCTGCCGGGTCTCTGTGATCTTCTTCTGCCAAACCGACAACAACGAGGAAGAACAGCCTGCGCCAACATGTCACAGATTTTCGATAAACTCAAGGGCGGCGGCTCGACCTCTGCCGATGTCGCCAACAAGACCGGTGATCTTCCCACCGCGGCTACATACGACAGCGAAGTTGGTAAGTGATGGGACATTATGGTTGCCATTCGTGGCATAATACTTACCACGGTCCCAGGACGCATCGAGCATGCGCGTGAAGCCAAGCGACAAATCGGTATCACCACCGCCATTTTCCTGATCGTCAACCGCGTCGTTGGTACCGGTATCTTCGCCACTCCGGGATCCATCTTATCCCTCTCCGGCTCCGTTGGTCTGTCCCTCTTCATCTGGGTTGCCGGCATGATTATCGCTCTCGCTGGTACCGCTGTCTACCTCGAATGGGGAACCGCCATCCCGAAGAACGGTGGAGAGAAGAACTACCTCGAATACGTCTTCCGCCGCCCTAAATTCTTGACCACCGGACTGTACACCGGCTATGTTATCCTCCTCGGCTGGGCTTCTGGCAACTCCGTCGTCTTCGGCGAGTACATCCTCCACGCTGCCAACGTTGAGGTCGACCGCTGGAACCAGCGTGGAATCGGTCTGGCTTGCATCACCTCGGCCTTTTTGATCCACGGTCTTGCTCTCAAGTGGGGTCTGCGCCTGCAGAACCTCCTCGGCTCCATCAAGCTCATCATCATCCTGATTATCATCATCTGCGGCTTCATTGCCCTCGGAGGACATGTCAAGCTCCCCGAAGACCAGAAGCCTAACAACTTCCGCAACGCCTTCGAGGGAACCACTGGCAGCGCTTACGGAGTCGTCACTGCGCTGTACAACGTCATCTGGAGTTACATCGGTTACAGCAACGCCAACTACGCCCTCAGCGAGACCAAGAACCCCGTCCGGACGCTCAAGATTGCCGCGCCCGCCGGTATCATCACCATCTCCATCCTCTACATGCTGGTCAACATCGCCTACTTCGCCGCTGTTCCCAAGCAAGAGATTCTCGAGGGCGGTCGTCTCGTGGCCGCGTCTCTTTTCCGCAACGTCATGGGTGGCACCGCTGAGCGTGCTCTTTCGGTCTTCGTCGCTCTGTCTGCCTACGGCAATGTTCTCAGTGTCATCTTCTCTCAGGGTCGTCTTGTCCAGGAGCTTGGCCGCGAGGGCATCCTGCCCTTCTCTCGTTTCTTCGCGAGCAACAAGCCTTTCAACGCCCCCTTGGCTGGTCTTTTCGAGCACTGGCTTATTTGCGTGATCACTATGCTCGCACCTCCTCCTGGTAAGCATTCCCTGTCATTCATTTCAACCCTTGAGTTCAGAATCGCAGCTAACATATGAATACAGGCGATGCTTACAACTTCATCCTCAACCTCATCTCATACCCCCTTGCCGTCATCAACGTCTTCGTCGCCGGAGGTCTCGCCTACCTGTACCTCAACCGCAAGGAGTGGAACTGGAACCCGCCCATCAGCGCCTCGCTTCCCGTTGTGGTCTTCTTCATGCTCAGCAACGTATACCTCGTTATTGCTCCCTTCGTCCCTCCCGAAGAGGGCCAGAACGTCTACGAGAGCCTTCCTTACTACCTGCACTGCGTGGTTGGCATTGCCATCATCGCCGCTGGTGGCCTCTACTGGGTCGTCTGGGCCAAGATCTTGCCCAAGGTTGGCAAGTACGAGCTGGTGCGTGAGGTCGTGGTTGACGAGATCGACGGCTGGGAGAGAAACGTCTTCTTCAAGAGGCCACTCGGCGAGTCCGTTGCTTCGGAGCATCGGGCAACCCCTGACGTGCCGAAGTAATCGAATTGTTGTTTAACCATACTCCTGGGAGTTGTATTTTGCAGCAACTTCCGTCTGATGACCAATACTTTTAATCACGTCCTTTTATATACCCTAGAAGCAGAATAGACAACTTTTAATCCACCCTGACTATGCCATCTATGAAAACAATATGCTTTTGATTTCTCCAGTGTGAGAACCACTCGGTGCCCGATAATTCTGCGCCGCCTTGAAGACTACGATCAGAATAGTCCGTATCCCAAATCAGTTACGAACAGCCACCTTCTTGAGAGGCCATCCAAGAATTCCCAATGAGGAGCAGAACATGAAAGATCCAAGAAACAGAATCAAGGACTCGTATCGTCCCATGCCGTACCCAGAGCTGATCGGCTTGGTCAGGAGACCGGCGCTGATGGGACCCGTGGCAAGATTGCCGATTCCCTTTCCGAAGGCCATCATGCTGAACACAGGCGCTGGGTCGTCAGACAGGATGGCTCCGAACTTGGCCCAGAAAACGGGGAATGCGCCTGCAAACATGCCGAAGATGAGGGCGAACACTAAGAGTGTCTCCAGGGAGTGAGCAAAGCCCCAGATTGTGAATCCTGCAACCGAAGACACAAACGACGACACGAACACAAGAATGAGAACGTTGTTCGTGCGGTCCGACAGCCATCCAAAACCAAGCTGGCCAAACACCGTAGCCAAGTTGTAGACGGCCAGGATCAGAGCACCCATCGTTCCCGAGAGGCCGAGAGCCGATGCATAAGACGGCAAATACAGCGACGGGATGTAGTACGCGAACCCCTGAAACAGGTTCGAAAGCGAGAAGCACCAGAAAAGGGGCTGCTTGAAGGAACTCGCATCGAACATGCGCAATGCGCCGTGGTATGAAGGGGGGAGGCGACCCTTGAGCATCGGCATGAACGGTGCAACCAATACGAACAGAGCAACTGCGACGGCTCTCAACGTCGTGCGGTACCCATACTTCGAGAGGAGTAGCTGTAGCAGGAACGGCAGGCCAACACCGCTGCAGCCGGCGCCAGCGAAGAGAACACCGTACGCGAAGCCGCGACGAGCGACGAACCACTCATTGAGCATCCGAAGAACGGGGAAATACAACATTGAGAACCCGATTCCGTAGAGGACGCCCTGGGTGGCGATGAGCCCTTCAACGGAGTCGCAGAAGGATGCGCCGACAAGAGAGACGACGCAGATGATCCAGCCGACGACAACCATGTGTCTCTGCCAAGCGTGGAAACGTGCTACCAATGGCACCACGACGGGAGCGCCGAGGAAATAAATACTTGTTGACACTGTACCAATAACCGCGATATTGGGATTGGCCTCGAACTTCGGGTGCGACGAGTAGTACTCCTGGAAGACACCAAAAGTCAAGGGGAAACCTGTCTCGGTTAACATGGTTGACGGAAACAAGGGTTCAAGCCAATCTACCCCATAGAGCTGCTTCGACGACGAAACTCGCCATCAGAAACTTCCATGCATCGGCGCCTTTGTCCGTTGGTGGCAGGGCCTGGATCAAGTTGTTACCCTCCTCATCGTCGGTTGCGGGCGCGGAGCGCGTGGAGCGAGCACTGGGCGTGGGTTGAAGCTCGACAGACATCTTGTCTTGATCAACTGCAGTGATGAATGATACACAGTTGTCTCAACACGATGAGTTTCTCGTCAACTCCGCGAGCTTCTCATCTCTTTAAGAAGAGCTTTTAGCTTTTCAATGACTAAAACTTCGGGACCCCATCCGAGACCGGCCCCGCCTGCGGGGTCCTGACGTTAGACCGGCCGGAACGAGGGTGAAAGGGCGCACGCTACACGACAGCTTAAGCCTATCCTAGCGGCTTATCTGCACATCGTCTCAGCGGAATGGATGCTGTAGTTATGCGGTCTAATACTTATTAGACCCGACTTACCACATGAAAATATCGTGACTCACGACCACAATTGCGAGCGGCTGTCCTCGACCGGGAAGTGTTTCAAGCTTTCAGGGACACTGACTACGCTGAAGTAGGTGAATGTGGTTTGCAAGCGCGCAATTGGTGGCTGTGATTTGTTCAGTACCGAATACTCTGTGGCAGCACGACGCTGCTGCCAGCCCGTCAGTTCATAGGTCTAACCAGTATTAGTTCTGGCCTGTTGAAGCAATTAATATCTTCAATTCGTGGATTCTACTTACATTGAGATCTCCCAAAACTCCCGTCAGTCATTGAATGACTCTTTCGCCGTCCTCCTGTCATTGGTGAGATCTTGCACGTGCAAATGCAAGCGCCAAACCCCGATCTCACAGGGTGCCGGTCCCGGTACGCCTTTAAGTTGACACATCCCCAATGAGTGAACCCTGGATCTCCAGTCTTTCCACCAACGTCTCCGGGTAACTCAACAACCGGCCCGGTGGAAGAAACGTCACAGAATCTCTTCTCTAAGCTAGAGAGACTTTTTCTCAAAAGTTGGCACGAGTTCCGTCTGACAGTCAAGTCTTTATTCTCGGATATAAGCAATAGAGCCAACCGACCGGACTGCTTGATGCAACTCGTTTGAATTATTACCCTCTCTCCTCGTTATCAGTGCACCAATCGTATTACACCTTTGGAGAATACGCTCTCACGACCGCAGGCACCCAGTCAAGATGACGAGAACCGCGCACTTGGAGGACTTCGTGGTGACTGACCGCGGCGGTATTGTCGAGAACAGGCACGGCGTCCACGCTGCAGTGGTCGATGCCAACGGAAAACTTCTTTTCGCCGTCGGCAACCCTCTCAGACTCACCCTCGCCCGGTCAGCAGCCAAACCTGCCCAAGCCCTTGCGGTACTCGAGACACCCGGAATCGAACGATTTGGATTTGACGACGCGGACCTCGGTTTGATGTGCGCGTCTCATAACAGCGAGGAAAGACACATCGAGAGAGCCAGGTCGATGCTGAGCAAGGTTGGGGCCACCGAGTCGGACCTCCAATGCGGCGGACATCCCTCGATTTGCCCGAACCTCAACAAAGAATGGATCAGAGCAGACTTTGAGCCTACAGGGGTCTACAACAACTGTTCCGGAAAACATGCCGGCATGCTGGGCGGCGCGCTTGCCCTCGGTGCTGGATTTGCGGACTATCACTTGCCCAGCCATCCAATGCAGGTCAAGGTGAAGAAGGTCGTACAAGATCTAAGTGGCCTTCCCGAGGAGGAAGTCAAATGGGCCATTGACGGCTGCAATCTGCCTGCGCCTGGCCAGTCCCTGTGTTCGATGGGGCGCATGTATGCCAGCTTTGCTCAAGCGACTGATGAAGTGGGAAAACGCGCCGCCAATGTCAGCGAAAGAACACGCCTCATGGCCCAGATTTTCAACGCAATGGCCGACTATCCAGAGATGGTGGGCGGAGTAGGTCGTTTCTGCACCATCCTCATGGCTGCTTTCGAAGGTGCTCTCATCGGCAAAGTCGGTGCGGATGGTTGCTACGGAGTTGGCATCAGGGAATCAGAATATACTCGGAAACTTGGAGCGGAAGGAGCTGTTGGAATCGCAGTCAAGATCGAAGATGGCAGTCTTGAGATTCTCTATGCGGTTGTAGCAGAGATACTTGAACAGTTGCAGATTGGCTCAGTTGACTCGAGGCGGAAGCTTGCGTCTTTCCATTATCTCAAGAGGCTCAACACCATGGGGATAGAAACTGGCCAAGTGTCGCTCTCCTTCAAAGTCAGAAATTGTTAGATAGTAGATTACCAAGAAACCATGATCTAAGGATTTGCAGGAGTAGTTAACCCAAGGTACGATCACCACTTTGGATAAGCGGCCAGCTGGCTCATGTTTTATCTCAGTTCAGCTTGAAAATAGTGTTAGGTTTATTGATAATAGAGATAGGGCGTCTTTGTTAGTCGCAGACAGCCGCGAATGCTCATTTTAAGCTCATAGATAGCTTTACAACTTATTAATTTGCGTGTGATATAACATATTAACATATTCTGCGATCCATTGGCAGACATTTATCGGGACACGATATCCGCCTGGCGCACGCCAAGGACTACTAGGGAAATTCTGAGACACGCTTTTTGGCAAGCGTTCACATATCTTTAGCAATAAACGAAGAAAATATTTCCATATGCCTCGTCTAATCCCGTATGCCAAGTCTACTAGAGCGACAGTGAACTTCCATCGTCGCACTGTTACATATTTGCTTTTACACAAAGGCATCTTATCGGACCGAGTTGGTGTAACCGAAGGCGCAGAATTATCACCCTCCCTCCTCATGTCAATGTGCGCAGATCACGTGAGGAAGCGCACTAATTCATACCACCGCATTGCCTTTCGTACCCAGCGGTAGCCTGGCCTCATTCAACGTCATTGGGAGGTGAACTTTGTTGAAGATGAGTATGATATGAGCGATGTTACTCTACCGTAGCACGTCGAGTCTCATGTCTATCTCCTGTGGCTTCCTCTTGAGTCTTTGAAAGGAAATGCTATCAGACATTCAAAACTCGGCGATGGAGCCATTTCGGCCACTTCGACCTCGGCCTACGATGCCAGAACAGCCTGTTCAAACCCAAGAGACAGATCAAATCTACGATCGGGGGAAGCTAGCGAAGCCAATCGGCGCATGCGATCCTTGCCGAAGGCGGAAAGTCAAGGTCGAATAACTCAACATCCAGACATTCCACTTAAAATGATCGAGCTGACCTTAGATGCAGTGTGATGGAAAGCAGCCCAAGTGCCTCGTCTGTGAGAAAAGGGGCCATGTTTGCGCATACACCTACAACATAAAACAACGAGTGACAGTCAGTGAGAGCGAAGGGACTCAGAAGACCTATTCATCAACCGAAAGTCTCGATTTGCTGCGAACGGCCTCATACGAAGATGCCCTGGAATTATTCCACAAAATTCGACATGAGAACGGATCCAATAGCCCTGCGTTACCGCCAGTACGACCGTCCGAGCTGCAGCTTCTGAAAGGAATCATACCACGAACCCGGAACAGCTTGGAGTTTGCCCTGGCTGTGCGACATCCCATGGCTTATCCGACTCTGAATCCTATTTCGTACTATGAACTGTCTCTTGGGGACTTACTTAAACCATTGGCGATGTCTCAACCGTTCCCCGCACACGAGTATGTATGACCCTTTCGATAGCGTCAAATTGCTTTCAAACTTCTTCGTTGATAACACAAAACTCTACAAGTTGCAATGTCTTGCTGCAAAATGCTGGGACTAATCGTTCGCAGATTGTTGGACACGGAAAGACATGAACCCCTGCCCAAACGTCCAAAACTTACGCAAGGTCAAGTCAGAAACAAACATCAGCGTCGCATGGAACATTCCGCTCTTTACGATGAAAGACTGCGTCATGTCGACATCAAGCGATGGACACTTGTTCCAATACCAAACGACCTCGCTATTCGCGTCATATCACACTATTTCGACGTTTACTACGTGGAAGTCCCACTATTCAATGACGACCTCTTCATCAAAGACCTTGTTGAAGTAAATCGCCACTTTTGCTCCTCCCTTCTTGTCAACTCTCTGCTGGCTTTCGGATGTGTACGTAGTATCACCTCTTCTTCTTTCGCAACATCCGCTCACGTGGACTAGAAATGCTATTCACCTTTCGACACTAATGCATCGGCATGGGCCGATAGGTTCCATCTTCAGGCTGACCGAGAGCTTGCCAGAGGATCGCCGTCTAATACGCTTACCACCGTCGTTGCTCTACTTCTCATTGGTGTTAGTAACGTGCTAGATGGCAAAGATAAGGAGGGCTTACAGTTTCAACGAGAGTGCGTAAAGGTCGGCAAGCTTATGGGACTGTTTGGTGTGAAAACCTCAGAGAGCTCGGCAATGTCATGGCTAACTGGCTATGACGACTGGACTCGAGCTGCATCTTACACGGCCTGGGGCGTGTTCAACTGGGTATCGTAAGTCACATGTAACCATCTGTCAAGCTTTTGCTCCCAATACTAAACGCGATAGGTGCATGTCGTTACACTTTCACATCTGTGAAATCGATGAAGCACCGCTTCTCCCCAAACCCCGAGACCTTCTTGCAGAAACCCAGCCACGAAGTCTCAAAGCCATGCGAGCTGCTCGTCATGCCGAGATTCTAAGCAAGTCCGGAGAGTTTTGGGACATAGTCAAAGGTTTCCTCGTGCAATACTACGTCGAAATGAGAGCAGATCCAGCAGCTCCCGGATTCCAAGACTTTGCCGAAGCAAAGTATACACAACTACTTCATTGGGCAAGCAGCCTCCCACCTGAGCTTGAAAGAACAGATGCCAGCGACCACGATGTCGTCACGATGCAGTACGTCCGCCGTTCTTGTATCTACATCAGAGCCATCATGGCACTAACAAAAACCAGTATATACTTCCACACAGTCATCACAGATGTGTTCCGCCCCTTAATTACTTCCCCTTCCCTCAGCTCACGTGTCCGCTTCGACATCGGCCCCTTCACCAGCGCAGAAGCAATCTATGCTGCATCAATCAACCAGCTTAAGCGCCTTTGCATCATGCTCCGTCTCAAATACCCTGTAGCCAGGTTCTCCCTGATATGGCATGTCCCGGTAATTTACCTGGCAAACGCCATTTTCCAAGAAAGCGAGACGGTTGCTAGCTTGCGGTGCATAGAACAGCGTTTCTACCTGGACTTGATTCTAGCAGGTCTTTCGGATCTTTGTGTGGGCTTCGCCGTCTCTGGAATCATGGCTCGAGCAGTGGTGTACATGGCGCTTCAAAACGGTGCCATTCAGCCGGCAAGGGCGAACCGTGTACTGAAGAAGCTCAAGGAAATAGACGCTGCTCGAGAGGCTGCTCGGAGTACGTCCAGAGTGAACAGGAAGATCGACTGGTTTATGGACCTCAATCTGGCAATGACAGATGTCAAGTCGGCAAGGGCGGAGGCCATGATAGACCAACTTGAGAGCCTAATACTGTCCGGTGACCCTTCAGTCGAGGAGTCAGACAAGGAAGGCAGATCAGAATGACGACCTGAACATACCAGTCGAATTATTTTAGTAGAGTATGAATACCACTTTGGCTTCTCATCAAGTTACAATACACAAATGAGACATGTTACATGTTACCATAATAGCTACACGCCATACGTCTTCCGGGGTATCCTATTGACAATGTCCTTTCCACGACCACGATGTCTGTTCCGCCGCCAACTGAGTCCTTGGTCGTGACTGCACCGATAGCCAGTCATCCTCAACCACCGACTCCTTACCATCGCCATCTCTCAGCTGAAAGAAGAACTGCACATGCCCCCACGATAGCTCCTTATTCGAGAAATTGGCGCAGTAATTGATGATCCGGTCACGTATACATGCTGGGTGCTGCCCTGCGCCTTTACCTTGTACTATATAGTCCGTCTCCAGCTGAAATTCTTCTTGAATCCCAATCGTCTCTGCGTTCAAGGTGAGTTCGTGCTCTATCTCAATGATCCTCTTCCCCAAGATCAGCGTCACGTCCTCGGACCAGATATTGTCGCCGGGGCAGAATAGCCGATGCATCAACTTCCAAGCTGCCAGCCTCAGATCGAAAACCCGGCATTTCATGACGACGTAGGCTAGAAGCGACGTGAATCCCAGCTCCAACGCCGACTTCCCCGCGATGTTCGTCGCCTTGGTCTTCATCGAAGCCTTCGTAATCTCGGCAGCCGCTGGGATGGCCAGGTTGACTATCGCCCGAAACTTGTCGGTATGCTTGTCGTACACAAACTCGTTTTCGGGCTCGCACGTTTCGATCATGATCCTTGAGACCAACCACCGCATCTCCAACAACCTCAAAGTGTTCCGCTCGTCGGCATTTACTGGGACATACAAGTACGCCTTGAAGTGGCGAAAGCCCTCCATCCAGGATTCCAAGTCGTCGATGATGTCTTGCCGGCTCCAGTCGGGTGTCGGCTCCGGTCCTTCGTATCCGGGCTCTAATCGGCCTTCTTTCACGTCTCTTGTGAAGCGCACGACGCGAATCAGAACGATTGTGAGTTGTGCATGGCATTCGGACAAGGTCTTGACGTGATATTTTCCGGTGTATAACGACTTGCCGAGCGCCGGGAACGACGAGGGGTCTGCGCCGTAGAGGTAGGGAACGATGCTGAGATGTCGTAGTGCTGGCTGGATGTGGCTTCTGAGAAACTCCGACGCATTTTTCACCTCGTTTAGGATGTTGATACCATGTCGACAGTGCTCAACGGCGTCTTTCGGGTTCTTCCGCAACAACTCGACGCAGATAAACAGGACGCAGACGAATAGAACGAGGGCCCTGTCTGCGGTCGTCCGCAATAGTCTGATGGCCTCGTTATAGTGTTTCACTGCAAACGCGTTTCTTTCTTTCTCTAGTTCCTTAGTATCCCCTTTTTGATACCGCTTGACGAAGTCCTCGTAGAGAGAACTGACCGCCAATACCGCATGTCGTGCTACGGGTTCTTGGTTGGCGACCTGTGGGACGACGGTAGCCCAAAAGTATTTGTTCAGGGGACCGGCGAGTCCGGGGGCGGCGACTCGTTGGAAAAAGGACATTGAGCGCCTTTCGACCAAGCTGATATTGTTCAACGGTGCGAGTTCGTCATCGGTCGGGGACCTCTCCCGAAGGAGCTCCTCCCACGAATATGATGCTTTTGCTGGAGCTGCATAGCCATCACACTTGCGCCCCGTGGTTACACATCTCGCGCAGGCTGGTCGGCGCTCGTCGCACTTGATTCTACGGACTCTAGTGACAGTTAGCATGCGAAGACAGCCTCGAGGGGACCGGCAGAGAACATACTTGCACGTGATGCAACCGGTCTTCACCTTCTGAGTACCGCTTCGAGGCATGGGCGTTTTATCTAGGGCGCCAAAAGCCGTAGACCATCAGTTTAAAAACGCTCGGATTCAACTCCGGTCGACGGAATGCAGCTTGCGGAGTGCGATAAAGACAGCTAGCATGATCCGCGACATGGATCTGGTCAAGATCTAGGGCGCGTTCTTAAGTAATAGGGAAAGTATTATGCTCCGCGCTCAGACGAACGTTACCGATGATCCGAGTTTGCGTCAAAATTCGAGCTTCTACCGAATTGGGCACGTTCATGCTTGGACTAAAGTTGATGCTGCAACATCAGATGTCGCGGGGCATTTGCGAACAGACCAATCACGAAGTCAGGAGGTCAAGTCAAATTCAACGGGCGAGTACTTAAATTCCTTCATCTGTTGTTTGCCGTCATAGTCAAATTATCAAAGTGACGTGATTACCTGATGCTCCGCCGGTTAACGGCAACTTCATAACATCTCTTTAGGCTACCTAACAAGTAGTTTGAAGTTTGTAGCTATTGATTGATCGTTGCTAATCTACACTGTAGCGAATTCTCACCTGGTCTTCTTGCAAGATGTTTGTCACGGATAGGTACCTTGCCAGGTGCCTAACCTCAAGAAAATGAGGATATCCACCGACATCAGTCTTCTCTCTCCAATGTCGCGCACGGTAGCTGTCATCCTATAGCAAAATTCCCTTGTTTTCCTGGTTCATAATGTTCTTTCTCAAAATCGAATTTCTTTCGTCTCCGTCAGACTTGACAGCTGGAATCCAGAAACACTAGTCGGAGTAAGCACTCCCAAAAGCCTGTTTCCAACCATCTTCATCTTTGTTTGTGAATTTCCGTCCCACCAACCGCGTTCTGAGTAAATCAAATCGAATGGCGTATGTTAGCTTATCGACGGAACTGAGCTTGTCAACGACACTTTTGAGGTCAGCTGCAGTCGTTGGCTGCGCCAAATGAAGCGCGATATTTGCGACGGCCATGCCTAGCTCAAAGTCGAGGGTATGAATCGCACGATGCGCCTCATTGAGGTTTCCAGGATAATCAAGTCCTAGCAGAAGGCAGCACGGCTGCATGATGCAGTCGGCAAATGCATTGTGACCACTCTTCTCGCCATTGCCATAAGCAAGTATGCTTTCTCGTGCATTCCGTATGGGCTCGTACACCGCATCCATTGCTGTGACTATGTCTGACTTTTTCAGATTGTCATCAGATGGTTTGATTGTGTCCTTGAAAGTAAGGAGACATCTGGCAAAATGCTTGTCTTCTGCCAAATCCTCGTCCATGAAGCGCTTGAGAACAAGGCGGTCCTTTGGACTGAGGGTGTCAGCTTGTATCTCTGCGTCTTCCGTGACCATTCGGTCGATGTTGATCTGAGAATGCAGTTCCTTGTCGTGGGCGACTTGTTCGGACATTCCATCCCAAGTCAGGCCGTTGGATCCAAATTGGAGCTCTGGAAGAATGAGTCCCTTCTCCCGTGCCGCCCTCACTTGAGCGATCAGCTTCTTCAAATATTTCTCTGCGGCCGCGAGTGGAATGAACGGCTCTGCTGCAAGCTGGGGCCGAGGAAGGTCATTAGGATCCTGACGATCGCAATTGAACACGGGAGGGTGTCGTTCGAGTTGGCGTGGTGTGGTGTCAATGACAAGATGGTCTGTCCAGGGAGCTCGAGCCCGTGCCTGAGGAGAAGTCCAGAGTTGAATCTCCTCGGAATCGTAAGGGTCCAAGTCATCACGGAGACGTGTGTTGGCATGGACAGACGTGCTGGCAACGACGTGGGTCGTATTCCATGTCCAGTTCTTATGGACGATAATGGGCCGATACAATTCTCCAGGAACGTCCTCTCCTCTGGCTCCGCTGTTGATGTACACTGGGAAACCTAGTGTATAGACGTCCGGAAGCATTAAAGATTTCGTGATATCTTCCGATCGCAAAGCGCGAGGCCCATAGTGAGCCGGCATGGTAAGTTGGGACCCATGGAATGAAGGAGGAACAATCTCAATCCATTCATCCGCCTTGAAGTCCATTGTCTTGACTAGACGCATGACCTTCTCGCAGTCAATGTCGTCATCCTTGATTGTGAACGCCATCGGCCGGCCTCGTTTGGTATCTCGGATATGCATGGCGTAAACATATCTGAAGATGTGAATGTACGCTGCCAGGGAGTGATTCTCGTGAAACCTGAAGTAGTGCGGCGCATACAATAGGAAGTAAGCCAACTTAGTCGTTGGAACCTTTTGTGAAAAGGCAGCACCCAGTTCTTTCTCATGATCAACGTCGTAGAAGTAGCGATAGTAGACGATGCACATTGACAAGGCAAAAGTTGGCTGCACCAAGTCTCGAGGATACTTGGAAAGGAAAGACTGTATCTCATCCATAAGTACCTCTGGAATAGCTTTGTTCGCAATCTTGGGCATCATCAAGCGGAAAAGCTTCTAGTTGTCCGGCTTGGTGTTGTCAAAAGCGGCATAGTCTGGAACCGCATAGCGGTCTTTGACGAAGACAGAGAATGGGCGACCGAGCACGAAGTCGTCGTCTTGATCAGTCAAGTACTCTGCAACCGAGTGAGAGGCTGCGAATTCGAAGTTGACTCCATGTCGCTCCGCCACCTTATGATTGAGGGTTTGGATCTTGAGAAAGGTAATCTGGCCTGTGCAGAGCATGTCGCAGGTAGGCACAACGAGTCCGAGAGCTACGCCCTTGTGAAAGCTGTCGGACGTCTTGGTCATGCCCCCGCTGTAATTGTTCTCGAGGTCTGAAACGACACAAGCTGTCGTTTTGGTCCGAATGAAGACGGGATTGATGTTGGTACTGTCGATTCCGGCGTAAAATGACTTTTTGGGCAGTCTACCCTTCAGTTGGGACTGCTCGAGGTGTTTGTACTGGTTGCGAGCTCGGTCCATGAGCTCAAGCCGAACGAAGTTTGTGCTATCTTTCAGAACCCGCCATGAAAGCATTACTCGGTTGGATTGGTGACGTCGTTCGGTGAATTGAATGAAGGATGGCAAGTTGAGTCGCTGTCTTTTGCTCCTCCCGTGATCATCTTCGTCGGCCATGGTGGGCAAATGGGTATAGCAGCAATGCGGAAAATGGGGTGGAAGAAGACCGCAGTAGTGATGAGCAAGTTCGATATGCCGAGGCCGGGGCGTTGGCAAATGATGACAACAAGTGTATGGCCGAATGGAGAAGAGGTCTCAACGACGGAGTTGACCTGTGGCGAAACAAAATGGATGAACGTTGCGAGGAAGAATACGTGTTGCGGTAATGTCAAGGTCGTGGCTTCAGAAAACTGTGGCCTATATTTGCAGTTAGTGCCAAAGAGATATCAGAACGTGGAATAGAGGACCGACTAACCAGTGATCGCTCAACGAAAGCGGACTTTTCCAGAGAATTCGTGCTGGCCGTGGAACCCCGAGAGACCCTAGGCTTGAGATCGGAGCCAGAGAGAAGATATTCGGAAGGAGCCACAGGCGGGCAATGCGATTGACGATGGAGGGAAAGAGGTGAGAAAAGGAAAACCCCCGGTGAAGGCTCGATTCGCGAGATTGTCCAAGAATCTAACCTAGTCAGCTTGACAGCGGAAGGAACGAGATGGAGGTTGTCGCGAAGCAGATGTCTGGAGAAAGGTGAAGAGGAAAGGAAGTGACGGGAAACAAATGGAAAGTGGTAACCTACTTGGGCAAGAGAAGATCGTATATTCCTTGCCAACCGATTCCATGAGGCAGTCGCGGTTGTGGCTTGACGAAAGGAAGAACTGAGAAGCCTGCAAGAGGCTGTGGCAGACGATTTGGAAGCAGATGAAAAGTGAGCAGTGAGTTACCGGTCAAAAGGGAAGGCGGCAGTATATGATATTGCCCAACCAAGGCGAAAAGAGTCGGGCGGTGTGTGGATGAAAAGAGGATTAACTGATTTGACTAAAAAAGCGCGTGTAATGGTTGTAACCCGGGCTTTTAGGGAAGTCACCAACTCATTAAAGCAGCGAAGCTCAAGTTCTAACAGATAGAGAATCGTGTGGAAACCGCAAACAAAGGCGCATGAGCTGGTATCTGATGCCGATGGCAAGAGTCTAGCATCCATGAAAACAAACCATAGCCAAAACACCAACAATACCATCACCATCTACACAGGATCAACCTCAGCATCATCAACAACACCCTCAACACCACCGCCCGCTTTCTCTTCGGGTCCCCAAGCCTCAGGGCCGACAAACCTCTTCGGCCAAATATTCATCGCCGTCTTCAACCCATCCCCCAAAGGCAACCCAGCATGCACCGTCCTCGGATCCCCCGTCCCGTTCGGAAACAAATTCACCCAGAACAAAGCATTCCCCCTCACCGGCCGAAACGCGATACCCCCGTCCTCGTGCCTCCTCCACAACCTCTCCCCGGCCAGGTCCTGCGGCGCCACCGCCTCGATCTTCGGAAACCACGTCTCGCCCTCAGTGCACCCGTCCTCCAGAATCGCAAAGAAGCTCGCGATCCGGTTCCACCGCCGCCGCCGACGCGTCGCGACGTCCGGCTGAAAGTCGTCGTACCAGTCATGGTGGACGTTGAACCGCTGGCCGGTCGTGTACCGCACCAGCTGCGGCGCGCCGATCTCGTCGCGCCCGGGGGCCAGCATGGTGCCCATGAAGGCCTCGGCGCGGGCGAGGACGCACTGCACGACGGGGGCGTCGAGGGGCAGGCCGGCGGACGAGGAGGTGCGGTCGGGGGTCCCCTGGGTGCGGCCGTTTTTGTAGACGTGGGAGGGTTTGAAGGCGGGCTCGCCGGCCTCGAGGAGGGCGGGGATGTCGCGGTCGAGGTTGAGGAAGTTGTGGATGTAGATCACGAGGGGGTCGAGGGAGACGATTTGGGTGGTGTAGTTTTGGGGGAGGCAGGTGAACTTCGCGAGCTGGGGGTCCTCTTGCGGCGGGAGGGTGTCGTTTGTGAGGGGTTGTGGGTTTTTGGTGTTGAATGGGATGACGTCGAGGGCGCTTGTGATGTTGAGGTTTTGTAGATGTGGCAGGGTTACTGCGACGAGGCCGGTGTAGGCTGAGAGGCCTAGGAGTTTGGCGATGAAGCTGGCCATCTTGCTGTCGAGAATGTTCGCAACTTAATTCAAAAACATCGGACAGCAAAGACAGCGTCACGTCGCGTCAGCGAGGGCGACGTGCCACTCAAATACCGTGTCCTGAAGACCACTTTCATTCCGAATACCCGTCCACGTCTCCTACTGCGCATCAGATAGATCAATGGAGCGTCGTCCTCCGAAGATGCGGAGAAGGTATCCGTCGGCCGGCTGATTGGAGCTCGCGCCAAGGTCGCCAAGGACTCCCCTGCCGTCCCTCCACCACGCCAGGTTCTTGTCTCGCCGAGGCTTTCCGGGGTAAGGTGTACAGATGATGAGATTCATTCTGACAGAAGAAAATGTTCTCTTGTGATAGACGGATCACTTCGCAGTTACATAGTGTACAAGCCTACAATGCTCTCCTACAGCAACCACAGCAAAATGTCCTGTGCCTCCCAATTGCGAGCTTCCCAAACGTTCGAATCCCAGACTGCCGGGCATTGTACACTGCCGCCGGGGAGGAAAGCAGCAACTTTCTGTTGTTGAATGTTCGCAATTCAGGTCGCCGAAACAAAAGCGGGTATGGCGGTATGTATCAACAAACGCCGAAAATGTATCGCGAGAAAATGTCCCAACCAGAATCGCAGATACCACGAATTACGCCTCTCCATATTCGACTCCGCGCGCAGCTTAGATCTGGCTGTGGCGAGCGCGCTTTCGTGCGCTTCCCTGAGACGACGAAGGGTGCAACTTCTCGTTGCGCTCCCTCTTGAGCTTCTCGTCGAGAACACGAGCTGTTCACTGTTAGCACCGAGCCCGCGGAACCGCGAACAACAAGAGACGTACTAAGAACATCGTATCCGAACTGGGGGTACTCCAAGCACAGAGAGCGGAACTCCTCCTCGGCCTCGGCACGGAGGGTGTGCGAGCGGGTGGCCCAGAAGCTGGCGACGGGTGCGCGGATGGTGGTATCGTCCTTGGAGGTGTAGGCGTAGACGTAGCGGGCGTAGGCGATCTCGCCCTTGGCCGTCGAGTTGACGCAGTGGATCTTGGAGCTGGCGAGCGAGCGCAGGCCGGGCATGCCAAACTTCTCGGCCAGTGTGTAGACGCGCGCGTGCTTCAGCAGCTGAGTGCCGTCCGAGTCGACGTCTGGTGTCGAGGGGTCGACTTCGAGGGTGCGCGAGCCGGCGACCTTGCGGGGGAAGTACTCGCCCGTGTAGAGGTACTCCAGGAAGCAGCCAACGGCGTCGAGCTCCTCGCCGATGAGCTCAACCTGTCGGGGCTGTGGGGGTTCGTCAGTCGACCGTAGACAAGGCGCGGCGCAGAATACTCACGCTGCCGTCGTCGCTAAACTGAGCGCATGCCTCCTTGAAGAATGGGCTCTGGACGAGGAGGGCTTGATGGGCGGTGAGGATGGCCTCGGTTTCGGCAGCGCCAACGAGAATGGTCACGACCGGGCTCGACAGGTAGCTGACGAAAGTGGTGCGCGGCTCGACGGGGTCGGTCTCGCCGCCCTCAGGGAAGGGAAGCTCCTCGGCGTTGGCATTATCACCGCCCTCGGCGCCCTCAGCCATCTCGACATCGCCGCCGGGGTTGGCGGAAGCCTCCTCGGCAATCTCAACGTCCGGGTTAAATTCGTCGGCCATTGCGGCGGTTTGCGATCGTGCGGTAGTGGCGGGTGTTTCGGTGAGAGGAGTGGAATCGAGAGCTCTTTCGGGCGCGGTTCGTCTGGTCGCAAACCGGTCAATTGATCGTCAGGATATTCGCAGCGAAACGAGCGCGTAAGGAAATGCGAAAAATGAGCGTGGAAAGTGTGAGGATGATCGAATTGATCGACCGCAAGCGGGAGAGAAGAAGGTGCACGTCGCAAAAATCAGCCGAAAACACAACTCTGTTCCAGGTTTGGGGAAGCTGGGAAAGGAAGCTCAGGCCAAGGAAGCTGCGCCGCGCCTGCACCACCACGCTGAACTGAACCGCAGCTTCCTCCTCAGTTCTGAGTTCATGAGCACGGGCCACTCCAATTGACGACTGAGGCAACGAGGAAATGTGGGACATGGGCAGTTCACAGTGTTCGTTTCCACAGGCAACGGCCCCACGACAGCACCCAACAACCAGTGACAACACCAGGCTCCCCTGCCAAGCGGGGCGCTCGATAAGATGTGGATGTTGGGATAACGCCATTGAGTTTATCGATAAGAGCACATCCAGACCAGAGCTGTCCCTTTGCTGCACACGTCATGGCATCTTTACCTACCTTACCTTAGGAACGTGGGTGGACTGCTCACATAAGTAATTGTGCCACTTTGAAGAATAATCTCTCGCCATCGACATAATCCATCCGAAAATATTCTCCAACACCAACGCCGGGTATCATGGGTTCGCGAGGTACATGTTTAGCAAATAACCCGCCTATTAATGCTCAGCCGAATTCCCCCAATGCAATGCCCCAAAGTCGTGGCATGGTATGGCACCCAGAGTACACCGCCGCAATGCAATTCAATCATGCGCCCAAGTCCTTCAAATGCCGCCAGAATATTGCAAATTCAACAGAAAGGCTCCCTTGCCTCTATTATCGCTTCAGTTCCGCTCGTTCTCTTTCCCGGCGAGTGCCTTCTCTTTCGGTTTGCGATTCAACGACAGCGATGTTATAGCTGGTTGCAGAACCCCCCTAGGTTGCTCGGCTTTGAGCTCCTCCCAGTGTTTCTTCAGCTCTTCCTCTGTCACCTGCAGCTCGAAGTTGGTCAGGAAGCAAAAGTTGATCTCAAGCCGAGCTAATTCGGACTCGCTGACACCCCCTACCCTAGAGAACTTGGTGTGCGGGTAGCTGAGGTCCTCCAACGCCTTCATGGCTACCCTTAATCCTGCCAGCACCAACCGGTGTGCGTTTCGCCTCGTGACGGGTATCGTTCGTTCTTCGACTGCGAGCCGGTGGATGTACAGACTGGTCGCGAGGTAAACGCCCGTGGTCATCGGACAGAACTTATGTATCCGTCCGAGATAATCCTCGATACTGATTGCCGGAGGTTTCTTGGAATAAAACTTGCGCGTGATGGCGCTGTGCTGCACATTTAATGGCTGCGAGTTCTCGCCCACGATGACGTAGGGTTCGGGTGGTCTTGACGGCGCAGGAGACGCTGGCGTTTGCGTCTGCCTCAAGTGAACACCGTCTATCGGCTGCGTCACCGAGACGCTCGAACCGCTGGTGTGAGAAATCATTGGAGGTCGGCGTGGAGATGGAGATGCGTGCGCAGTAGCCATGGCCGCCTCGGCTTCCTGACGCATTCTCGCCAGGTTCTTTTCTGAATTTGTCCGTATTAATTCCTTTTCCGCCGCCATTCCTCTCATATTAGGCAAGGTCGGGCTCGTCGGTGGGGGTGTCGGTGGTATATCGCCCGTTATGCGAACAAGCGCCTCGATGCCGCCACTGAGCAGCCTCATGGCCAACCTTGGAGGTAGCTTCGACACATCTTCGTTTTCGGGTACGTTCGGCGGGCTCTCGCTGGCGGCAACGGCAAGCCCCGGGTCCAACGAAGGGTTCGGTGGAGGCGGAAGCTCGGGTACATCGCTCGAATCCGACCCGGGACGCGGCGAAGTAACGCCGTCTTCTGGATTGGGCGTCATGGTTATCGTGATTCGCTCCTGGAGATCAGAGCAAGGTCTAGAGGAAGGCGCGAATGACGTAGTGGCGATATGGGAGAAGTGTGTGTCGATGGATGCGGGTTAGGCAGTGACAAGTATCTGACCCTAAAAGAAGACGGAGATTCGCGGTTTGCACCTTGGGGAAGGGCTGTCTGGTTCGTGTGGTGTTGGGCGGTTTTTGCCAAAGATCATAATCTCGAGTTTTACCCTCATAGAGTCGCAGTCGTTCCTCGGCCTGATTCGGCTTGGCGGGAGCCGGGATATCTCGCGGGGGCAGGTGACCCTCTGGCTGGGCTTATGGAAGGCGTGTCTTCGGAGGCGTTCTGGGACAGGCTAACTGATTGTCTCGTGAAAAGAAAACGGCGGGAGCTGGAGACCCAGAGGTGGTTCGATTAAAAATGGACTTGTGGCCGTTCGCTTGCGGCAGATGGAGGGGAGAACGGTAGGGCAAAGTGCGGCGCCCGTCGGGCGACGTTGCTCTGGGCTGTTCGAGGACCAGGGGTTTTGGAGGCGGTCGGAATTGAAGGACGGCGTCTGGCGGCTGAAAGATGCGTCTGGAGTGGGATTCTGATCAAAGCAGGTGGTTCTGGTGTCAATCTGTTGTTGTCTTGGTTGGGGCGACGTCGTTGGTGGTTCTGGTGGCTCTGAAGGTGGTGTTGGCGGTGGTGGTCTCGACCTACTCGGCCCAAATGAATGGCAAGACTGGCAGCGGCAGCGCACAATCTTTCTGCTGATCTCGAAGCTAGTGCGGGGAATTGCAGGCATGCGGCAGGCGAAGAAGCAGCAGAGGGCACGGCATCCCCGTCGGGGTGGAGGGATCGGCGATCGTCTCAAGTCGAGGTGCTGCAAGGTGCTGCAATAAACGCACAAGCACTGGACGAATAGGTGTGTAGGGTGCGCTTCGGAGACGCGGGACGGGTGATGAGCTGTTGGAGACCGCGCTGGAGGAGGCGAGACGAATTCTTGGAGCAGACTGGATCGCCTACAAGTCGTCTGCAGGGACGGGATGAAGACAGAACAACACGATTTCGGTGGCGTTGGACGACGCCCGTCCAGCTGTTGCGGACCTGGCCGTGGCCGTCGGAGGCACGAAGCAAAAGCAGGCGAGCGAGCGGCGGACGGGGGCACAATGCAGGGGATTCGGAGTCGGCGTCGGCGTGGACAGTGGGATGGTCCCGTCGTCTTCGTGGATGCCGGGGCGACTGACTAGGTATCAGTAGCGATGCAGGTTGCCTTGGGTATGATGAATGTTGGTATAATATTGCGTAAGTCTAGACAAGAAGCGGCGGACGAGAGGTTTGTTGGTGTCTTGTCGTCGCCGGGTGACGTTGAAGAGAGCAAATGGATGGGAGACGGAGGAGGGTAGCAGAATTATATCACGACCGAGATTTTTGGAGAAATTTCCGGGAAGAGGGGATATCGCTGGCTGTGGAGGAAGGAAGTGCCTGTGAGGCGAGCGGAGTGGAGAGCCGTGGGCCCGGCGGTAGGAGGGGTCAGGCAATCCGAGGAAAGAGCGTGAAGAATGTGAACCTGATGGAAGACGAGAAGAGAAGGGTCCTTCCTCTTGAGCATCCTACCTTGTTTTGATTTCTTCCTGTCGTTCCTTCCTACCGTTTTCTTTACGTTCCTTCCTCCTTCCCCCGGTCTTTCTACCACATTAGAGGTAATCACCATCAAAAGGCAGGAATGACCTTGAGCCGCGGCTTTAGTCGCCTTGCGACCCCAGCAGTTACACCCAAACATAAGTCGTGTACATGAGGGGTTTCCCTGGCCATATCAGCTGGTGTTTTGGGGGCTTCAAGGGCCGATAGGAACGGGAAATGCCCATTTTGCCCAATCTCAAGCTCCATTTCCACGAGGTTTGCACTTTCCCCTCAGCGATGGAAAAGCAGGGGTCGCACGGCACGGACATTGCAGTGGCCAGTGCATGACCCACCCCGTTATTTTAGAGCAGGTGCCACTGGCAGGCATCGCGGGGTGGCCTTGCCTTCCTCGGACGACGATGGTGGGGTTTAAGGGTCTTTTTTATCGTCAAATGACCAGATTTGATGCAGGCAGCTCTCCAACCCAGCCAATCCTCATTTTGGCCTCTGCTTCTTTTCCGTTGCCGATGGAATCTTCGGGTATTCTTACTTTTATTTTTTCAGGCCAGAGATTCTGCATAACGATGAACCCCCACGGTCAATACGTACGGCAAATACACTGCAGTTCTATCCGTAGGTAGGTTCCAAAGGATTGTTCTTCACAGACGAGACCAGATAACCATCACGACTACCATTCTCATTACCACACCACCACCACCACACCACACCACCTCAGCTTGCTGCACCTGGTCACGATCCCCACTGCCATCACAGCGTCTGCCGTCAGCCAACACACCACATCGGAATGCCTCCTGCTGCCGACTTTTCGGTGAGATCTACCCGCTGGGTAAGGTACGGAACTAAAGAAGGTCTGGAAGGTCTGACTTCAGCCACCCGGCCTCTTTAAGCCCACCAAGGAAACACCCGTTGCCATCTCATTCTCGCCAACCCGAAAGTGGCTTTCTGTCCGCGTCTAATATCCGCCGGCAGCTAAAAGCAATCTTGGAATATTTCTACTCCGCAGCCGCCGTGGATTTTCGACGCCGGGGACGCGCTTCCGACATTCCAACCGATTTCTTCGGCAGCGATACAAACTTTCACGCCAGGGTCACCCATGTTTTATCAGACTGGGAAGCATATGCCATCGTATCCTATCCAAGTCCGGTGACTCTACTCTACCGGGTTCTTCCTACATTCGGTCTTCTACATCCACGTCTACGGCGCTTCTACATCCCCTTGCGTAGCACAGCGAGTCATCGCATCTCTTTCGCCTCGCTTCAACGACTGCACCAGGTCACACCAGTCTGAACGACGACATGCGGCTCCGGCTGCTTTGGGCCTCGCATCTCTTGCCTTATCGCGGCTCAGCATCCCATGGCCACCTTGATATCCAGCACTGCTGTCTGGCCTCCCTGCACGGTCTCAATCGCCTTCTTGAGCATTCCCTCAAGATCCGCCGCGTTGTCCACCCGCGCAGCAAACAGGTCGCCGCCTGCCGCCGCCTTCGCGATACCCGCATAGTCTGGTGACGGGTCGAACGAGATGTTGATTTCCTCGTTGGACGCCTTGGACCCCTCACCGTCGGGGTGCACGAGGAGCAACGAGCGACGAGGCGCGTTCCAACCTGGCCATGTCAGCTAAAGACTTCAAATCTCCGCCTTTCCGAGGACCACTTACCCTTGTTATTCAAAATGATGGTCAGCACCGGGATATCGTACCGCTTTGCGATCCAGTGAACGCTACCCGGCACCGAGAAGAGGAATGTGCCATCGCCCACGATCTGTACGACAAACTTGCCCTTATTCGTACCGCCGTGCTCATAGTCGGTTGCCAGCTTGATGCCCAGCGCACCACCGCCAGACCAGCCAAGGCCACCACCACCACAGTTGATCCACGATCCAGGCAGAGTCGCCTGCAGGTTATCGGCGACAAAGACGGTATTCGTTACGGCCTCAATTGCCCAGATCGTGTCCTGGGGACAGAGCTTTCTCAAAGTCCGGGAGAGGTGACCCGTGCCGAATTCGCCATTCCATTGAGGCTTCGTCTTCTCTTCGATCTTGCTCAGGAGAGCCTTATAAGACTCACTGCGCTTGGCTTCTTGCTGCTTGGCCTCGTCGGATTGCAGCTGCGCAGAGTGCTCCGACTTGAGATGGGCGGTAATCTGCTCGACTGACAAGAGACTGTTGGCACGGTATCTTGATTGCGCCTTGATGTAGAAAACGGGCATCTGCTGCTTCAAAGGGTCGACATCAATGTGGAACACCTTCGCCTCCTTTGACGGATGGCAGAGAGTGTTGATCCACGGCACATCACAGTCCAGCACCACAATGACATCAGCAGTCTTGACGGCGTCGTCGATGCCGAACCGTAGGCCTAACCAGGCCGGGTGGTCGGCCGGGAAGCACATGTCGCTACCGCCCGTGTCGACAACTCGCAGACCCTTGACCGTGTTGGCAAGCTCGACCAGCGCTCCGGGGAAGTCGTGGTTCCTACCACCGTATCCAGTGATGATGAGAGGCTCCTTGGCACCGGCCAAAGCCTCGGAAATCTTATTCACGGCGTTCTTGGGCAGACCACCGAGTTCAACGGGGTCCCATTCATCCTGGTTGATGCTGTATGGCTCAATCTCGGCCTCCATCACCTCTCTAGCACCGCAAAGGTAGACGGGCCCTTGAGGATCCGACCTCGAAAACTGAAGGGCGCGGTTGACCATCTGCTTTACGTTGGTCCCTGTCTTGAGTTCGCCCGAGTAACGGGTGTATTGAGCCACAATCTGCTTTTGGTCTGGGACGTCCTGAATCCAGTGGATATACTCGGTGCGGCTACCTCGCAGTTCACCTTCAAGCGTGAAAGGGGAGAGACCGGCGAATACGAGAACCGGTGCGCGGCCGCATGACGAGTTATGTACTGCGGCGCCCAGGCCTTGCGTGCCAACATCGACGTGAACGATGACACATTGCGGCTTCCCGGTCAGACGAGCATAGCCGTCAGCCATGGACATGGCCACCATCTGGCCAGTCGTCAGTACGGCTGTCTCGACACAGGAGTGATGGGGAAGTTTACTTCATTGGGGCACGTGATGATTCTGGGAAAGTTTCCCTTCCTCTCCCTCTGACCCTTAACCATGGCCTCGATGATGCTGGGGTGGTCCGACCCCAGGTTCACGAAGCAGTGGGTGACGCCGGCGTCCCATAGCGCCTCGAAGAAAGCAAACGACGCGGTATACATCTCGGCTGATTTGGATGAGAGATTCCGAGCTTGCTCGATGGTGGCCTTGTACTCGTCCTCAACCACAGGCCGGGGGGCGGGCTTTATACGAGCATCAAAGGCCGACGATGTTGATCCCCCACCTCGATTCAGTGGGGCCGCGGATGAGAATCCGGCAATCTGACGAGCATGGCCGACAACGGCTGGGCCGGCAGCCAGCGTCTGCTTGAACCGGGCTATTCCCCCTGCTCTCCCACCTGCAGGCCCGACACGGCGCAGGCAGCTCGCCATGGGCGCCGGCAAATGTCGAAAAGGCATGGTGAAGGGCGGCAATACACACAGGAAGGGAGGGGAGCGGGGTATCAATAGCTGATGACCGCGAGTGTTACTCGACAGCGTTATCAACCACCTCGACAGGCTTGGCGAATGGGGGGCACGTTATGATTACCTTTTCCTCCGCCAATGGTGATGACGTGCTTTCCGAAGAAGGTTGACAGAAAAGGAACAAAAAGGAAGTTCTTTTTTGGACTCGATGAGATGACTGAAGTCAAATTAGGTTCGCATTCCTCGTGACGGGCGACAAAGACAACTTATACCTCCGACTAGGATGATTTCACAGACCGGCGGCCGGCTTAAGCTTGTTCCCCAATTCCCCAGCCCAGATGGCCAGCAAGTGTAGGGAGCATCGCGCCCTGCGGCCAGCCAACCCCGCAATCGGTCCAGGGACGGGTTTCATAGGGCGCTTGGGATCGGCTCACTGCAGTTGTTGACTTCACCTGCAGATAAGCGGGCAGCGGGCATGGTGTAAGAGGACTTGGTTTACATTTAACAGTCTCTTGGAAGCGTTACAGTCAAGACATCCCTCTTCTTCAACTTCATGAAACTTCAGACTCGACTTTCAGTCCGGTTTCTTTCAGAGACCTTGTATCAATTCAAGAGCCAGAGTCACCACATCAGCCGCTCTGGGCCGAGAATTGCCGTCTGGACAACACGTCGGTCTCACCCGTCCCCGCAACAAAGCGCGTCCGGGTGTTCCTGGGGGGATCCATCATCCAGCTGATGCGTCCAGGTCGTGCGGGGTGCAGACGGTCTTATCTAGCTCTTAGCTAATGGGATCCGCTCAGGCTCTCCAAGTTCACCTCGGGATGCCCAAAGAGGCAGACAGCTGATGTGGTACGGCACGCCATTATCAACAGCAACGCGAGGTCGGGTTTGGAATCCCGTGAGATTTGGATATCTCGTGACATTACCATCGGAAATATCACCGTCAACTACCACGACGATTTCAACCCATCCGGCCAAATCCACCCGATCAACGTCCCCACGCCGAAAAACACCAAGCAAATAACCACCGTCGTGAGAATTCCACCTCCGCCGCTCCGCGCCCCGACCGGCTCCGCCCTCCTCCTCCCCTTCGAAGCCGCCGTAGTAGTCGCCGCCGTCCTCCCCGCGCTCGTCGGCATGGCATACGTCGGCCCCGCGGTCGGCGTGCCGAACAACGTCGTCTCCCGAACATCGATCGTCTGCTGACCCCAGCCCGACGAAGTGATGGCACTCGCAGTGCTGGTCGTGACCGCCGTCGACTTCCCGGACCAATCGTGTCCGTCGAACGCCTTATACCAGCTCCATTGGTTGTCCGAATCGTTCCAGTCCGCGCGGATGCCCGGGCACTGGTTGAGGCAATTGAACAGCCCCGCGGCGGTGCCCTGCCTCGCGTTGCCCTTGCCGTCGGAGAATTTGAGCCCGCAAGTGCGGTAGCAGGCGTACGAGGAGCAGGGCAGCGAATACCACGGCTTCAGCCAGCCCCCGTAGTGCTCCCACGTCGTCCACTCCGATATGTCCGTGTCAACCAGCGTGAAGGAGTTCGAGCTCTCGACGCCGTAGAAATTCGTTTGGGGTCGCGTCTGGTTGAACTCCATCGCCGTGATTTTGTACTTTTCGGACGGACCGAGGTCTTTCGGGATCGTGACCTTGGGGTTTGTCGTTCCGACGGGGATTAAACCGCTGAGATAACCTGCACAACAGCCCAATCAGCACATTTGAGGTCGAAAAGGGGGGAAATGGCATAACTGACATGTATACATCCACTCATCCGTCCAGAGAAACAGCTGGTAATGCGTGTAGAGCGCATCATGCCCGCACCCGACCTCCTCGTCGACGGGGTTCCTGCACACGGCCGTGGTGTCCTCGAAGAAGCCGTAGGCCGCAGTCTTCTCGTAGACGAAGGGCTGCTTCCAGAAGTCGAAGCCGATTGCGATTTCCGTCTCGACGCCCGCGGAGATTGTCGAGGGGACCGTGACGTTGAGGGCGGTGACCGTGGTGGCCGCGACGGCGAGGAGCGCGATGGTGGTGGGGAGCATGTTTCTTATCCTCTTCGCGCTTGCGATCGCCTGGGATAGAGTAAAACGAGTGAAATGGCGACGCGGGGTGGCTACTGAACAAGTGAAGAGACGCGCATCGCGCATGACGGAGGGGAAAAGGAGGCCATCGCGAGAATATTTTGGGGCGTGGCGATGGGATTTGGAGGATCGGGATCCTGGTTTGGGGGGGATTTTGGGCTAGCTCCGGGGCTTATCGCGCGCTAGGCCAGGAGCGATGCAGCGCTAATCGTCCTGCAGGAAGTTCTCGTGTTGGCTTTGCTAATGATGCAATTCTGCTTTCTGAGATGTGGCATTGTTATTTTCGCAATATGTTTGTCTGAGCTTGTCTATATTTCTCACCTGTTTCTGACTGTGACTGGATCGGTTTCTGGTGGCAAGCATCCCGAATCGGACGGGAGACATGTCCGGGACGGGTGGGGCATCCCGGGTCCGGCTCGGTGCTTTCACCCGGAGGCCCGGAGTCTAGATCGTGGCGCTTATATTGATGGATGGGAAACGAAATATATTAATTCTAAGAGTTAAGAGAACTAAGACAGTCGAAGATTCAGCGACAACGTTCATGCCGATTTGGGAAACATGGCATAACCTCCGTTTAGAAGTCAAAATCATCGGATGACGGCGCTCGTGGCTGAAGCCGAACACCGCGGCCTCCCGCTTGACGCCAAGCCGTCACCTGCGCAACTGCTCGTTCATCCAGTTGATGCATCGCGCTCAAGATTTCTCTCCACGTACGACGACGTTGGCTTTCAACGCAACCTCTCACCGCGCAGATGAGGATGGATTTTCAGGTCCCGGACCCCCGTCTGATCTGAAGCCGCCCTCGCATCGGAGTGCTGCATCAAACACATCCTTGGGAAGCTCGAGTCCGCCGGTGCGGCAGGCCGGGCGCGTCCACCGCATGACCGTCTCCTCACGAGGTTCAGATGAACGATTGTTTACGAGCACCTACTTAAACCAACTTCCCCTCTTCCGCGATTAACTGGACTGATTTCTAGTCAGGTATCCTCATCCGCCCGATTCAATTGAAGCAACAAGAGAATCAACAACAGCAAAGACTCCCACACGTATACAATCAGAGCGCAAAACCAATCACCAAACATGCTGTCCCCGTTCTCCCCCCTCCCGAACTACATCCTCGGCACGGGCCTGACCTTCGTCGGCCTCCTCGGCTTCATCAAGCCCCTGGCCGTCTACGACGCCTTCGGCATCCAGCGGCCGCTCTCCGCGCAGGCGGACCCCTTCAGCTACGCCAAGGCCGGGCGCGACCTGGCGACCGGGCTCCTGTTCGTCGCGTTGGAGACGTATCAGGAGGGCAGCGGCAACGAGGACGCGGTGACGATGTTGTGGGCCACGACGGCGCTGGTCGGGCTGGTCGACTGGTGGGTTGTCCGCAGCATGGGGGGCAAGGAGCTGAGGAGCAAGAGTTACGTGCATCTGGGGAGCGGTGCGCTCTGTGCGCTCTTTGCGGGCTGGAGGTTGATGTATTGAGATGGCGTGGAATCAAATGGTGAGGTATGGTCGGTTGCCGTGCTCACATAGCGTCATGTGGTTATTGACGGTGCATTCCATATACTACTTCTGCGACTGGTGCCGACGTGAAATCACAGCATGAAGCCCTTAGATACTCGAGTTCTTGGTTAACCCATTCTCAACCATGGCGAAGATAGCTCTGGGAAATTGAGAGAAGACAACATCCTAATTAACACAGACTGAAATTGACTATGTGAGCTCTCTAGTAGCTACAGTATCTGGAACCAAACGTCCGAAAATGTCAATAGTGGTGCGAACGCCCTTACGCTATAGGACTTTCGTCCTCATCCTCTTTAGCCGGCCTCACTTCACTTTTCCTTCAACTCAATGGCGACTTCGAATGCACTCTTGTCTGGTTCGCAAACGGTTCCCACCTCCGGCAGTTTGCCGTCGGCGAAGTAGTCGCGGACGACATCGTTTGTGCACTTGGAAGGGTGGTTTCTAAACCCGTGCTACATGACAGCAGTCAGCTTCGGTCTCACCAGCCAATCTCACGAGAAGATACTTACACCGACGCCCATGTGAACAACCATCCGACTGTTGCGGAGTCTCGCGGACACCTCCCACGCAGAGCTCTCCGAGGTGCCCGGGTCGTAGTGACCGTTGACGACGAGGACCGGATAGCTGGTCTTGACGTTTCTCAGAGCGTTGAGGTCGATCTGTTCGGCGGAGCTGAAGCGCCAACGGCCGCAGTAGAGCCGGTCGGGGACCGAGTCCGCGAAGGAACCCTGCGCCAGGCGGGCTTGGTAGACGGAATAGAAGTCGTCGCGGTTCTCGGCGCGGAAGGACGAGTCGGCGCACGAGATTCCCAACATGGCGTGCTCTCCTTGGTTCCATTCGGATGCCAACATGTTAGGTGTCGGAGTGACCGCCGCCGTCCAGTTCCCCGTGAGTACGTGGTTGACTCTCTCGATGGCGTCGAAGTAGGTCGCGGGACCGTAGAGTTCCCCTACGATTGCGACTTTGAAAGGGAGGACATAGAGAAGTCCAAAATCCTCACCCTCGGTGTCATCGTCGAGCTTCTCTTGAATGGCTTCGTCGAGTGCCGACATCAAACTATCTCCGGTGGTGTTGGTGCCGGTGTGGTTGGCCAGCACACAGGTCCCAGGACCGGCCTCGACGCACCCGTCAAACAGTTTGTGAAGGGCCCGTTCCACGTCGCGTTGGGCGGTTATCCAAGTGGTACTGGCATAGTCCTCGGCGAGAAGGTTGGCATCGAGCAGGACGCGCCCGACGCGCTCGGGAAACATGGAGGTGAAGACTTGTCCGAGAACGGTTCCGTAGGAAGTCCCCCAGTAGTTCACCTTCGGGCCCTGGTCGAGGGCGTCGGCGATGGAGATCAAGTCCCTGGCTCCGAATGCCGTGCCGATGAAGCGCCCGTACTTGGCTTGGTCACGGAAGCAGGCGTCGGCGATCGCTTCCGCGGCGCCCAAGACGAATTCGTTGAAGTAGGCCCATATGTTTGCCTGCGGCAGTGTGTTGAATTCGCGGCGAGCGAGGGTAGGTGCTGTCTCCGTCGCCGTGATGTTGCACGCGAATGGAATCGTTCTTCCGACACCCCTGTATCTTCGTCAGCAAATTTGAAGGAATCCAGATCGAAGTTCGCCATACCTTGGATCGAATGAGACAATATCGTACTGTCCTCCAACGATACTGCATTTGAATCAGCACATGTATTACTAGTCACCACAAAGGGCGGTAGCCCTACTCTCTCATTTGTAGACCCCCAGCAGGTGACACTATGGTTCTCTCAACACCGGACCCTCCAGGCCCACCGGGGTTGTAGATGATGCTGCCTTTGTATGGCTCTTTGTTGGCTTTGAACCTGATCAGTTGAAGTTCGATAGTCTCTCCGGAACTCAAGCTTGTGTAGTCCAGCGGGACTTCAAGCTTGGCGCACTCGGGCTTCTCAGGCAGGGCGTCGACAATGGCGTTATTGGCGGCGCCAAAGTCCAAGTTACATTCTGCCCATGAAAGAGACTTGTTTGTTGGAGTTGAGGAGTTGCTGACGTCTCTGCTCAAGATGGCATGTGCACTATTGGGCAGTGACAGGGCGCTGGCGGACCCGAAAAGGGCGTGGCTGAGAAAAACGTTTTGTGGCTTCATGGCTGCTGAACGTTGAATGTTTGTGATGATGGACTGGTATTCGGGGATTTCCTTCGTGGTGACATCGCAGAGCTTTATATACATGTGCAATCTCGAATCTCAAGACCCTTTAGGACGAGCTGATGGAATGATGTGCATGTAGCACAGCCCAGTCCTTACAGCATCTTGTTTACTGCCCGGTGACAAGAAACACGCATATGCCAAAACCAGCAAATATTGCCATGGATCGAGGCGATGCAGGCCAAACTGACCTCAGTCATCAATCCCGTTTGGTGCTGTCCTACATGACACGCAGTGTTGGCTTCTTGGCGTAGGCAAGCTGAGCTTCGCCGAGTCCACATAGCGCGAGACAAGGCTCACTTCCTTCAATGCTCTTATTACATGCTGACGAGGTAGTATTTTCAGCCCTGCTATCCGAAATGACATGGAAAAGCAACACCTTTTGGTTTGGTGATGGAGAGTGCTTATTGGCTTCGGAGAGCGAGGGCCTAATGCGAGCTTATTCTGTCCGCGCCAACGTCATAGGCTTACATGTTTTGCCGTTTTAGGAAATTCAATGTAGACCTCTCGATGTCTCGTTGATTGGGCGATCACTCTCCACGTGGGGGCGAGGCGACCCTGTGAGAAACCTCAGCTCCGACTTCTATTACACACTTTTAGTTGCAAGATGCGATCGTCGACATTAAGATCTGTTCGCTTTCTCTGAAAAATAATTTACGCAACGTTTGTGGGGCTTAGCCTTCCGAGAAATGGCGATATCGATCATATCGTCTATCATCCAGCTTATATTGCAATCATGCCACTCGGGATTGTGTCCCGCCAGTTAGGGGTATAGAGATGGTTTTGGCAACTGCACTGGTGGCTTCTAATGAGATCAACGTGGGCAGGACAACGGTTTGCCAAGCCTGCGGCATGGCTCTTAGTTATCTTATTACAGCCCAAAGCTTATGAATGTCAACTACACCAAGCCTCTCTTGTCAGATCTGAGATGCTAACAATTCTTTGGTACTTAGAATGCTTCTTGAGGCAATCAGATATTGACATTCCGGCTTCCCTAAGCCTTGTTCTTGTCTACGATGATCTTCGGCGACACCCTGATTTGCCAATCGCTGACGTTATGATAATCGCCATACGTCCTCAGTGCCCTCGAGAGAATCTTGTATTCTCCACTCTCGATCGCTCCGCCATGCGAGTAGTTGCCGCTGGGCCACCACGTGCTGGAAGGAAGACGGGGATATTGCTGAACAGGTGCGTCGAAGTACGCGTCGGAGATAAGATTGTAGTGCTGCAGCGAGCCGATGTACTTGTTCTGACCAGGGACGAAGGGATAGGACCAATCACTCTGTTCCCAAGTTGGGTCGACGAGCTTGATGCGGAGTTAGTACAGCGACGAGAGGCCACGAGAATGCAGCGTGAGACTTACGTCGAAGGAGAATTCCCGTGTGGGCCACATAATATCGAAGTCGATCGTGAACGTATCCTCTATGGTCATCTTGAATGTGTCGTTCTCCCTGACAAGAACAAAGTCGGGCGTCTGAACAACGGGGTCGATCCAGTCGTCGGCCCAGATGTTGCTACCATACACGCTGCCTTTGATTCCTGTTTCGTGTCAGTGATCCTGAAAACCCAGCATGAAGTGTGGAATGGTGGATATACCTGCATAGGTGACGCGAAGGGTCTCATCATTCGATCCAATGATGTTCACCCATCCACCGTAGACGGGGAATAGCTTAGCATCGATTCCGGCAGGCTCAACAAACGTGACGGTGATTGTTCCCGTAGCTCCAGCGGCGACCTCAAGAGAGGTCGTCGAGAACGTGACCGTCGCCAACTCATCTTCCTTCGAAGAATACGGCACGGGAGGAAACGCTACAACAGGGTCGGCATCGGGCTTGGTAATCACAGTGGAACCGGCCTGATGAGCGATGTGGTATGTGACAGCCTCGGTCCCCTTATTCTCGATCTTGATCTCGTGAGTGCCTTGGAAATGATCCGTGTCGTTGAGGTTGAGGACTGCAGGCGTGATAGTTGTCTTGTAGGTAAGAACCTTGAAGGCGTCCACAAGACCTGCGCCCTGCATTGGGATTGGTCTGGCAATCATTAGACTGAGAATTGAAGATTTCAGGAACGCGAAGCAACTTACGCTAGGGAGCCGCTTCCGTCGTGATGGGCAACAGGGTTGCCACTTGAAGTGATGAGATGGTGAGCCGTGGTGCCGGCATTGGCGATGTTGGAACGGCCACCATTGGCAGAGAAGTACAGAGCAGCAACACCGGCAATCTTTCGGAAGTCAGTACCAAAGATCGAAAATGAGAAAGCGTCAACATACATAAGGAGTAGCCATGCTTGTTCCAGACAGAACAGCCCAGCCACCATCAGCTGTAAGATACGTGGAAAGGATAGATCCACCTTGCCGTTCAGATGTCAGCCGGAGTCATTGCGGCGCCATCAGTAAGTAGACTTACCGGGTGCTGAGATCTCCGGCTTGAGACGTCCATCAACAGTCAGGCCCCAGGACGAGAAGAAATCGATGGCTCCGGCAATGGATTCGGAGTTCACGCCGGGAATGCCGATGGCCTTGCCTCCATCAGCCACGAACTCGAAGTCGACCTTGCGACCCAGTTCCTTCTGCTTGACAAGCCATTGACCGTCCTCATAACTTATGAGGCCAACTGCATGCATGTATCAGTAAAGCAAACAAAGCACGTGGGCGGATAGGGCTAGCTCACATCCAAGAGGTTGGTTCTCGGGATTGTAAACCCCACGGTTAGGAATCTCCCAGGCAGCGCCTTCGAAGTTGTAATAGAACACCCACTTCACGTCGGTACCGAAAAGATTGGAGTCAAGGACTTGCCAGCATTCGCAAATACAGGTGCTGCGTCTGTTGATCGGAGTGTTAGTGCCTGAGCCCTCCGTGCGATGTGTGCCAACTTACGGCAGAATCAAGACGCTCTCCGAAGACACATCGGGAAACTCCCATACGTCGCAGGAATCGAGACCTGTGTAGTTCTGATCGAGGAAGTGGGCCGGGAAGCTTCCATTTCGTACCCATTGGGCGGTGTCGGAGCTGACATAGAGCTGGGAAGACGTCAGACACGTACATCAATGAGTTCTCGTCAACATACAATTTTGCGAGTTTCGTTGCTGCTTGATCTCGCAGTGACGGTGAAAGCTGAAGTCTGGGTATGTTCAACGCTACCGACAGCGGTAACATCGAAGCCGTTGGCGGCGCTGCTGGTATAGAAAGGACCTGTTCATCTTGTCAGAGTCTCAGATTAACTTGTCCGGTCGCAAATTCTTACCCATCTCTCCGCTGTTGCCGGCGGCCACAGTCACAAAAACCCCCTTTGCTTGGATGTTAGAGGCGACAACTGCGAGGATGTTCTCCGGGAACCCAGCATTTGATCCCAAGGAAGCCGAAATGATATCGGCACCATCCTCGTGAGCTTTGATGAAGCCCTGGGCAATGACATCTTCCATGCTACTCCCGCCACACCCAAATACCTTGTAAATCCTTAAGCGCGCATCGGGCGCCACGCCAGGTAAGTCAGCATGAGAACTGGCCACGATGCCAGCAACATGCGTCCCGTGGCCTGCGCAGTCCATTGGGTCATCGTCAGGCACATACTCGCCACCAATCTCGTAACCATCTCCAACGAGGTCGTAACCGCCCTCCACCTTGAAGCCGGCGCCGAAGCCACCGCCCAAGTTCGGATGCCTGTAGTCAATGCCGGTATCGACGATCGCAACAACAACCCCTTCACCGGAGTGCCCAAGCTTGTGCACCTTGTCGACGCCGGTAAGCGTGTGAGGGTCCCACTTGGCTACTGGATCAGACATGATATCCGACGCGTTAGGCTTGAGGGCGTAGACGGCAGACACCGGCCAGAGCTTCTCGACCTCGGGGAGGCTCTCGATCTGCTGCAGAGAGCTCGCAGTGTGGTTGAGCAAGTCGAAAGAGGCTCCATGGAAAACATCCGAAGTGAAGTTCAGTGCGGGCTTAGCCGTGTTGTTCGTAAGTTGAAGGCTTTGGAAGAACCCTTCCGTGTCCTGGATCGATATGTCAGATAAGGACTGATGCCGAGCAACAACCACGGACTCACCGGAGAGCCATCACGCTTCCTGAACTTGGCAGAACCGGAAGATGAGAATTGGACGGCGAATCTCCGACTCGGCGGCGAGAATGGCTTCCGGTCTCCCAGAGCATCGGGAGACACCTCAGCGGAGAGAGCGGTGGTGCTCAAGAGAAGGGAGACAAAGAAGATACCAAACCCCATCTTGATAGGTATCCCTGATCCGACCGAATGCTGAGAGGTGTGCGAAGTTGCAATTTCTGCATTCTCAATTTCATCAAACCTCCAGATCGTGCAGCACTGATATACACCTCAAGCCGTCGTGGGCTTGTCCGGTCGTCTGCCGGATGGTGCAATCTTTCATTGCAGATACGAAGTCCCTGCTCCATTACCCTGCAAGTTGTAAATTGCTACACTGCAGGGTGCAAAGTATCGTGCCGAAGAATGGTGCTATCTTGGCAGGATGTAACCCTCTATCGGGAAGGTCGAACGAGCTTCAAGCAACGCAACTCTTGGCGGGAACTCTGTATCCTCTTCTTTCTGGTCTTAGATCCGGCGAGAGGGGCTTCTCAAGTCCGATCGCGCTCTTCATCAGGTAACAAGAACGCAATCCTCCACATCGGCCGAATCAGCCGAGTGGGCGGTGCCTTGTATCCGCTGATGGAGTCAGGTTTGAAGATATCAGACGATCTGATTAGATTTTCCTGGCCTGTAAGAACGCCGTTTGCTAATGCAAGGGTCCTCCAAAGAGAGTTATGGTGAGTTAATCGCACCAATTGGAACATGACATCTCCAAAGCCGGTGGGCTTTGCCCCGCTACTGCTCACGCAGACTGGGATCATGGTCCATCGCAAGGCCCATCAGGTAGCTAGAAATACGATGCGTTAGGAGGCGAGACGGCCAATGAGTGCACTACTGGGTGTGGCTCGTTGCAAAATTGAACTGATTCTCATTTCCGAGGCGCAGATGGTGAGCGTGTCGGAGCGAACCCTATTTCCGCCTGTTGGCTGCTCGTGATGCATACCAGGGGGAGACAATGATCGGAACCGAGACTTTGTGCTGAGTAACGATTCTGAACCAATTATGCATGGGAAGACTTCTACTTTGTATAGCTTCTGATTGGCAATCTTTCATCAGAAGTACATAAAAGTTCAAGTCAGAAGGGTTGATGTATAAACCATCATCGTGTTATGCTTTGTGTTTGCTGAGGAAGGTTGTGGCTCAGAGTGTTGCTTGGCTTTAAGAGTTCTTTTTCGGAGATTCGCCTTTTTATTTAGAGACATACAAAGGTGATAAGCAGGACCAATCTTGAGCGAAGTCCATGTTCAAGTCAGCCGAGAGAAGTACAATAGCTTTATGTCTCTTTTCTAGGTCAAGATCTTTGAAGCGAGTCGCCAGTCCGTGCCGTGCTCGGCACTGATTACTTTGTTGGATGACCTTGACTGTGTTCACGACTTTTTGTCTTATTGTTCTCATTCTATGAGTCCCACAAAGGTAGTTCATTATGTTTCCATGCCTCGCTATAACTACTTAAGAAGCAAGGTAGACCCAACAGCGAATTGCTATACCCCTCATCAACATCCATCAAAGCAAAAACCAAATACGTCAACGATCCCGAGATTCAAACCTCAAGAACGCCATCGAGCACCCTCAAATTGCCACACTCATAAGCCGTAACTAAACCTCTCAACCCTGCCACTTTAAGTAGCCCAAAGCTTGCCCTCTTCGAACGCGTCTCTGTCTCGTGCGGTCGTCTACTCGAGATTCCATTCCATACACATCAAAGATGGCACCATCAGGAAACAAGCGCCCGGCCGCGCCTGTTCACAGCATGAAGACTCGTGCACAAACTAGAAGAGAGCAGGGGAATCAGGCGAGCCTCAATCCGACCGAGAAGCGGCCCCATGATTCCGACGAGGAGTCCGAAGAAGAAATTCACAGCAATCGCCCTGGTAAGAGGCCAAAACTTCAGAAACCCAAGAAAACCAGCTCCAAAAGACCGTCGACTAGCGTGCCGGATGCCACATCCTCTACCGGAGCTCAGGAACAGCAGGAGAATGCTACGGGAGAGGATGAAGAAGTGAGTATCGAGGCAATTAGCCCAGAAGATGACCATGAGCAGAGTGACCCTGGAACCGGTGAAGACGGGATCAACGATAACGACGATGACGTTGAGGAAATTGTTCGATCACCGCCGCGCATCGTGGAAGACGAAATCTATTGGCCAGCGATCAGAGAAGCGTACGTCGCCGCCTCGAATGGCAGCAACATAGAATTCCGGCTACCCTGCATTGTTTGCCGAGGACACACCATGGTCAAGTATCCCGGGTGCCCGGAGTACGAGTACAATTCTCAGACTGGCCACTATGGTGAGCACCTCGTCATCCTTCCCTGTGGTCATACAATTGGCGATGCCTGCTTGTTCGACTGGACCATGTCTGAACATAGCAATGGCCGTCCAGGATCTTGTCCAACCTGTCGGTGCAGGCTCCAATGTCTCGAGTGCTCGGCACCTTTCAAACCATGGGTCCTCAACGACGATAATCAGCGCTTCACGCCGCCAATGACCCGACCAGAGGGTGGTGAGTTTCACACAACGTGCAACACCTGCCACGCGGAGCTAGAATTCTTTCGTAGGACCGCAACAGGTCTCGTGCGCATACCAGCAAGGGGAGTTGCAGATAATAATCCTGTACGAAGAATGTTCGGGAGAGCCGTTTCACGACGCATGCAAGATATACGCCGTGCACCAACGATGTCAGGTGGAATACGTCAAGATCTGACTGGGATCATGGTTGCGGCTGCATTCACCGACATCAATCGTCAAATAGATCGTTTCAGAAGGGAGATTCACCTTAACACACGCCCGGAAATGGAGCGCCTGGAGGAGGAGATCCAACGAAGGCGTCTTTGGAATCGATCTGAAGCCGAAACATTCTTTTCAAGAAGCCGGCCGCGACAAGACGAGGTACAAGATGTGATTGTTGTGAACACCGAGCCGTTCACAGGTCATATCCAGTAATTAACTGAGACTAGGACCGAGATCTTCTGAGTGAAGTTGAGGTTGGAAGCGTTGGCGTTTACTCGATTGGCTGTTCTTATATAGTTTCGTTGCTTTTGATGCTTCAATGATCTAGTTTTGCTTCTATTATACACCTATGCGTACATAATTACTGTCTCATCATGTTGACACGAAAACTAATGTCTTTACGTAGACTGAAGTTCAGCGTACGAAAGATCGTAGCTCGAGTCATCTACAGCCCCAAAAAGTTCGTGTTCTGACAACCACTCCATCCCGGGTTCCGAGAGCCCGAAGGAATCACCGCCCTCATCTAGACCTGAAGGATGGTACAGACCAACCTTCTGAAGTATATCCGGGGTTGACAAATCCAATTCAGAATTGTGAGCGTTTGTCATATTCTGAGTCCCCATCGTCCGTTGTTGCAGCGCAGGACTCGCAACCTGCAAATCTGGATGTCGAATCTTTTCATCGCTACGCATGCTGGTTGGTGTCGAACTCCCGTTGGCTCCTGTTACACAGCTCTCCACTCCGCTTGGATACTCCCAGTTGACAGTCATGCCTTGAAGGATTTGCTCAGCGTTTCGCGATACGGGGTACGAATTGCCCATCTCCAACAAAACTTCCGTTGAAGACTGGAGAAGCGAATTATGTCCATCATGCTTACTCATTCGGAAGTTGATGAGATGAACGGTACCAGCAAGAAAGACAAAATGAAGCACAAATGGCGGCAACTGCCTCATGCTGTAAGATCGTCGATAAACAGTGGCAAGTTCCATGATATTGGTTGCTGCCATGACGCACGTGGCCGTCGAATCGATTGGTTGCCTCTGGTTGTTTGACTCCCGGGTTATGCGAGAGAATTGAAGAGATGGGCGATGGAGATATATCAGAGCGAAGTAGAAGGTCATGCTGTGGGTTTTGTGATCAGGTGTCTGACTCATCTCATGGGCAAGGTTCATGCGGGATAGGATTTGTAAACATACTGTAGAAGAATGACCTGTGCCGTTGCAGTTCTGTTTTCGGCGATCTTCAAGTTTTGCGGTAGCGTATGATGCCATCGCCATAGTTCATCGTGCATGTGATATGCCATTGAACGCAGCTTACCGGCCGAATCACGTAATCTTCGACCGTATATTTCGTTTTGTATTCTTGATAGAAGAATGGATAGAGCGGAGGATGCATGAAGAAGGCGCAGGGGAAACTCGCATTCGTTGCGCAGTGAGTGATCCGGGGTTCGGCTCGGGGCAGAGACTGTAACGTCACAATCCCTGAACGTAGTTTGACGTCCGCGAACGATGCTGAGGAAGCTGATAGTTAAAGCAAGGTTAGTATTATAGGTGGACTTGAAGATGGATGGGAAAAAATCATGACTTCACTCACGTATCTTCCTGATAACATGCCCAAAATACCCTTCGTCTGAGTTCAGCTATCTCAGAGGTCATTTTACCAGAAGCGACTGCCTGTGAGCAGTCCAAGTGTAGCCCTAAGTCACTGGCTATTCTGAACGCTATGCCTAGTTCAGAGCAGTCAGTAAAATCATCCGAAAGTTCCATCGCACAGCACATGTCTCACCGCTATATGCCCAGCCTAGAGAAGTGTTCTCCATTGCCCCGTATCTACATCCGAGAATCAAAGCAGCCTGAACAGTTGCAAGGGTTGGTTGTGCCATCTCCAGGTCCACCATTGCGCGAGCTCGTTTCGCAAAGTGTTCTCCGGGCACCTCGTCTGAGGAAGCAGAGTATCTCGACACGCCTTTGTCAGGACTGATCATGGAAGACAACGCCATTACGGCGTATAACAGACAAGGAGAGTAGAAATTGCCATCCGTTTGACCCCCGCTGTCGTCACAAGCCTTTCGATGTCTCAAAAATATTTCACGATCAATGACAAATAGATGAGAAGACTGCCATTGCCAAAAGAGATCGAGTAGATAGGCCACTATCGGCTCCGGCTCAGGATATGTCTCTTGAGATGCGTGGCATCTCCGTCCGGACTCCGCAGAGACTGAAGCCTTCTCGGGGTTCTCTAGGTACGGAAACATGCTGGCATGCCCTAGGTACTGATCGAGATTGACGTCGCCACCTCCGAGAAACAAAGCATCCATAGCCGGAGGAAATTTCAACGTATCATCGACGTCGGGTATATGTTCGCTTGAAAAGGACTCGGATCGAATGGAATTCGGTGTGGGCTCATTTCGTGGTGTCGCTGACCAGTCAATTTGTCGTTCTTGAGGGGTGATTGTCGCGACCCTCGCTTGGTTTCCAGGACTCCAAGAATTCGCAGGACTAGGAAAAGCAAGTCCCATGGAACTGTGTACGTCTTCAACCGATGTCGGAGTTGCTCCAAGGAGATTGTCGAGGCCGTCGTTGTCTTTGAATGACCCGAAAGCTGCCCCATCAGCTCTGGATGCGTTTCTCACGAACTCCTCGAGGGCCTGCATTCGCTGGTGAAGGGCCTTGGACTCGCTAGGTCGACGATTGCTGCGCTTGTCTTCGCCGTAACGGACTTCGCATTTCTCGTTCTTCTTCTTGCAGGATGAGCATGGTCGCTCAGGTCGGCCGTTATTCCCTAAAAACTGGGAGATGTCGCATCGTCGCTTGTCTTTTTTGCATCGAGCGCAAGCGAAGCTGGCTCTACTTGCGTGTCGGTCGGGGGGCATGGTCGCTCGTCCAGGACTGTCGGTCTATGAACGTCAATAATGAGGTTTCCGCGAATATGCCGTACTAAAGAGTTGCCAAACACGACGGACTGCCAATTTTACTGGGAGAAAACATCGTCAATGGCACGTAAAGGTCGCGGGGAATCGGCCGACGCGGACCGCCAGCGCCGATCTTTGAAGAAACGGAGATGTGACGGGAAGGTGTAAGCGCAGAAGCTCCCCCTTGTCAGCGCATGAGCCCAACCAACGAGGACGAAACAACCAAAACTGCCATTGGGAACCGATGGATGGGTGACGTTGCTTTTGCCTAATGTCTGGCCAGAACGCGGCGAACTCTCCGGTCCACCGGTTATGTGGATAAATGGGGGGCGAAGTAGCGGCGTGTGACAATTCAGATAATCCAGGGTCCAATTTTGAAAGACACGAGAAACAAAGCTTCCGGAGCTCTCAGCCGGAGCCCCTGAATCAGCTTCTGCAATGCACGAGTTGGGTTCTGTGTGATGAGGATGTCTCATGTAGGGACTGCTGAAGTTGGCTTAGCTGTCTTAGTCTAGGAGGAAAAGCCCACGAACAAGGAGATAGACTCAACAACATTCCCATTCCCGAGCGGGTCGTCCCATCGTGAAAACCTCACGAGACGCCGTCTTCCTTCAAAATGCCCCGCGAACCCCCGGACTCCGCATGGATTCCCCTCCACTCACCCCGCTGAAAGGGCTCTTCCAGGCGGCAAGGATGAACCATCCAATCCCCCATCCAAGACCTCAGCTCCTCGGATTGCCTAATCGGGTAATCCGGCGCAACCACTTTGATTTATTCCAAGAAACGGGCCATTCGGGATCGTGGAGGTCTCGAACGACGATGTTCGGGGTCTGATGAGGGGTTGCCCCACGCGGTATACTCTTCTCGGGATAAGACGTCAGGTGCGTGTCAACATTTTCGATACGAATGCTGCGGAAGTGTGGCAAGGCTTTTCCGCATCAATGGAGATCCAGACAAGTCGGTCACCGGTGTTTGTTGCTGTGAATGATTCGCCAATTACGTGACAAATCGGAGCTCCAGGCCGTTTTATCGTCTGGCAAAGTCCATCTTCCAGCTAAACATCAACGTCAGAATGTTGTTGAGCAACGCATAAGTGGAGGAAACCTTACTCTATTAATCGCTAATTCTGGATACGTGAAGACGTGAACATTACGCCAAGCCCGTCTGCAGACCCCTGATGGCCACCATGGCACCCCACGCGCCGGGATCGGGGGGCTGCGAGCCACCATTTTCCGACGCGCCGCCAACATAGGTCGCGCGACCAAGCTTCGCCTTTGCTGTCCTCGTTGCTTCAGCACCGTCAATCGCTGCCTTGACCGCCTGGTCGAATCCTCCGCTCTTGATCGTCTCGACGAAGGGAATCAGCACGTCGAGAACTGTGCGGTCTCCCACCTTCGCAGGGGTGTAGTGGCTGAGGTGCTCCAGCGCGGAGGCGAGCGCCAGTTGCCAGACGGACAAGATGCTCTGAGACTTGGCAAGGGATGCGTTCTCCTTCACAGAGTTGCTGAGGGAAACAAAGAAGATTCCGAGAATCCCTCCAAGCGTGCCACCCATCTTGCTCTCAACAATGTCTTCCAGCTCGTGAAGCACAGAGACAATGGAGCCCTCGTCGGCGACGCCCTTCTTGTCGAGCGCCTCGAGCAGGTGTGACGCTCCGGTCTGTAATGTTTCTCCACAGTCTCCGTCACCCATGATCATGTCCCACTTTGTAATGTCGGGTTCGGCGTCGATCACAGCTCCGCAAGCCGCACGCAACATTGACTTCAGGATTGTCGGCTCCATCTTCACGTCGTTGTTCGCATCGATCGTCTTCGGCTTCTCGGGAGGGGTGTGGACGATTTGGGATTTGCGGTCGCGTCGTACTGTCTGGGCTCCGGCCATGGACTCCCAGTGTGTGTTGGTCTTGACGTCGACGAACTCCTTGATCTGGTCAACTGAGAAAGACGTGTTCTTCGAAGCCGCGGTGATGTTCATGAGCGAGACGGAGAAGGCCGGTGCGTTCAGAGATGTCTCCAGGGGACCAGCGAAGACCCTCACGGGCTTGATGTTCCACTTCTGCTCAAGCTGCTCAAGTACCTCATCGACGAGGGCACCCTGCTCGAGGTAGGAGATGCCTCCGAAGTTGCTGACCAGCAGGATGGTCTCGTCATTGGGGTTGAACTTGACGTAGGATCGCTCAGGGTCGTCCTCCTTCAGACAGTATTCCAGTAGTTGATCGACAAGCTCCTGAGGAGACGGACTAGGGGAAACCTTCCTGTATCCAGGCTCGTTGTGAGGTCCAGTTCCGATCTCGACTTCGTTGGTGTCAAGGCGGGCGTGTTCTGTGCGTCCGGGAACATGGCAGTGGTCGAGGGTAGCCGCGATAGAGACGATCTGGTTTTCGACAGCGACTCCAAGCTTGTAGATGTCGTCGAAGGAACCGGCCTTAGCGCCAGCAGCTCCGCTGGTAATCTTGAGAACACCCAGTTGACCGGCGAGACCACGTCGGCCAACAAGGCTTCCCTTCTTCTTACCAACTGAGACATCGTCGCCGCATATGATGATGCGGCAGTTGTGTCCCTTACTCCGTGCCTTTTCACTGGCGAGTCCGAAGTGAAGGCAATCTCCGGTGTAGTTGGTGATAACGAGGAGGGTACCCACGTCTGATGGCACGGCCTCGATTCCAGCCAAGATCTGCTTCGCTGAAGGACTGGCGAAGATGTCACCAGAGACTGAGGCTGCTAGCATGTTCTTGCCTACGTAACCAGACCATGCTGGCTCGTGACCAGAGCCTCCGCCAGAGATGATGCTGACCTGAGACTTGTCGTAAGTCGTGTCGAAGACTACTCGGTTCGAAACATCGAGGCCTAGAGAAGGGTTGTACGCAATGAGTCCCCTAAGAGACTTGTCTACAAGTCCCTCTGAGGAGGGGAAGATGTGACGGTCTGACATGGCTGTGTCTATGGCCTTGCGAGATTTGTGTGAAAGTAACGTGAAAAGTGTGGATGAGGGGAAAGACGAGGAGCAGCCGTTCAGATGGAACTGCGAGATAGATATCCGTACTGGCTATGGCTAGGCTTAAGGGTGGGCAATATCATAAGGGGTGGCGGGGAACAGATGCCGACATGGGATCTGTCGGGCAATCGGCCTCCTGTACCCCGGATTTCCGCAACGGAAGATCGGGCTAGGGTGGCCTACCTAGTCCTCATGATCTCCTAGGTGTGATTCACACTACTACGCTGTTCAGGCATCTTTAGCAGACCCTCGTCATCCGATTTTCCGCTCTTCCGCTACCTCGGGCCTGGTGTGCGATTATCCGACCCCGATGTGACGTCTTTTGCCTCTCCAACTTCAAAACTGCTCCTCGTTCCCCTCATACTGAAGCGCTTCCGATCATCTTCAAGACGCTTTAACCAAATCCAGACGTGTCACCCTTTTTCATCAAGCCCGAACAAGTCTTCAGTTCTCAACGCAAACACATTCAAGATGGGCAGCAACCCCACTCAGAAGTACCGTATTGTTGTTGGATGCGACGTAAGACTCGTCCTTCCTGAGAAACCTCGAGACCTAAGCTGACGCCTTCTTTCAGGAGGCCGGAATCGGCTACAAGGATGCGATTAAGGCAGACTTTGAGAAAGATGCCAGGGTAGAGTTCGTCGAAGATGTCGGAAGCTACGAGGGAACCGACAAGACAGCCTACCCCCACAGAGCAGCGGCGGCAGCCCAGAAGGTGGCCGAGGGAAAGGCTGATCGTGCCCTGCTGATCTGCGGTACGGGTCTCGGCATGGCTATTGCAGCCAACAAAGTCAAGGGTATCAGAGCCGTTACCGCACACGACAGCTTCAGTGTGGAGAGATCGATTCTCAGCAACGATGCCCAGGTCCTGTGTATGGGACAAAGAGTCATCGGCGTTGAGCTCGCCCGGCGACTAGCCAAGGAATGGCTCAGCTACCACTTTGACCCCCAGAGTGGCAGCGCCGAAAAGGTTCGTGTAATTAACAGCCTCGAAGCTTCGGCCTAGATGCCGGGTGGAAACTGAAAGGAGGATGGGGAAGATGAAATTTCAAATAATAAGCCAGAAAGTATTATGATCTCAAAATGTGCCCACTGTGATCACGAGAAATGCATGATGTACCCACGGTAGTGCGAGTCTATGGAGCCTGGCATGGTCTAGTATCTTCGCCAATCTGCCGGCCAGTGCAGGTTAAGAACTAATGCATATTGGCAGATCTTCCGGGGTGCCTGAAGACATGCAACTTCGGAAATAGCTTGAGATCATATTGCCATGTTGATGTTATGGGGGGAAGCTCTGCCTCATCTTCATCCAGCTTGTTCGTTCCCTGCTGGCTGAAGTTCCTCCAAGTTGATGAGCATGACTGAATTCCGTCGTCTAGCAATTGTACAATAAATACTCGAATAGCCAACACCTGAACTGGACTATACATGCATATTGCTCCGAAATCGTTTGGCATGTTTCCTCAGAACATCATGAAGACATCGTCCAAGCACACCGACCAAGGATTTGGCAGCCGGGGACTGAATTGATTTGAGGCGAACAAGGATCGAGTAGACTATGTATCAGACGTGTCACTCGCACTCAGGGCAGTAGTGCCGCATTCCTGGAGAACGCTTTCCAGGCCAATTGGGACACGTTAATTCATTCCATGAATTCCTTGGATAACCTGGCCGGTCGGGCTGTCGGAAGATCGGCTGCGTTACCCAAATGCCGGAGTGGGCTTTTCCGCAGGTACATCGCCGTAACTCCGCTCGGGGATTGCCACGCGGAGAACATCCGATTTTCCGCAATATTGCTATTTAGGTATGCAAATACCTTTTTTCTATCAAAAAAGGATTACGAATAACCTCAGTGATGCATGCACGAGGGCGACGGAGTACGAACAAATACACTAGCGAACAACATGGCCGCAGTTCCGCAACGCAGGCTCATCGGCCTCTCAACCAAGGCCTACTTCCCCTTACAACGAACCCTCGAGTTCACGAAAGAAGTTCAATCGCAACTAAGGTCTCTTCAGTCGAGCACATTCAAAGACGTCGACATCTTCCTCATCCCGGATTTCGTTTCCATCCATCCTGTCAACGAGCTTCTTAAGTCCTCCCCGATTCCTATCCGCCTGGGCGCTCAAGACTGCCACTGGGAAGATTTCGGAGCTTATACCGGCGAAGTCAGCCCTGCGGTACTAAGTGAAGCTGGGGTGACGATCGTGGAGGTTGGACACGCGGAGAGGAGAAGACTCTTCGGTGAAGATGACCAGATCGTCGCCAAGAAGGCCGCTGCAGCAAGCAGAAATGGGATGGCGCCGCTGATATGCATTGGCGAGAAGACCAGGGGGGATGTGAGCGTGGCCCTGGAGGAATGCAGAGCTCAGGTCGACCAGGCTCTGGCCGACGTACCCGAGTCCGCTGAAGTCATCATTGCATATGAGCCCGTGTGGGCCATTGGCGCAGACCAACCAGCCAGTGAAGGCCACGTTGTTGCGGTGGTGAAAGGCATTAGGTCTTTTGAGAGCATGAAGAACAGGACAGGCACAACAAGAGTCATCTATGGTGGGAGTGCTGGGCCTGGTCTGTTTGAAAAGTTAGGGGAAGCTGTGGATGGTCTCTTCCTAGGCAGATTCGGGCATGATGCCACACGGTTCATGAAGACGATATCGGAGGTGGCGTCCTTCAAGGCATAATATATTCCTTTCTCGTACTTCAAAAAAAGACCGATTGCGAGTTAGCATCATGATTGTCTAGCTAGCTATTGGAGTGCGACGTGCCAAGGCGCAATTGCGCCCATGGCTGACCACCATCAATCACTTATCGGAACCATGGGTCGGTCAAATGAGGGGTGGTCGCTTGAATGCCCGGGTACACTTCCTGCTTGGTGGCATGTTGATGGTCCCCATTCCCCAGCCTGATGTGACGCCGACGGTGCCTTCGTTCCCTCTCTCATCTTTTCCTCTTCGCAAATGCCTAGTTGGTTTTCGGTTTCCGTTTTATGATCAGTAGAACACGATTGAACGTCATCATTATACGCTTGATCAGCTTTTCGGAAGACATACCACCAGACACTTGATCAGTTTGGCCCCGAAAACGATCGCGATGGCGGAGGTTTTGGGAACCGTCGTCGGTGTGGTCTCTCTTGGACTGCAGATCTGTTCCAGCCTCAACGTTTATGTCGAGGGGGTCCAATGCCGCAAGCAAGACCTTCAGTCTACTATTCGACGTCAGAGATCGTTAGAGGCAATGATAGATCATATCCGAGCCTCTCAAAATCGTCTTCAAACGTCACCAAGCCCAAAAAGCGAATCCCTAAAGGAAGCTATGGCTTTGGCAGAGGCTGAGTTACAGCGTCTGGGTGAATTTATTGGTAAATGCACCACAGAGGATGCACATGCCTCGGGCAGCTCTCTGGCAAGCACCATGAGGAATCACAAGAAGAGATTTCTCTACCCTTTCAACAGGGACCACTTGGACCGTCTGGACCGCCACCTCGAGATGGCGAATGTGGCCCTGCATGCCGCTCTCCAGATGGCTGAACTGTATGTCTACTCCGTGCACTATGCAGGTACATTACTGACCGCGGCCAGGGAAATCTCTATGGTTACGCAGACATTAATCCAAGAAATCCAGCTGAATGCTTCAACATCTGACTCAACAGTGCTTCGGATTGAGGAAAAGCTCGACAAGCACTTTTCAGTGGCTCAAGAGAACAACATGATTGTTCAGAAGAATGTTTCTGAAATGGGGCAGTTGCTAGCTGACCTGATGTCCTCAGATGCAGTCGGACTGTTGCAAAAGCTGGTTTCAAAACCGCACACGTTAAAACTAGTATGCGACGAGTTCGGCGGCGCCAAGCCCGCAGTCCGGCAAGTCCAATCCACCGAACCTGGATCGAGATTGAACTCATTGGGATCTTCTAACGAAGCGCAACGATTTCAATGCCATTGTCAATCTCGAAGTGCCTTCACGCAAGAAGATCTCGTTGGGGCCCATGTTTCTGTCAAGGGAGTCTGCCATTCGAACCACACATCGTGCTGGTTGCGTATTTGCTCATTACAACTCTGAGACTGCTGATAGATGGTCTGCTGGTGCGTCAGTGAAGGTGTTTCAGAGGCTACTTTCAGCAGCTCTCGATATCACAAGGTCGACTCAGTTTGGTGCAGGCGGCTTCGGTATATCACCTTCATTCACGATTCTACACATTCGAGAGAGGAGTCCTGCAATCCAAGTGATAAAACTTTTCCAAGATGCCTTTGAGAGGTGGCGGTCTTTCAACGAGCAAGATCGAATCGAACTTATCGAACGGGGTATGAAGACATTGACTTCATGCTTCACTGCCAGAATTTCATCGCCTTTTGATATCGATGCCCACGGCAACACCTTATTGCACGTGGCAAGTGAGGGGTCGACTGCTGACTGGATGGGGCCTCGTCAGGCTGTGATTGATCTGTTGCTTCGTATTGGTGTCCCGTTGAATCGCCCGAATAGGACCGGCTTGTAAGTGGTTTAACAAGCCTCGACAGAATTCAAGTATTTCTAACCTGCATGCAGGTATCCTTTTCAACTTGCTCACTCCACTCTCGAAGGATGGGATGAAGATGGGCAACTGGGACTACCGGTACTCGAAGCTCTTTGTTCAGATGACTCTCTCATCACCTTGGGACGTCCGCTCGATGCCAATGACACTAGTTCGAATACTATGGTCAGATTTCACGAAATAAATACGCGGTATCATCAAACCTTGGTCAATGCGTCTAGCAAGCTAGCCGACTGTAAGGCGCACCGTTTTTGTCAAATTATTTGCAAATAAGCTTTAGTAAAGCAAGTACTAACACGACATAAAGTGTACAGCGGTCATCCGCTGAGGAGTATTATACTCCGAAACAAACAGGCCCTGCTCATAGCCTTAGAGCAAGAGAAGTCCTTTGACTGGTCTACAATTGATTCGTTCGGTTGCACGCCTCTTAGTTATCTAATTGGCTGGCCTGACGGCTTAAGAGCCATACTGAGCAGATATGGAACATCCATCCTCCGTTTACACGACCAAAGATTTAAGTCAGCGTATGGTAAAAGGGCTACTTCTGTACTTGAGTGTGCCTTGCATTGGAGCAAGCACATGTGCGCAGCTACGAAGTTCATTTGGTGCCTACCAACCTGTAATTGCGCAAGTTCGGCACGTCTTCTTCTAGACCTGGACAGCGAATGTCTTGTGAGAGCGATCTCTCTGAGGGACTGGATGAGAGCCATGACCGAAGCATCCTGCAGAGCCCGAGATTTGGTCATCAGCGAGCTAAAACACCGTCGTGGAGAGTTAAAGGACCTTGCTATCGCAAATCTGACTCCGGTGGAAATTAACGATATGGGCCTTCTTCAGGATCATGTTCTGGACCACAGAACTGAGGAGGTAATCAAAATCCTGGATCGAAAGGGGGTTCACGTTCGGCCTTCACTTCGTACAGAGGTGATGGATCCTTACGAAGACGTTCCAGCTTCGGTGCACCACGCTATAGCACATTCTGGCGGTCTCATCCAAGGCGTACATATGCCAAACATAGCAGACATCTTGTACTCCAAAGGCTTTCACGACGTCGATTTCCCAAATCGCAACGGCTTGACCCCGCTGGCATGCGCGGATTCTCTAGAACACAAATTTTGGCTGTTGAAACGCGGTGCCAGACTGACGCTTCAAATTCATGGTAGATGTAGAGGTTTTACACCAGCTCATCAGTTAATGGTGGATCAGTGGACTGCGGGGGTCGACTTTGGATTTGCAGGTTGGCAGAATACCTCGGAACTCATCGGAATACTTCGGGACCACGCACAGGATCCATCGTACCTGGACACATGCGAATGCGGTTGTTCCAGCAGCGGCTGCCACCCGTTTACGATCATATGGAGGGCACTATGCAGACGCCCAGTGACACGAAAGTCGCTGAAGTCAATGACGCGTCAAGTAGTATTGATCTGTAAGATTCTCGAGGAAGATCATGGGCTCTCGAGGGAAACAAAGACCTTATGCTTGAGGTCATGCACCTTCATAGCTTTGTCGATCCGGCATACGTGTTGCTGCTATTGGAAAATCGACTGCTGCGATCGTGAGATTTGGCGGATCAACGACAATGAAGAAGAGGAGAATGAAGAAATTCGCCAGGAAGATTCCAACGATCTGGCCCTTCTGGATCGCTTGCTAGATGAATTTGAGGAAAAGCTTGATGCTATGGAATGCTCGTTGGCAGAGTTCTTCGAAATAATTTGGGCAGATCGAATGTCCCAGGTCTTAGAAGAGATGGTAGGACGACCACTTCTTGAAGAACAGTTGCAAGGAGCCGAAAGACTGGGAGTATCCCTCGAGCTAGAAGAAGAGAGCGTCGAGGAGAACAAACGAGAAGTGGCTTATTGGATACAGAAGATGGACGCAGTGGTCGCCTGATAAGAAATTGTAGTTAAAACGAGTATCTTCCGATGACTCGAGACTTATATAAGAAACTAGGCGGGGATGAAGATATGTTGCTTATCCCAACTTGACAAATATTTGAATGTGGATAGGTTCATATTGCCAAATTCAGCTGAGTTTGCTATTCAACCACTGCCGGTATCGCGGTCCTCGCCCGTTCCAGAAGTGCAATTAATCTGCAGAAGACTATTGTCCAAGTTTTTACATTCGTAAACTGGAGACTTTCCACTCGGCACCGTCACAGTGACGTTCTCGGCGCGAATGTTGCTGCATCGCTGCGAAGTTAGGATGAATCATCAGCATACACTTTTTTATGATTTTAACAATAGCACGCGTTGAATAAACCCACATCAGGTGCACTGCAAACCAAGGTCCCGGCTTCGGGATCAAGCTTCGCCGAAGTAGTTCCATAGATGTTCTTCAGGGTAATGTCTGTGATAGTCAGGTTGGCCTACGACGCGACTTCTGGTTAGATACTTCGCCACAGGAGACAAGGTGGACAGATCTGGACTTACGGGGTGCTCCTCGCACAAGGTTTGGTTCTTCTGTCCGTAGCATTGCGTGATAGTAATGGCGCGGTCATTGTTGATGTTTTTAAACAAGTCATATGTGACGTTTCTCACCCGGCCGAGACCTCCACCACCGTTGAGAAGAGTCTGAAAAGCTGTCTCAACCCCAGGCCAGACCTTGATACGAGCAGCGTCGCTGGCATTTGCCATTGTGATGTTGTAGATGTACAAGTTCTCAACAATGTCGGTCTCACCCTTGTACTGGCCTAGGGATCCAACACTCATGCCGTGGGATCCGGTGCAGTCCATGTTTTGAACGACAACATTCGTGCTGTTTGGCTTGAAAGATACACAGTCTAGATCTGGTCAGTCTTAGTTCTGCCAAAAGGCGAATATTATGTACCCACCATCGGTATTGATGATGAACGAATCCTGAATAACGACTCGATCAGAGCGGTAGGTGTCCCATCCGTCCGAGTTGGCAATCTTCACACCGTTCTCACTCTGGTGCTTTGTTAGTCACATAAGATCACCATTGGTAAAGACGAGGCCTACCTGAGCTCTGAGGTCCATGTTGCTGATGAGGACATCGGTGCTGTTGGCGATGAGGTTGAACCACTATGGTATCATGTTAGTCATATACGACGATATGAGTTCCATCTACTATACGTACGTTGGGTGGGTTGCGCATGCGTAGATGAGACATAGTAGCCCCCTTGACCCCATCGAAAGAGAACAGCATCGGTCTCAGAAGCTGCCACGTCGTGATTAGCCGAATAGTTCAACATTATAGTAACGGCATAATACTTACGCTCTTGTTGGTCTCGATCTCCACCCAGTAGGCCTGGCCACGTCCATCGATCACAGATTGATCGTTGCCCAAGTCACCGTAAATGTTGACGTCCTCTCCACCAAGCTTCCAGAAGACAGACTGGTTCTGGAAGTCGAACTTGAAGCTGTTCTCAGCCCAGTAGTACGGATCATCGTTGAACTCGATCGATCCGGTAATGACAACGTCGATGTGCTTCAGGAAGGTGAGATCCAAGGGTGAGCCGATAATGTAGGACTTGTCGAAGACCACTGTGCCACCGTCGTTGCATTTATTGAAAGCATCCAAAACCCTTGGCGCATCATCACGCTTCTCGCCACATCCTGGCTTGACGTAGCAGTAGCGTCCCTCCTCTCTCGGAGGTGAAAATGGCATAGAGCGGCCGGCATTGAAGGGTGCAGGCTCGACATGTGGTCTCTCGGGGATATTCGGCTTAGGTGATGCAACTGAAGCTTCCGATGAAGTCGACACCAGGGCCAAGGCCGCTGCCAGGAGGCTGAACGAAGGAGAGCGCATGGTCACAACCGTCCTGCAACTGAATGTGGTGCTTGACTAGACAACTTGATCAGAACCTTTATTCGGCCATTAATCGTCAGGTTCATCCTTCTCATATACTCAATGCTCGGAGATTATCAAAGTCTAATTAGGTTTAGGTGAGGAACCATGAGCAGCGGATCATATCATCGTCTGTTAAGAGTGGACGCTACGATACGCGGAAGATTTGTGGGGTCACGTAAGGTCCCCTCGGTTCTGTCGGTGAAAATTATCGCGGGCCAGGGTGTAATTTTTGCGGTTGAATCTTCCATGCGCGGCGATCTGCTCCCCCGTTTTGAGTGTTGGTTGACTTGGTTAAATGGCCTGCGGCTGAATGCTGATACCCCCGCATCTCCTACCCCGCGCACAGAGGCCTTAGGATGCGGAGAAGCTTGCTTGAGGAACATGGATAAGCTTGCGTCCTATGGGTGTTTCCCGCTAGTTGAGGCTTTAGGACCAAGCCGTCGGGAATCGTTGGTCTGGAGCTTAACGAGGAAGCAGTTTTTTCCCAAACATCTTGGCTCTGGAGGTTCACAACAGTGACGAAGAAGTCACATTTACAGACAATATCTTCGAGAGTGTTTTCGAAGATCTCCCAGTTGAATCTTCGAACAATCGCCGCAACTGTAACATACAGCTCAGCATACGCAAGACTGAACGTGGGTCAGTCGAAGTCGATTTATGACATGGACTGTTGGTTCACTTTATGCCAAGGCACTGTCGGCTGCCTTTGCCGAAGGATACGAGGTACTTATGCAGCCTCTTGCTTTGTTTCTCCGCCTCAATCCATCGTTCGGGTCTGAAAATCTGAGGCTGTGGGAACACCGACGGACGCATCGACACGAATTATGGAGTATAGGACGCGGGTGTCTGCATTGAATCAGTACAGTTTACACATGAGGGTCAATTGCGGGTCGACATACTCCTGCTGGAATCACGTATCGAATCACGTATCCATCGTATTCCATGTCGTGGTGTACGATCCGTGAGAGGCGAGTCGTGACTTCCTATGAAAGCCTCAGCCCTTCTCCAATGACGGCAGTCTAGGCATCAAACCAATGAGCGTGGAACTCAGATGGAGCATTTCTGATTGAACTCACTCGGTAAGGAAGCTGCTGAAACTCACTCCAAGACAGGATATTGGCAACTTTTGGCATCACATCAAGTTCCCTCCGAAGTTTTCGCATGGTCTCGGACATGAGCTTGAGAAAACAGAGAATCCGTGTTCATGTCTGGGCAGTTGTCTCTGGGCCCGCGCCCGTCAATATCTCTGCCTCATCTCACAGCTTCTGCAACGTCTTTTCTTCGGGAGGAAGTCACTGTCCCGTACTGCATGGGAGACAGTCTTTGATGATCCCCCTTGCCTCAAGGCCTCATCCATTTTATCGAGGATAGGCTGCATTTACTTTTTGGCTCCAGCCTGCCATCGGAACGAATGCCCAACTGAAGAGTTGATGGCTGAGACCATGGACATGAGCAGTTCGTTTCATGAGCGGAAGCATCCATGGGAACTGCCGACCAACAGCGCCGCCTTCAAACGCCCCGACTATGGTTTCTTTCCAGACCAGCTTGAAGTCGGGTTCATCCAAGTATCTGCGGTCATGGGCAAGAGCGTAGTCTCAGATGATGTCCATGGTCAACGCCATGAAAGCAGCGTCGAGACGCACGACTTCGACTGCCCGGGCCACATCGGCGAACCCTGCCGTGAGCTTCTCCACCTTGGGCCGAATGAGTGGTTCCAATCGAGTGAAAGAGCAGCTCCGCGGCGGAGCCGCTGCGATGCAGGTCGTACAGCACAGTCGAAAAGGAGCTGCCGTCAGCGCCCGCTAGGTTTGCCCACCATCTCTGTACTTGTTCGACTTTCTGTTGGACGAATACAGCTCGTCGTAAACGTCGGGATCGATGATGTGCAGTTCGCAGGGGTCGATCCTCACGATTGGACCAGTGTTACATGTTAGACCTCGTCAGGTAAGCATGCCCTGATACTCATGGGTGGGATTGACCATTTTTCTTGTGCATAGTCTCAATGCGCCTGATGAAAGTCCCTCGTTTGACCACATCCCGATAAAGTTGGTTCCATAACGTCAACGCTGCAAGTTTGGAACCCGGAAACTTGGAAATCGAAGAGAATTAGACTCTACGGATGGCCCCTACGGTTAGAGAGGGCAAGGAACCCACTCCGGTCAGGAGCAGAGTCAGGACCCAATCCATTGCCATATCGAGAGCAAGTTTCGAGACGAAAAGGCGAAAGATTGCGAGTTCCCAACAATCACTCATGTTTACGAGACTGATTCAGATTTGACATGCAGGGTATGTGTTCAGTGAGACTTTGATTGATGAAGCGCGACCCCGCTACCTGGTTGCAGGACGATTGGACTACTCACGAAGTCCCTATAACAAAGCCGGCGGTGACATGCCGTCAGCAAAGTAGCATGTGGCTAGGAGGACGCTATTCATGCACCATTTCCTGTTTCTCTCAGTTCAACACCACTAGCAGATTTTAGCGTGGCAGAATGGACCCTCCGTGAGAATTCTCAACAGATCGATTGGTTGCGGTCGGCAAAATTATGAGAAGGCTCGGCTGAGAACGGGATTGGTCTTTTGTGTGATCTGATCCAGGTCAGTCAGAAATCAGAAATGTGACATGTCAAGCAATGTCTCTCCTTGACTTTCAAGGGTCCAGGCAATACTCCCGGCACCGTCCCGACCCCTCCACGACCATCATAAAATCATCTCAGATTCCCGACGTCACACATTCTCGACCTAGACTACTTTGCATGGCTTCCAAACGCTGATTTCATGACAGAATTGGCAAGTTGCATATGAGCTAATCAACCTTCACCTCACTCGAAATTGTAGCTCCGCTCTCCAGTAAACCGATCATGGCGTCCGTAGATGAGCCTTCACAGACTTTTAACGCTGGAGGCTCACCAACATCACCAGACACCGAGGAAAACGCACCCCAATCGCAAAGAATTGTCTCAGGGCCCAGTACACAGGAGCACCAGAAGCTTCAAACCTTCAATTGGAAGCCAATGTTTGGCATCTTCCTGATTTAAACCCGGCAGGTTGCACTGCTGACTAGGCTTTCCCCGAAGTCTGATATCGGTGGCGACACGGCTTCAAACTATGCAAAGGACGTATCCGATACAGCCAGCGCGACATCGTCGATATTCCACTACCAGTACGAGCATGGGCTTCGCTACCACGCATATCGCGCTGGACAGTACTACTGCCAAACGATGAGCGAGAACCGGAGCGACTCGATATGGCTCTTCATGTCTTCTTGCTGACACTGAAAGGAGAACTCGCCGTGACTAACTTGGACAGTCCACAGACGAATACTGATGTCAAAACCGGTAATGGTCTCTGGGTATGTGCGTTGGGTTGATATCGCCTTTCTTTGTTCTGAAACGAAAGCCAGGAGGGATTGGCGACATGTTTCCACCCGTCGACGTAGTCGGTACGGACTTGAGTCCACTTCAACCGACTTTGTAGCATAACTGTACGGTTCCATCTATGAGCCTGCCCATTCAATCTTCTGCGACGATGATACACGTAAGGAAGACACTGCAACGTGGCAATGACTCAACGAATTCAGAAAGTTGAGTGTGCCACTAAGATTTAATATTGCTCTGACGGTCCCTAATATACTAAAGGTAGAGGGGTTTGTGATCTTCAACCTGATGCAAAGAGTGGTTCCTATGAGAACTTGGCCAAAAGACAGCGAGCTAAGAGAGATAGGTTGTTGGTTCAAATTACAGTTTCTGGAGATGGCGTTGGAAGCCTATACTCTTGCATTGTCTACTCGTGTTGGAAATTGGACGAATTAAGAGGTGCAAGTCCTCTTGGCCATGGTGAGACAGGACTAAAGTCAGATAAGATTCATTTATAAAATTATACGCAAGTGTCATGATCCCTATTGGAGTGATATGGCGGACAATCTCAGTGCGTTTGTTACGGGTAAGAAGTCCTAGAATTTCGATTGAGCCTTCGAAGTAGAGCGGCGGTTTTCACTCCAAGATACACGGTAGACTGGGATGGGGAGACCCCGTGCTTGGGGTGAAAAGGTGTTAAATTACTAGCTGAACAGCACGTCAACAATTTGCATTGATGTTGTGCCTGTTTCAGTTGGCATGTGCAATTTTTCTTTCTCGTTTCGATTAATAACAAATAAAAGCTTTGGTGAAGAGGTTGGGTATCAGTCAAAAGGAAATGCCGGACATGTCGGCTCCGCCCACTCGCGACCATCATCATTCCATTATCATCAGAACTTCCCACCAGCCCAGCCGATGTCGCGACTGAGACGCATTTGTCAGTCTTTCCATGGGACAGAACGTCCGCCCCTATTTATCGAAAATTCCCAGCAGAGCCGGAAGTTTCGGCGCATTAAATACTGCAGAACGTATAAAAATCGTATTCTCGAAGCAACCCTCTCTACCTGTAGGTACGCCCAGGCCACTCGGATTGATTGACCCGAAAGCGCTGCGGTCTTTCCGCACGTGGAGGTCCGTTAAACTTTGGTCGGGACAAAGGCTTCGATGTACGTAATGGTGGATCGATGTCACGATCAGGCCGTTGCGTCCTTCGAGGGCCGCTGTATCTTGGGGTCCACGGAGCATGTTGGTTGATGGGGAACGGCGGTCGAGTGGGCGGAGGAGGGGGCGGTACAACGTGTGGATGCTTTGGGCGATGGGGCTTGATTGGTGGTCGCCCGAACCAAAATCCTGTGCGAGATGGTGGCCTAGCAGCAGGAGGAGGTGGTGGTGATCTGTGTTCGCTGGCGATCGTGGAATCGTCATAGTCATAATCGCTCCAATTGTCTGGCCCCGGCCGTCTTTGGCGACGGCTTACCATCGTACAATAACATGCGATTAGAACGATCGCAACGAACGCAACGATGCCGCCAAGAATAGCGCCGACCTGGACGCTTGATAGTGATCCGGCGCCGCGGCTCGAAGGTGGTGGGGCCGTGTTCGGCGTAGGCGTCGGGTCTGGTGGGGCTTCGACGGTGTCGCCGCCGGGCACCGGAGTTGGCTCTCCGGGTCCCAGCGTGACCAACGTAACGTAAGTGGTGAAAGGTCGACGGACTGTCTGGGTAATCACGTGAACTCCGTCGTCTTCTTGTCGGGCGGCAAGTTTGAGGAGGCCGCCGGTAGGCTGCAGCGAAATCGGAGTGGGATAGATATGCATGCTGACGGGATCGCATCAGACTGGCGGATAAGTCTTCTTCTCCGCAAACTCGGATTGCGAGGCGAAACAAATGAAGGAACGAGAAGACTCGATCAAGGAAGAAGGGAAGATCCACGACATGGGACGAATTCCAGCCTGACAGCCACAAAGGAAAGAAAAGTGCAAAAGACTGCCTACTTATCCAAGCAGTGAATCGAAGCAGGCTGGCCCGCGGAACATGTTACGTGCCCATCTCACCATGCTCACTGAGGCAGCTTGCTGCCTGCCAAGTAAGAACCAACTCACTCCCTCTATCTCCAGAAGTAAGGCACACATGAACGCGCGACGCCCCGCGAACAGGCTGCATGTGCTCCTGCAGCACAACACACCACTAACAGCCAGGATCGCAATGGACAAGAGACATACCAAGACGCGACTAACCTTGTTTTGACACCACTACCGCTGCGCAGCCGAACGCTCAATGTTGTACGGCTGCGCCTGACACATCCGAAGACCTGCAAGTCTGACTGCAAGCCATCGAAGTCGGCCAACGGAAGACAGACAGCGTGGTGTCATAAGCATGCAAACCTGCCCACATGATTCCTTGCCAGTCAACTCGTTGCGATAAAAAACTGGAACTTGAGTGATGATGGGCAGATCCACCAATGATGCGAGTTGGTTGGGCTGATCTGCATGAGTTTGGGGGCCAACCGAACCAATGCCAGCAAGTTGCGGACAACCACTACAAGTACCGCGCAGTAAGTCATCGTAAACACACCCATACGGGGTGCGGCCCGTCTCTCTGGTTCCGTGTGTACGAATGCCTTGGTTGGATGCTCATGTGGTTGAGCTGGGTGAGACAGGCGTATATCAAGAACGACGACATCTTAGTTGCCGATTTTCTTTCGCGTGTGCGAATTTGGCCCCCAACTCATCTTCCGACGGATAACACGGATAACACGGGCATTAGTGCCATATATGCAGCAACACGTTCACACAGCGTTTGTTGTTGTTATCTGCGTTGCTTACTTGCTTGGCTCACGAACGCTTGTTGAACAAGTCCCGACGAAGTTAATTTGCTACCTCAACGGGTGACGCGATGCCGGCTTCATCGCTGCTATTTCCAGGTGTCGTCACGTCCTTGATCGTGCTCGATCGTTCCTTTGCACCCGCGAACCCAAGACGTCATTTTTCCCTATCCCCCGAAGAACTCCCGCCTGATATTATAAAACATGCCCCAAAGGAAAAGAGTATCCGAACGATATTACATCATGCCGTGTTGTGGTTGTGTGTGTGCCTGGAAGCTGCGCTGCGTTACGCGGAGTGACCGGAAGATATGTCCGCGAGAAAAATGACCAAAGAGTAACGAGAATCGCGTTCGATCAATGGGGCCAGGCGAGCGAACTTCAAACTTCTTTGACAGAGTATCATTGGCAGCATCTGAGAGTCTCGAGTCAGCCCTCTGCGCTGGTTTCGATTCACGAACGGATAATCGGCTTCGAGGGAAGGATTGACTCACTTATACTTCGATCGGACTTGGGAAAGATTATGCGATGGCACTCCCGCAAAAAAGACCAAGAACACAATTCCACAATGCCTCTATTCCGCTGCGCGGTTGGGCTGCGCGGCGGCGGTCGGGTTGTTGTCGACGATGATACCCACGCCGGCACCGCCCTCGCCGTTTCCGAGCTGCACCTTGGGGCCCTTCGTAAGGGCGGCCTCGGCGAAGGTGAGTGCGCGGTCGAAGCCGCCAAGTTGTCGCTTTTCCACCTTGTTGTTGTCACGACCTGCAATGATACCGGTTTGAGGAACACCTGCGGCGGCGGCACCGGCAGCTGCGGCACCCTCGCCTCCGGCGGCACCCTCCTTGCCCTTGCCGGCACCTCCTCCATTGCCTTTGCCGGCGCCTCCATTGCCTTTGCCCTTGCCAGCACCTCCGCCGGCGCCGCCTTCGGCGCCTCCCGAGAATGTGAGCGCACCATCACCCACCACCAAGGCAGGTGAGTAGGCACCGAGGTTGATGTTCAAGGGAGCAGGGGCGGCGTTGACACCCATGGCGATGAGAGCCAGGGTCATGAGGGCGTTCGTGATCTGCATGGCGGCGGTTTAGTGGTATACTAGTCGAAGGTAGGTGTCTAAGTTGTCGGCGCAGCCGTTGGTATCTTTCTTTCCCCAAGAGGATTATTAAGGTAATAAATATTGAGCGAAGTGGATTTCCGTCAAGGAGATTGAGAAACGAACAGCACAGCTGGAGTAGAGGAAAGGAGAAGAAAGCAGAAGCACACGCGTCAACGAGTGGCAAGGCAGCGGGAGAGAGAGAGCGTAATGAATGAAATCCCCACGACATGCCAAGAGCAAGTTCAAATACTGGACCTAGGGAGAGTCAGGATCGTGGAGTCGCATCGTGGGTGAGAGATGGATGGCGAAAAGAGGAAAAAAGCCAGCCCTGGTCATTCACAGGTGCGACGACATCATGCGTGTCACGACCTGCGGGTGCCAAGACCAAGCGGCTCTTGCAAAAATAGAAGCTCTTCGCAGAGTACCTGAGAACAAGAGATGATAGGTCCAGTGAAATCTTAGCATGTGGCACGCGCGAAATGAGTGAATGAGGGCAAAAGAGCCGCAGAGAACCAGGGAGCCATGTGGTATCTGGTGTTAGTCAGGTTGCAACGGGGAGGTGTGTCTGAGCGGAGGTGAAACGGTCCAAGTCCCAAGACTGCCAGCGACGGGGGCACCCCGAAACCATGTAAACTCTTGGCAACAGGTCTCGATGCGCCCTAAGCTTACCGAGGATGATGTTGTTCAGTTGATTTTGCGGCGAATTTCTCCTATTCGACGGCTTCGTGTCTCTGGTGAGGTAAAGATAGATGAAGCCGATGTTTTGAATTATGGGCACGCGGGGTTCTTCTAGGGATGAGATCTGCGACTTTGTCACATACCATCGGCTGCAAGGCCGTTTTGGCAGTTCAAAGTCCGGAGACAGATTGCCTGGTGAATATCTCGGGACTCGAAGCAGCTGGTCCGCAAGACCTGGCCAAGCCTTTGATGAAGCCAAGAGCGTTTCCCAAGAGATGACCCGGTGCATCGATCGGATTACCAAGACCGCTCCCAAGCCTTCCAAGAGATCTATTGCTCCCACAGTGGAGAGCTCAATTGCCCCGTCCCTGAAGCTGGAGTAGCATGCGAGGGTATGCTGTCCCCATGACCAGACTTGTTTCCCGACTTGGGGTGCGTGAAGGCTCATTGGCCCCGACAATGTTTCTTGCCCACCATGGAAACCTACTCGTAAACCGACCCGGGCCGACGGAGGCAGCGAACACTCATGCTAAGCCGGGATTTACCATTGAGCACAAAGAAGTGGCAGTGATGATCTGACATGACAAGACCTGAACAGAATGTTCGGTGTGTGCAGTGAAGAATCTTGATTATGTCTGACAGCAAGCAGAGCCCATGTCTGACATGACACTCTGTAGCATGCATTGAGCGACCGCTGATATTAGAAGTTGTCGCTGATCCTGTCTGAACAGATGCTTCAGGGTGCTTTGGAAGCGTCCCCCTGTCATTCCTTGGAACCGGAGCTCTACCGATGGAAACACATTTGATGTGTGACCCCAGCTCAGCGACCTGAAACCCACGAACCAAAACTTCTCAACAAGCAGCTTCCCGTGACCTAAGGCTCGGTCCGACTCATTCGGTATCTGTACGTAGTAGACCAAAATGAAATTTGCTTGGTGAGAAGAGTCGTGCGGAAGGCAAAATCATGTGGTTTTGCAGTTGAGAGGAAAACAACATCGTGAACATGCCACATGCGCATGACAATGCGTATGCAGAGCATCTGGTGAAAGTCATGTAATGGGACTAATCATCTCATGTGCATCCAGCGATAGAATCAGGGGCTTCAGTTTCACTTCAATCTGACCGTTAGTTGATTGCATTATATGCTAGAATTCATGGTTATCTTGTGGATGCAGCATTGTCAATCTCGAGCAAGATTTCTTTGGTTATCGGCGAATTAGAGAGCTGTCATAAAGTTGACAAGCCCAATCGCGGCGGAGCCCATTTCCCCTCCTCCGAGCTTGAACTGTGGTCAAAGGCTTTGGAAGCAGCGTTCATTTGCCGTTGAATCTGCCAAGATCTAGAATCGGTGTGATCCGGCTAGGCTGGACATCCACAACCGTGCTATCGTTTCAAGCCAATCCGTTGGCGATGACAGAAAATAGCTGTAACCAGTTTCAAGACCAATTCTCGGACGCCTCTCCTCCCGCGGCAGATCTTCGGTGTCATCATACCTCTGTTCTTCATATCGTGTGTGGACACCACTAGATATGGGATACTTGCAGATAAAGCACATCATCCGACTCCAACAAGCCTGCTGCAAAGGCTTCAGTGAATAGCAGCTTGCAACATGCTTGAAATAACGGAGAAGATAAAGCAAGACTCTTTCTTGCAAGTACTGAGTATGCGCGAGTCTAATTGGACAATTCCGAAAGCAATTTCAATTTGATGTTATCCCCAGGTCTATGATGATTGTGAAAGGAAACCCCGTATCGCCCAAATCGTCCTGCCGCCCAGTAAATCGTTTATCTCTGGCCTCAAAAGTCTTCTTACTTCCATCGTGTACTTGTATCCCAGAATACGCCTGCCGACAACCCCCCAGTAGTCTTAAGCGGCCTAACCTGTGCGATTTTGCCTCTCAGCGACGGCGTGCTGTGGAGGAGAAAACACCTGAGGATACAGATTCGCATATTTCCGAGAGATCTCAGGGTCTCGAACTGTATCAGCCAAAACATCAAGGAAATTCTGCAGCTCAGGAACCCTCGTGTAATCATCGCGATCTTCATCATCCGGGTCTACTGCCGGATTCCACCTCACCGTCGCGTTCCGATCATTGAGAATAATACGTATGACCTTCTTACTCTGGACCTCGATGTTCTTGATCCGGCATGACTTGCAGCAGGCAGGATTCGCACCACCCTCGGGTATGGTGAGGGGTAGCCTTCTCATTTCCTCCATATTCCTGGGCATCGGATAGCCAATCTTTCCGGGAGCATTGCAGGTCTTACTGCAATGCGGGTACCTTCCAAGAGGTTCTTTGCAAAGAGGACACTCAGGTTTGCGTGCGTTGGGGTTGTCGCGGCTGCCGTCGACATTGGCACAGATACGAACGACACATTCCATGCAGAGCATATGGCCGCAGTGCAAGATCTTCGCCTTGTTCCTGCTGGTCGTCTCATCGGCTCTCATAGACGTCGCGCAGACGGGGCATACGACGGTGAAGTTGTGGAGTGCGGCGTCCGAGGATAGGTTCGGCCGGAGGTCTGGCCAGAAGACGTTCCCGTCCGGCCCGGCGTTCTGGGTTGCGGCGGATTCGATGGAGGACCGCCGGCCGCGTGTTGTCCCGCTTGCCACCGAGCCAGGTGGTCGTATGGTCCCGCTAGAACCGGCTGAGCGAAAGCTTCCTTGCGTTGAGCTAGACATACCTGTATGGGAAGATTGGTTACCAGTTGACACAGATCCAGATCTCGAGTGCGACCTACCAGAACGACTAGATCGACCAGACCTGCCCGAGTCGCGCGAGGCAGACGTAGCGCCAGACTCGCGTGAAGCATAGCTAGCGCCAGAGTTACGCGAGGCATAACTAGCGCCTGATGCAACAGAACCAGCAGTAGAGTAACGGCTACCCGCAGACGAGTTGGCTCGATGGGGAACACCAGGTCGAATGGGACGTTGGTGTCGGCTTGAACCTTCGTATGAGGATTGCGAATCACTAGGGGCCACCGAAGAGCCTCCACTCCAGACCGATCCCGCATCGGACTCGGGTCCCCGGAGCATTGATGGCGCGATTGATCCAGCTCGCGAACTGCGGGAACTGTATTGAGACGAGGCCGTCGAAGGGGCTGCAGAGGGCGCGATTGATCCAGCTCGCGAGCTGCGGGAACTGTATCGAGACGAGGCCGTCGAAGGGGCTGCGGAAGGCGCCACGGAGACGGGGCTCGGCATTCCAGGATTCATGTATGCCCCGCCCCGGGCCGAGGTGGGGCGTTCACTCAGATTCATGGCCGCGAGCTCCGAGGCGGTGGTATCGATAGTAACCATTGATGCATCGTCGATTTGAGTCACATCGGACTCCGCATGGGAGCGAGGACCATTTCGACGAGATTGCGAGTGGGCCGCATTGAGGGCATTGATACCGGCACTGAATGCCTGGCTGGGAACGCCGGAACTGGAGTGAGACGAGCTGGGGCGGCTCGACGAGCTGTATCCTGAGCGCGAAGTAGCTCCAGATGCGACAGAAGAGGGTCGTCTATGGGAATGGGAGGAACCTGGCCTCGAGCCCGCTTGCGAGTGAGCTGTCCCCGAAGGCGTGGAGGTGGGCCCTCCTGGGATACCCTCGGGCCAAGGGTCGCCGACTCGGCGGACCAAATGCTGTCTCTCGGGGCTGAAATTCTCGGGGTGGGACATCGGGTCGTCCGGGTGGCCCGGATACCAGCCGGGGGGAGGGCCGGGAGGCATGTTGGCAATGGCCCTCCGCACCGCTTCGGGGTCGTTCAGGTCGACAGGCATTTTGGGAGATGGGCGCTGTGGAAGTAGAGGGCTTTCTGTCTTGGGTACGAGTCGTGTCTGAGTCGGCGAGGTCAACGTTTTGTATTCAGATGATGAGTGAAAGTTCGACGTCTCCAGGTGCGAGAAGGAGATTTAAATCAATATTCCCTTCGAGTCGAGAAGAGTCATCTTTGTTCCAGGCTCTGCCTCGAGCTGCTCCCTTCGCGATGTTGTGCACTGTTGTTTCTTTGTTGGTGAGATGCCTCGGACCATGTCTTGCCTAAAAACATCGTGAATGCCTCCGAGTTCTTAGTCGTAGCTGGAAGCCATTGTACTTCGGCGGAACTTGAATGAATCTCAGGCAACAACGCGCGTTCAATTGCCCGCTTCCGTTGACCTTCTTGGCATCTTTTGAGCTTCTTCAAGGCAACGGTGCTTCCATATCTGCCGTATTTCTTGGTGCTGAGGCTTTATGGGTTTCTCCCTCCGCAGCACCCTTTCAAAGACGCTCACTTTGACCTGTCGAGATGAGAATTATTCCACGCGCCCTGCGCAACTCCTATGAATATGTTTGACACTCGGCCGCAACCGGGCAAATCCTTCCTCAGAACAGGCATTGTGGGTTGAAACGATCCATCGTGATGCTATTTTTCCGGGTCAGTCCCAGAATTTGCCAAGGGTCGGGGTAAGATCCAGCGGGCCGTGTCACCAAACTTTGAAGTCGGACCAATGTTGCTGGAACCAAGACTTTGGCGTCCAGCTTTCCTCCCGCAATAACCGGAGACACGACATGCTTATTCGACGGACACGGTGAAGTTTCAACGCCAATTCACTTGGCCGCACGATTGAAGGCCAATTTCCTGATTCTTCCGAGGCCGAGCATTGCTACGCGTAAGCAACAGTCTTTTGCAAATGACCAAGACAGTCTGATTCAAGTCTCCAACGCCCCAAGTGTTCCCCAACAGTGGAACCTGCCGAGCCGTTGGCGCAGTGGATTCCAAGCCGGAATTATGTTATGGAAACTCAAAATACAGGAGACTTGCCGTCATCGAGTACCCTTTGCACTTCAGCCCTATTCTACTGACGTCAATGCTAAGTTCCGACGAGCCGCCCTCGTCCTTGGACTGTTCATCATTTCCTCCTGGCTGGGATGGAGCTTTCGCGTGGCAACGCGTCACCAGAGAGAAATGCGGCCTGCCCTGACTGGGAGGGGAGCTTTTAAGTAATGCGGTACACCTGTGCCTGTCAATCCGCTGCACCATCTGCAACCTTCTTTTGATCCCCTGAAAGACTCAGTTCCGGTCACATCATCCTGAATAATACCCCCTTACATTGTTACATAACCCAGAAGCATTCAAGGCACATCGGAATGACCGTGCAAAAGGTTCAAAAATATCCGGGCCCCGATGCGCCAATCGTACGGATGATAGTCCTGGAGACGGACACCCCTCATCCCGACACCCATGCAACAAAGGGTAGCTTCGGGGAAATCCTCCACAGCCACTTCCAGAATGCCGGAGCCGACCATGATCCTCCACTCGGCGTTGACACCGATCAAAGATTCGTGGTGGAAGACAAGGGAGGCAAGGTCCCGACTTTCGAGGAGTTTGACAGCTACCAAGGCCTCCTGATCACAGGGAGCATGTATGACGCACACGGCGACAACCCCTGGATTTTGAAGCTGCTTGATGTTCTGAAGGGTAGGTCGACCTAGCCCTCAATTGCACGCTGATACTGACTGGAGATCTCAGAATTATGGCAACGGCGCCCCGACTTGCACCTTAGCGGTGTTTGCTTCGGCCACCAGCTGCTGAACAGGATGCTGGGAGCAGAAGTCGCACCATCTCCCTCCCGTGATTGGGAGTTGGGACACTCGAGAATCGACCTTTCACCGGTCGGCAAATTTCTCTTTCGCACTGAGGACGACCATGTGTTCCTACACCAGATGCATCAGGATCATGTAGTTGCACCGCCAACTTCTGAATCATCTCACGGACTTATTTCGCCCGGCACACAAGTGGATGTTTGGGGACACAGCGAACACACCCATGTCCAAGGTATCTACATCAAAGGCCGGCTGTTCACGACACAAGCGCATCTGGCTTTCGACGAAGACATGGTGAAGAGACAAATTCAGTTGAGGGTTGAGAGTGGTGGTATCCAAGACTTGGAGCACGCGGATCGAGCAGCCGAAACAGCGGACTTGGAACATGACGGAGATTTGGTTGCCGCTGCCATTTTGAGATTTTTCCACGGCGATGATGACAACGTCGATTAGTCTTCCCTGAATTCACATGCCAAAACACATTTAATTGAAAACTTGAATAATTAGCAGGAATTACGTACTCGAACTACGATATTGTAATATCTCTAACTGCTTAAAGCAGTTCTGTATCCACAGAAAGAATGAACAGCCGGTCTCCAACTCTTCGTGCTCGTTACCAACTACCAACTACGATGTTATACAAATTCAGAAAGGTTCTAAATGATGTACGGCGCTGAAGCCACCGTACACGCTCCTGCAAAAGCAGTCGTCTCAATTGCAACCAATACCCGGATCCAGAACCCACGATCCACCATCTTGATATCCAGGTCCCAGGTCTTATGTCCTTGAACTTCACCCTCTTGAAGGATAAGCCGCAGTTCTCGATGAGAGTTCGTCATACGAATGAACCTTTTATGAGTATGGCACACTGGTGGTATGACAGTCCGAAGAGCGTTCGTAATAGTACCTGAGTCGGTTTCCAATTTCGATGGCTCGAGTCTGACGGCGTCAAACCTGATACGACCGTCAAAGACCCAGAAAGTCACCAATACAATGTCGCCTTCGGATCTCCCTTTGAGCATCAAAGTCCATCGTCGATGGCGCCGGAGCTGTAGGAACAGCGCTGAATTAAGAGCCCGCCCCTCACGATACTCGTGCTGATAGCTGTAGCACCGCAACGGTCCTCCCTCTTCCTCGGCGGTGAAAATACCGGCCAGATAATATCCAACCGGTGTCGTGTTGCGACGGGGAGTGAGAGATGTAGCTCCGACGTGCAAGGTTTCCACGCTCTTGACTCTCGGTGGCCTAGCACCCCAAGGGTTGTCATAATACCCTATTCTCAGGTCTGATGATGTCCTTATCCCGCAAAGTGGCATGCGTCGTCCACCTGGAATAGTTAAATCTGCCAGCTCCGTTGGCCGTGAGCGTGCATAGCGATTGCCATCCTGAAGCTCCATGTATAGACCAACAACTCGCTGAGGATCACCGCCTACACTGCAGTTGAGAGGCAGGATCAGTGATGAAGCGTGGCCACGAAATAGCAGTAAGTCGAGCGGACTTCGGCGTACAAGTGCTTTAGTTTTGGAAACAAAATGAATGCCGCGCTTTGATACATCGACTGGGCTTCGGGGCCAAATCTGCACGATGTTGTCGTTCTTGCAATTTGAATGCTCGTGAGCGTTGAGACCCGGCCAGTCTCTGAAGTTGGCGAACTCGTCTGGCGATTGTGCAAGTAGGCCTCGGAGAGGACTAGTGGATACAGACTCCCAGTCCGACTTTGCTCTCCATGCGAAGAGCGTGTGGTCGTCCGACTGGTCTAGAATCTTCTCTTGAAGACGGGTGAAGGCTTCAGATCCTTCTCCATATAACAAGGGCATGTTGACGTCGAAGATGCCGAGAAGCGAGTAGGCAATATCTTCGATCCGTGTCGTCTTTCTTCCAGCTGCCCAACTCATTCTTCGACCTAGACTCACTCGTTGTGGTGAGCCTCCCCTCAATACGTAGTCATCGATTCCGGTGATCTTCTCGAGATCTTGTACGATAGCTTGCTTCTCAGCGATCATTTTCCAGTTGGCGTTATAGAATTCCACGCGTCTTGGGGCGATAAGCTCTTGTAATGTCCAACCCCGGCTGAACCACCGGCTGTTGGCGAACGGCAGCAGTCGTGCGCCTTTCCGATAAATATGCCCATCATACACATCTTCAAGATGAGCGTAGCATACGCTTGACTCCCGATACCACCGATACATCGAATTGATTGCCTCGCCCAGCTCAGCGCTGCTGGTCTTGTCAATACAACACGAATCCACCCACGCGTATTGGAGGCCATCGCGATTGGCTTGGCGACATGTCGCTTCTATTTTCCGAAACGCTTGTCGGGAAGGGAGGTCTGATCTACTCTGTTGCATGTCCTGGAGTGTGATTTCATTCGGGCCCCAGGTGTGAGATAATATGGCGTACTGAGGTATCGCGCCAATGAACTCCTTGAGCTGCATCGTTGGTGTATGAATAAGGCGCATCATGTTTTGTTGCCGAGTACACCCTTCGATTGTGATTTCGACAGGCTTTCGACTCTTGACATTATTATGAAGAGATAGCTACGGTCGGGACGTCGGAATATTGACTCTGGGTCATGCTGGCGCAAATGAAGTTGTAGGAAGTTGATGGCCGTCTCACGTTCGACGCCCATCGGCAGCTGAACAACCGTCAGCCCACTAAGGTCAGGCTAGACACAATCAGATAGATAGGCGAGCCAATCAGCGAATGTAAGAAGTGCGAATTGAACGTCCTCTAAATAGCTCTTTATTCAAGTTGCGCCATCTTCTCTAGCATGAAACACGTGCGTAGAGGCGTGGTTGGCACCAGTATATTGGAAGGTTGTTCAGAGGAGCTGAGGAGCTTATAGGTCAGTGCTGCCTCTCTTCTCTTGCCAATTGCTGGGGTTACGGACATGATCTTCCACGATGTTATTCAAAAGTCTGTGATACGGCAAACCGGATATGGCAATGTTGCAGTCGACACGTTGTCGAGCCCTTTAATCGAACTTTAGAGTTCTTGCAGCAGATAGAACTTAAGTTCTGTTTGGAAACCTTTGGACCAACGCCATGATGGTTGGCTTACACCATTGAGAGCCTTTATCCAAATCGTGTAATAGGTCCCGTGGTTGGACAAACCAACTGTCTTTTTGCAGCATCTCCCTCCCTACATTCAGAAACAGCATCTCCATTACCTTCCTCTCGTGCAGGACATCTATTCTCCAAGTTTCGGATACTTCGGCCTTGTGTTCCTATGCTGCGATGCAAAATGCATACTGCAGGAAAATAATAGCTGTTGCTGCAAGCATAGTCGTTGCAATAGAACATCCCGACATCGTGTTGTCCACACCCTCATCTGATTCGTTCTTGCAAAAGCCGAGATTGGAGATGCATCCGGGTCTGCACCTCGAACTGATATCACCTCATCCCAGCCATCATGTTGGGAACCTCTCGACCTGATTTCTTCGTGAGCAAGAGGAAGAAATAATAGAACGATTGATGTTCTATGCCCCAGTGAAGTGCCAGATGTGTCTTCTTCCTTTCATGTGGTTTTACTAGGCTCGAAGAAACTGCGCTGGACAACTCTCTTCTGAGACTCTTTTCCCCGAGAGCTTTCACAGCAGAGGCTCATGTACAACACAGCAGTATTGATCTGCTGGTGCCTTACGAGTGTTTCTTATGTATCGTCAAATATCGACTTATTAAGCTTTGTAAACTGATCCGCGATTCAGTCCTCTTCGCGGGCCCAACGGTGGAGCATTGGAGGGATGGGTTTCAGAACTAAGGTCAATATGCTTTCAACCCAAAAAGGCGATGTAGAAGTATGAAGCTCCTTAGTCCTGTTGGAGTATGCTTCAGCCGGATCTCCAGTCTCTTGCCGTCCGGGAAATAGCAAGTTCTTCTTTTCTCTCTTAGATCTCTGGGGGCGTGTATGCTTGTCACAGACTTCATAAAGACATGGATATAGCCGCTCTAAGGGCAATGCACTGTACTTGCGGTGGTGGTATTGTTGTTGGAGACATGACTATGAACTAATGCCAAAGGTTTTCTCACACTGCGCGACTCGAGAAGGAGAAGCATCACTACGTTGCTTACTTGTAGCGTGAATACCACGTCACTGACAGTTGTAATCAAAGCAGCATCCCGTAGAGGTGCTGAAGCCGCCATCGACGACAACAAAAACGCCCATGGTCCATGTGTAGAATATGGCGGTGATCGGCAGCTTATCAGATATCCTACTTCCGCCTACATCTTTTCTCACGATTGACTGCGGCGATCGCTACAAGAGGTTGAAGAAGACATCTGCGGTACTTCGTCTTACTGACTCTATTTCGTAGATGACAAAAACATGAAATTGAACCGCATAAAGTCTCGGCGTCCTTGAGAACATACGTAGCTGCGTACTTTCAGACATGATCTCAAATAGGCAGCTGCAGGTATAAGATCGGGCTATTTTGTGAGATGTTAGATCCTAGGACAGCTTGCAATTCATGTCTTGAGCGACAAGTCTGCCGACAACATGGAGAAACAAACTAGTACCAAAGTCAGCTGATTGTTACCGTTCTAAATCAAACTCAAGACATCAATTGGCTACTCGATTTTGTAGCCAATAGTATTCATTCAAGTTAGATCCTCTCTCACTTTGTGCTATGTCTTACCGTTCCATGACGGTTCAGAGCCTACCTCCCCGTCACACAGGACACACACGGCATCACTTGCATCAGCTCATATTCTGCGCAGCTAGCGTCAATAGCGGCTTACTTGACCTTCCGAGTCGTCAGCGGCTCTGCATCGAGGTTTGTCTCCGTTAAGACCAGGTCTTACGAGGATACCACTGTCATCACGGCAAGTAGGACCCACGGCTGCTGGTGCGTCCTGCATCTCTCTTTCTGTCCGACGCCCGACGCAGATTCATAAAAGGGAGACATAGGGGGCAGGAGAGTGTATACACGACTGTGCCTGCCATCTTGGGGCCTGGCATCTTGGGGTAGATGGCGTCCAGCAATTTTATGTCTTACTTTAACGAAAGAAAAGAAAAGTATATAAAGCCAGACATAAAGATGAACATAGACCGGTATGAAAGATCACCGTCGAACGATGAGCATTCTATAAGTGCAGGAAACAAGTGACGAGTTAGGGCTGGCCTTGGTATATGTACGCAAAAGCGATGAGAATTGACTGTCTTAAGGGAACTGAAGCACAGCCTGGCTTTTGCTGACGGAGACACGGCAACTTTTCAACTGCCACAGCTGATCTGATGGTAACGTGCGCGACAATATTGTCACACACTCACTCGCCGTGTTAATTCTCCGGCACTCCACGCTGACCGGCTGTAGAACCGTTGAGTTTTGTGCAGCTTTAATGAGAGGCAACCAGGATGAAGTCCAGTTGACACTCATTCATCGACGGTCTATAAATACCAAAAGCGGCCCCTTCACTGAGGAGGAACAACACATCACCCACCCCGACATCATCATACCACACAAGCAGGCTTCCCATCAAGCCATCAACATTTGTTTTATTTCGAGAGTTTCAATTCTTGTAAACGAACACTTCAGCATCGGCTTTCTTCCGCTGGAAGTCTTCCACATCTCACCCAGACGCAAATTCTTCCACCATGAAGCTCGTTAGCGCTCTTCAGTTCGCCCTCAGCGCCGCCCTCTGGGCCATGGGCAAATCCATGCCCCAGGGAGGGCCTATTGACGTCGAAGCTATCGCCACCGACTCAAAGCCAGCCACACTCGAAGATGGCCACGGCCCTGCGATGGGCCTGGCTGATGTAGATGTGGTTGACGTTGAGGACGTTGAGGCCGCCGGCGCCAGCTTCTTGTCAGCTGATGGCGTCTCAGCCAGGGGTCCCTCCTGCTTCTTCGAAGCTTTCGCAGGCAGCCAATGCGACGGCCAGAGGTTGTACTACTATGAGTACGCCTACGCCAGAGGCGAATGCCGGTCGTGCCGCAAGTGGGAGGGCGCGCACTCGTTCAGGGTCAGCGGCACGTGCGACGGTGGCTATATGGTAACTAAGGAAGGCGACAGCTGCGGCGGGTTCAGGAGTGGGACGGTTCACTTTGGCAGTAAGGAGCCAAGCTGTGTAAGCGTCAACACAGGTATAGGCTGGGACCATGGTTATCCTTGCTTCTACAAGTGATAGCAAGGGGGGACGCAATGGGGATGACCTCACACCCGTCCACAAAAGATGTCCTCATACTACACGCCGTCGAGGTGTCAAAGAGGTTCTTAGCACTAGCAGATGTCATCGTTGTACAATGGATGGACTGGCTGATTGCGCTTTCATACGCTCATTTGGAATTTTACAGACGCTCGTTTGACTCTGGTTTAGCTCCAGCTAGCTTCACTCTTTAACACACTTTCTTCTTTAATCCCAACATACAATCATTGATAGTAAATCCTGTATTACAGCTTAACTACCGGGTACTCTTAAGTCTTATACAGCTACTTTCTATGCTCTCTGGCTTGCAGCCTGCTTGGGAGACACTACCACTGAGTGCCGATAAACCTGCCTTGCAGCTAGTTCGAATCTGATATCTAGCGTACGCATGTGACGTTTTGCCTTCCACTGGATCTCGAAGATCACCAAGATCATCAAGTATCCAGTCCTTTTACCACTTATGGAGAAAAGGTTCCCGTGTTATCCACACACTCAACACCGAACCTTTGTACACCTAACTCTCATTAAGTACCAACATATTAATAGCAACGTCAGATATAACTGACCGAGCCGCAGAAACCCCGATATTCTCTCGATTTGGTCTAAGTACTCAGCGCAATGCTTGCACACATTGTCTGGTGGAACATCTTCCGAGATCCGTTTCAGGTAGACATAATGCTGCGGGGCTTACTTTGTAGGCCATCTCAGTGAGGACAAATAGGCCATTAACAAGACCTCAAAGTCGTGTGCGAGGTCAAAAGCCTCGAGACTGCCACACCGTCAGCGATCAGCCCGTATATCGTCAGCGAATCGCCCGAGAGACAGCCCTCCGGAAAGAGTTGCTCATGAGCTACGTTTCTTCGCTCTACATAATCACTGGCATTAAATATTCCAGGGGCCTGAAGATCGGGGCTAATAATGGCAGCACGACAAGCGCCGGCGGCGCCATTACGGTTTCCCCAGAGCCTTCTATGTCCGCGTGTGGGCGCGGCTATGCACGGGTCGAACACAGCATTGCGGTCGATTGTGCGGAGCATTTAAAAAAATATGTATTGCTTGCTAATCAGCAAGCCAATGTCACGCCAATGAAGATCAAATTAATGGATGGCACCTCCTCATTAGGAAGATTGCGGCGCTGCAATAGACCTTCAGCTAGCAATTGGGTGACTTTTAACCTTGATACGCAGCCGGCAGAGACTTCTGCATCTAAGCTATGATTCCGGACGGATTCCGTAAAGATGCTCTTGAATTGTCAGATATCAGGTACTGGGAACACACTGGGCATTCCAGACATGGCGGAGCTGTCCATTGACCCAGAACTGGGATGAGGTAAGCTCCATATCAAACCGTTGGCTTCATTTGGTGGTAATAGATAGAATGGGATGGTGTTGATATTGGGGGAGTGATGGAAAAGGGCAGTATCTGCTCGGTTGGTTCCAGCAGCGTCCAGGCGATTTCATGTGTTCGCCTACAGCATAGTTCATGTCGTCCTGGAAAAGAACAGACAAAACAAAGACATCACACTCATGGCTTTCTGTCAACGCCATACAATGAAGATGTAGAAGCCACCTTCCTTTTGCTGTAATCTGCCCTTCTTGGTCTTTGTATGTGTAACTTTGCGTCTGTGCCAGTGGAAAGCTATTACCAAATGTTACAATCTAGTCTCCAAGCTCAGAAGTACCAGCAATCCATGTTGCATGCACACATGTACCCCCGGATTACTTGCAAGCCTCCATAAACACATCCAGAACCCCTCCCCCGTGTAGAGCGTGACAAAATGGCCAGTAGCTTCCCCAAAAGACTTGTATTGACAAATGCCATCTCTCCTCTAGTCGTCGACCTCACCAAGAGAGATGTCTTTGAGCTTCTCGGTGAAGACTTCACCAGCCTCCATGTGAGCGATGCGGGCCTTGAGACGCTGGTTCTCCAGGGTCCTCTGGGCGAGATCCTGGCGCAGGGACTCCTCGATCTCCCCCTTCCGGTCGATCAGCATGAGGAGAGCCTCCTGTTGCTTCTCCATCGCCTCGAACCTGTCCTCATACTGGTCCTCAACCTCAGCGACAACCTTGCGCATCTTGTTCTGGACATAGTTGGCCGTGTAGTACTTGGTCTTCACCTTGGGGCTGACGATCTCCCAATCATCAAGGTCTTCATCCTTCTGCAGCAGATGTCAGTCATGGAACTTTTGGGTAAAAGAGAGATGGTGGGCAATGTTCACCTTCTCCTTCAAAGGACGCTTCAGATTGACATCGTCCTCAATGAGGAAATCCTCATATCCCTCGGAGTTGGTGCCAGGGTCGTTCCGAGCGTGGCCCATGGGCTCAGGCTTGGCAAGGGTACCACCAGTCATTCTGGTGCAGATGATCTGATTCAAGGCTTTATTAGCACAAGACGATGCTCACGCGGCTGTTAGTGAGAAGCAATGACTTATGTTAGGGTCGCTAGTAATAAAGGCGCGGGCCTTGCCCTTGACATCCTTCTTGCCCTTGGCATCTTTCTTATGAGGCAAGGAATAGCTCATCCTGACAGCTTGTCTTGTAGTGGTGATAGGTGTGATGTTTGGACTGCAGGATGAGGTTGGATTTTCCACTTTGCGAGGTGGAAAGGTTTGGAGGTTTGGGAGAGAGAGAAGAAGAGAAGAAAGGTCTAGGCGAGTTGAGATGGTAATACCACGACCCAAAGGAAGGCCACCATTTGTGGGTCCCAACTTTGTTCCATTGTTGTGACCCAGGTGGATGTGAGGCTTTTGGTGAGACTGGGAAGGAAGGAGCAACCCCGTGAAGACAAAAGGTACCACCTTCCTCATCTCGAATTTTTATTTAATATCTGCCCATCACTGAGTAAACGCGTCATTCTGATGCAGATTTAAGCTTTTCTTTTTATAAAAGATCCCTGGAATGCCCATTATGACACTGAACTGGTGATCTTTCAGTGAACCGTTCTTCTCAGCTTAGCAAGTAAAGTAATGCGGGCTTCTATCTGCTTCTTTTCAAGCCCTCCTTTTCTCTATAGGGATTTGACTAACATTAAAATTTTAGAAACTTACTTAGAAGAAGAAGTACGTACCTGGTTCTTTAGCCAAAAAATGCTAGGCTTCCGCCCGGTGTTAATAAGGCTTAAGGCCTCATTGACGTCATATCAACCTGAGAAACCTTCCTCATCTAAACTTAACACTTTTTATTTCTTTACTTAGCCTTTAGCTACTATATTGCATTTAGAAACTATATATTTAACTAACTCTAGGTTTAGCCTAGCTAACTTAACTAATTAATAGCTATTTAGTTATATAACTATATATAAGCTATTTCTATCTTAGCTACTATTTTATTATTTTACGCCTTAACTTCCCCTATTATAATAATAATAACTTTTTTACTATATCTCTAATACTTTAAAACTCTTTCTTAATACTACTCCTTTTTACTATTTACTAACTAATTAACCCTTTTAACTATATAGCTTTTAGGTTAATATATTATTATTAAACTTTTTAGAAGACTTTTAGCTTACTCCTAGTACTTAAGACTATTATAGTTTTATTACTTACTATTAGTAATACTATTAATATATTAAAGTAATTTAGATCTATAAAACGTATAGATTCTTAACTTTAAGCTTAAGATCTTTAGCTATTTAGAGGAAACTTATAAGATACTTATAAGTTAATAGATTATTATTAATATTTAGAATAAATACCTTAATAATATTAAGATCTTTATCTTTAAGCTTATTAAGGGTAGGTATAATAATACCCTTTTATTATAGCTAGCTAACTAATAGTAGGGTTTATATTATAGTAAGTTAGGTAATAATAACTAATAATAGTTATTAGTCTATAGTTAAGTAATTATAGGTCTTAAAAGGCTTAGTAATTAGTTAAGTCCTTAATAAGGTTATAGAGTAATTATTACTTAGGTATAACTAAAAGTATTATAAATAATAATTATAAGTTAATTACTAAAGAGCTATAGGAGTTTAAACTTAAGTAGACTTAAGTTTATTATTATAGCTAGCTAATTAATAGTAGGGTTTATATTATAATAAGTTAAGTAATAATAAATTAATAATAATTATTAATTTATAGTTAAATAATTATAAGTCTTAAAAGGCTTAATAATTAGTTAAGTCCTTAATAAGGTTATAAAGTAGTTATTACTTAAGTATAGCTAAAAGTATTATAAGTAATAATTATAAGTTAATTATTAGAGAGTAATAGATATTTAAATTTAAATAGACTTAAGCTTATTTTATATATAAGTTTAATTTATAATCTTTCTATTAATAAGTAATTCTATTAATTACTTATTAAGTATTAATAAATATTTAGTAATTATTAGTAAGTACTTAATAAGTACTTAATAGATCTATTTTATTACTTAGTCTTTATCTTATCTTTATATAACTTATATTATAGTTCTTCTATATTAAGTAAGCCCCTTATATTCTTATAATTCTATATATAAAGGTAATATTTTAACTATTTAGCTTTTAATAGGGCGTTCTTTATTAGTTATACCTTATAGGTTATAATATTAAGTCTCCCCTTAAAAAGTCTTATCTCTAAGGCTTTATATAAATAGGTATTAGTTTCTAAATTAGAGATCTATTAATCTTATTTTCTATTTTATTTATAATACTAATATTATATTAAGTTATATTATTAAATTTCCTATAGTTTTTACTTTTTATTATTATTATTATTCTCTTAAAATTACTATAAAAAGCTTTAAAGTTATACCTTATTATTACTATTATATAAAGGGTTTATATTATAAGATACTATTTAACTCTATAGTTTATAGAGAGTATATTACTATTAGTAGTATTTATTATTTTTATAATACTTTAGAGAATATAATTTATTAATATAAATAACCCTTTTCTAAATATATCTTTTTTTTATTAATTATTGTAATAAAATAATTAATAATAAAGTCTTATTATTTAGATAATAAGAAAGAAGAAATAAAAAAGTTATTTTAAAAAAGAATAAAAGCTTTATAAAAAGTATAAATAAAAGTAAATAAGATACTTATAAAGCTAAATTATATTTATAAAGTAAAGTAATTAGTTTTTAAAAAGGGTTAAATAGAAATAAAGTTAATAGTTAAGCTAAATAAGGAGGTAGTAGAGTTATCTTTAGTATATAAAGCTTAATTACTAAGTGCCTTTAAGGTAGTTAATTTTAATAAGGTAATTAGTAACTAAAATCTTAATACTCTTAATTTTTTATTAGTATCCTAAAGTAAATAAGTAGTCTACTTTTTTTAGATCTATTTATTTTATTAGGAATTTAGATATATAGTTATAGTAGTTATAATCTTTTTAATTCTTTTTATAGGATTTTTATTATTTAAATAATAAGGCTTTTAGTTTTTTATACTTATTATTATAACTAGTATTATTTTAAAGCGTCTAATATATTTATAACGTTCTTAACTAGTTTCTATATATTATCTTTATATCTATATTCTTTCTTTCTAATAAAGTATTTAATATTATCTTATTTTTAAATATAATTAATAATCTATTTAACCTTATAGTTTTATTTAAGTTTAACTTTAATATAGTCTTATATTTCTAATTCTTTAAGTACTTATTTAAAGAATAAAATATAAAACATTAAGTAATATCTTATTATATTAAGTAATATAAATTTAAAATTAATATTAAATATCTTTTTTATAATTTTAAAAGGTTTAAGTTTTTTAAAGTCTAACTTATTATTTAGTTATTTTATCTTAATATTTTATTAAAGGAAATAGATATTATCTCCCTCTTTTAGAGTTAGTTCCTTAACTCTTAATTTATTAATATATTTATATATATATTTATATATAAATTTAAGATTTCTTAATAGCTTTTTTTAGATTTCTCTAAGTTTATTAATATTTATTATAGCTTTTAGTACTATTAAGCCTTACTATAGTTCTCTATAGGCTATTAAGTTAAATCTATAATTTAAATAAAATAGTAATTCTTTTATACTTTCTCCTATTATACTATTATAAGCAAATTAAGCTATAAGTAGTAGTTAGACTTAATTATCTTATTAATAGTTAATATAGTAATATAAATAGGTTTCTATAATCTAATTAATTTATTTTATTTAGCTATTAGTTTATAAATAAAATATAATAAATATTTTATAATTAAATCTAAGTTATAAGATTAAAGATCTCTAAAACTTAAAAGTAAATAATTTATTTCTATTAGATATAATTTCCTTTAGTATTCTATATTAACTAATAATTATCTATGGAAACTTATATATAAAGTCTTTTATAGTATTAAACTCTATATAAAGAATAAAGTATAAATACTTTATAAGTTTATTAATAATAACTAAGATATTATTATAATAGACTTTAGTTATTAGTTTTTAAGACTTAAATAGCTTAATAATAAAGTTTAATAAGATAGATTTTTATATAGTTTATAATATTAAAAGTAGCTATATCTTACTATAAGGCTAATATTAATTAGATTTACTTTTTATATAAACCTTATAGTTTTTAATTGCTAAAGATACTTCTTATTATATAGCTATTTTATTATAATATTATTTAATATATTTCTATATCTTAATTATATCTTAATAACTATATATAGGTATTAAATATATTTCTATAATAGCTTTAATAGATATTTTTTTAATTAAGCTAATATTATTTCTTTTAGCTATATATAGAAGTCTAATAGTTAATATAAAGTTACTTTATTTAATTTATTTTAAAAATAACTTATATTTCTTTAAGTATTAAGATATTATAATTTATTTATCTATTTAGAGTATTAATTTATTTATTTTTTAATCCCGTATAGTAAATAATTTTAAAATTAAATTTAAATAAGAATTCTAACTATTTAATTTATCTCTTATTTAAGACCTTAAAGGTAATAAAATATAAGAGGTTTTTATAATTTATATAAACCTTTATAGAGTATTTAGTTCTTAAGAGGTAAAGTCTCTATTCTTTAAATACTTTAAAAATAGCTATAAGTTTCTTATTATAAATTTAATAATTGAGTTTTAGTTTATTAAGTTTTTTAAATAGAAAAGTAACTAATTATAATTATTTTTTTATATCTTATTATAAAAGTTATACTTTTATAGTAAAATTAGAGATATCTATTTTAACTTTAAAGAGTTTTTTTAGATTTAAGATATATAAAATAATATTATTTATTATATATTATTTAATTTAGTTAGAGTCTTTTTAATATTTTATAGTTTATTTAAAAGATTTATCTTTTTAAATAAGCTCTATAAAGCTTTAGTTAGCTTTTATATAGTTCTTATTAAACTATTAATAAAAGTTAATAAGTCTAAGAAATAATTAAATATTC